GCCCCCCTGAACCCCCCCATCTCCATATTTTTTTTAGGTCAGGGGGGCAAGCTCCCCTGAAACCCCCGTACTCTTGACTTTAACGAACGAAACTACAAAATCGCCCAGAAGTCTTCATATATATATATCTTTTGAGTCATGATTGAAAAACTTACTCTTTTCCGTTGGAGCGTTGATTTCCTTTAAACCGCATTTGGCCAGAGTGAGGATGGGAGTATCAATTCACAACATTCATTTTGCATCATGATACATTTGTTTTATTGTCAAGTAATGAACTGTAATGAATGGGGTTGTCTTGTTCTGTTCTACCTTTTCGATGAACCTTACACTATAAAGCGCAACTTTTTTTTTTCTTTTCCATTTGATTTGCAAATATAGAAATTTTAACTCAACTGCTATTATCTGTGCTGTAATGCAACTCTTGATGTTATGCAGACCAGTGCATGATATATATAAATATATATTATATACGATTATTATTTTTTTCTCTGTTTCCATTGGGGTTTCAAAGGTATTTGTGTGTGTTCTTTTCATTGTTGCTGATGTCTTTCTTCAATTAAAAGCAAGGTGATGTCATGTTAAAAGGCTATTTATGTACAATGTAATGGCAGTTCAGAGCTTCCCTTTGGTTGTAGTGTCTCAAAAGTAAAAAAAGTGAAATTTGAGAATCTTTCACTGGTCCCTTGTCTTGAGTAAAACTGTTAGACGCTGTATTCCCCGCTGTACTGTTCTGTAATAACATGTTCTATTCCTTTTGTAATATTCATAATTTCATAGAGGCAATAAATTGTTTTTATTACAAAAATAGAATTTAGGAACTTGTTTTTCATTCTGAAATATCAATACATGGACATGACTGTCTCACAATAACTTTGGTTGAGGAGTTGCCTTTCCGTCAAACTTACATAGTGACCCTTTTGTTATATTTCAGTCGTCAGAATGGAGCACAAGCCAATTTAGAAGCTTTGCAACAAAAACTGCAAGAGCTTGACATTGACGATCAGCAGAGAGAGAGGTTAGAGGAGTTTCTTTCACAAAAACAGAAAATTGGCGAGCTGCTTGAAGAAGACTTTGAGAAACTCGGGGAGTTGGGAGCTGGCAATGGAGGTGTAGTCACCAAAGTGCTTCATCATCCTTCAAATCTGGTGATGGCGCGAAAAGTAAGTTTGTGAAAAATTTAGAGGTCTAGAGTAAAGGCACTCGGCCATTTCTCATTTAATTTGCTCTAACAGCCAAACGAATAGAGATAATTTTAAAAATTTTGGCCTGCAAACTTTCACATCATCTGGCCACTAGATGTATAATGATCTAGAGCATTCTTGGCTATATTGCCAAGAGGGATGTTCATTCTAAAAGACCATGTGAAGGGACCAGTTTGGGATCAGGGCACCTTTATGCGGTCATCGAAGACACATTATGCAGCCAGGGAACTGTGATGCAATCACATGGGGAATGTATGCTGCCAGGACCTCCCAACATGATTTTGTAGTGTAGTGTGGGGTAGGGTTGTTTTTTAAGAAGACGTGCCGACAGTGTGGTCTCTTCGTTGACGGACTGGCCAAAAGGTTCGAATCCCGAGAGTATGATACTCTTGAGGTTCGGCTTTTTTTGACACACACACACACACACACACACAACCCCCCTCCCTGGCGCCCTCTTGTGAGACCAAGTGATCCGCCTTCGAAATGATCATCTGTATACAGTAGGGTGTTATAAAATAAACAACAGGAGTTACTGTAGCGTAGTGTTAAGACACATGCTTCATGTGTGTGTGTGCCCAAAGAAAGGTACCAAAAGTCAGATTTTGACAATTTTTAGTTAAGGGTTACACTTTATTTATAGGAAATTCAATGCTGAACATGGGGGTCTTTGAATATTTTAGATATCTCAAATAGTTTTTGAAATATTGTACATTTTGCGAGGTAGGATATAAAGATAGAATTTTGAGAAAATGAGCTTTTAAGTTTAACAAACATGAGAACACATACAAACTTTTAAAAAACGATTTTTTAAATATATTTATTCATGAAAAATTCATGTCCAATTTGGCATTCAGTTGACATATTATGAACGGAATTCAATGGTAAAACATAGCAGGGAAGAGAGAATGTGCATTTTTTTTTTTATTATACCCTACCCTCAAAATAATTCAAAATAAAATATTTAGAAGTTGAATCAATGAAAACCCTTTGAATTCATTGTAAAAAAAAATGGTGGATCTATTATTTTTTTAATGGAAACACATTTTCGTCAAAAAAGGAATTTTTGTCATTATCAGCCTGTAGCTTGAAACGATCTGGGGCGAATTTTGGTACCTTTATCTAGGCGCACACGCATATGTTGAAGATCCCGGGTTCGAGTCTCGTTGGGCCCACATTTTTCCAGAGGGTACGTCTCTATATATATATGACCTTCTTAAGTCGAAAGAGACGAAACTACCAACTCAGTACTCAGTAGAGACTAAGAGTAAGTAACAAACAAAGAATACATGGGAGTAACAGGTGAGATTAATGATTAGCGATAACGAAATTAAAAGCTTAATGATGTTCGGCTCTTGTTACATTGAGGACAATGAACAACTCTGACAAACTTTAAAAAACAATGAATATGTAAATACTGCCAGGAACTTTGACAGACACCTTCACAAACGACCCGAGTGTATCTTTTAAAAAGATCAATAACTCTCCCCCCACTCCAGAGTCCTATACTCTGCAACCGCATCTACTGTATTCACATGGTGACATGTGATGCGAACGCACGCAGGTTTACTGACCGGTCACGTTGGCAGGCTCGACAAGCTAAAAATAAGACGTTTGATTTTCTTCTCTTTTTTTTTCCACAAGTGACTGCAGTAACAAATATTGATTTATTTTAATGGCCCGGGGACACAGCATTTATAATTCACAACCTGCATGTCTTGTCACAAATGTTTCGTTATGAGGCTGGGAAAAGCCGAATGAAATAACTCAATTGCGACCGGCAAAAATGAACTTACTGACCCTATCGGATTTTGTTTCCCCAGTCTTGATTGATCTATCGCATTGAAATCAAGAACTGTGAACCAGGCTTTCTAGATGCATTTATGTAAGCTAAATTGCTGTTAAATGGGCACTGTTAGCAAATGACCACAACAATATCCCTTCTCCAATGGAGTGGACCTTTTGTAGACGTCGCCGATCGCAAGAAGTCCCTTTTAAAAAATAAGGGTATGACTATGCAGCCACTCACTTCCTGGATCCCCTTTGTTTTCTTTATGTTAAGACATTTACACATGATATTTATTCATTACTTCAACATATGAACTTATAATTGGAAAAAAAAATATGATAAGAAAGCTTTGTAATGACGGACAAGTGACCGGTCAAATTTTCACTTTGAGATATTTTGATCAAGAACCAAATTTTTCAAACCACTGCCGCTCTCAAACTTTGCTGCCTACCGAGACCATATTTGTTGTGAACATGTGATTCATGCCAGTGCATCATGAGAGCTTGGTTTCCGTTTGGAAAATGAAACAAGACCTGAGTTATTTATTTTATAAGGAAGGTGGCCGTATAGTTCGGCCGGCCGCAAATATTGCCTGTACTCTATATAATTTTCTACCCCTTTACATTAAATGCCATGTAGCACAGTTAACGTTTTTTCATGTGTACCACCTACTACCTGGTTCTCAAATTACTGCAAACAATTTTCTCTGCATACATGTATGAATTTGCTCGTCTTGGGTCTGTGCACTTTTTATAAAATTATGAAATGCCATAATTGTTGGTAAATTATAATTGAACTTTAATGTCAGAAAAAAACAAGTGAATGTCAATGGCTTTTAATTAAAGATTGTTCTTATTTGATTTGAGTATTATAACTGTAACAGGTTAAAATTATTTCTATGTATAGATTTATGAAAAATTTTCTCTATTGTTTTGCCATCTTCAGCTTATCCACCTTGAAATCAAGCCAATGGTCAGAAATCAGATTATCCGTGAACTGAAAGTCCTTCACGAATGTAACTCGCCCTACATTGTTGGATACTATGGTGCTTTCTACAGTGATGGTGAAATAAGCATTTGCATGGAGTATATGGTGAGTAATGTTGGGTGTAGTGAAGTGTTTGTCCAGCAGTCTCTTTGATTTAATTGTTTTCGAATTTGTTACAACCCAGTGTCTCTTGTAAGGAGAGCGATTAGATCAATAGATTTTGTTTTAGAAAACTTTTTTTGACAGGGAGTGTTTATACCACTACCCCCACTTTTAAACTTTACCAATTGGACAGTACCTCTAAAAGTTTTGTTTTTAAAATTAAATTGAAATGCTGATTGAACAGAAAAAGAGAGTCTGTATAGAAATGGTATCTAAACAAAAGTCAATCTTTTTCACTCTCCCGACCTCTTTCCCTTTCCTACTCTATCAATCATCATCATTCGCCCACGCTCTCACATGCACTCACAAACTCACACATTTTCCTTTTTCCACCCCCTCACAAATATTTTCATTTATATTCATTCAATCAAGTACTCACACACCCATGTGAGTGAACTTACTGGAATAACTAGACTTTTTTTTCTATTTTATTGTATTTGTTACGTTTCTTTCATGTGATATATTTGTATTTTTTCCCCCACTTCCCCTCAGGATGGTGGCTCCTTAGATTTGATACTAAGGAAAGCTGGCCGGATCCCAGAGCCTATTTTAGGAATTATTACCATTGCAGTGAGTGTCTGTTATTATTCTGATTCTGTATTGTAACTTGAAAATTCCACCTATGAAGGTATTTATTCTTTACATGGCTTTGTGTTGAGCTTTTGTCAATAGGTGGGTACCTAAAATGTAGAACAGATGGTTGATAATAAAGTTCTTAATATTTTGTTTTTACTTGAATTTTTCTATTCATGTATTCATCTCCTTCTACAAAAACATGTATTTACAGACCTACAGACGGCATGCTAAGCTGTGTTACTGGCGTTACATAACATCAAGTCAAATTCTTTCAAACATGACTATGATGACACATTTTTTCTAATTTGAACATACAAAATTATTTTAACAGTTTTCTTATTGCTTTAATTTTCAAACATAAGCATGAGGATCACAGAAAAAAGAAAATCTGAATGCCAGAGTGTTTGCATAATTTGTGTCATCATAGTTATGTCAGAAAGAAATGAAAAACTTTCCGTTTTCATATCTTAATTTTTAATTGAAAATTTGGGCAAATAACGATTGAGATTCAATTTGAGTCACAATGCATGTTAATGATGAAAAAAATGCCACTTTATTCCCATTTTACTATGAATCTCTGCCAAATATCAAATATCTTTCGAACATAACCATGATGGCACAAAATAATTTTTTTTAAATACCCTGAAAAGTATTTTATGGAACCTAAAATTGTTTTAATATTTTTGTTATTGCTTTCATTTACAAACATAAGCATGAAGAGCATATAAAATAGCAGAAAAAAAAATATTCTGAATATCTTTGTGTTCGCTTTTGTTTGATCATAGTTATGTCCGAAAGAAATGAAAAACTTTCCATTTTCTTATTTTAATTCATTTTTTGACAATTTTAGAAAACAAAGATTCAGGAGATTCAGTTTGACTCCTAATGCATGCTAATGGTGAAAAAATGCCACTTAATTCACATTTTACTATGACTCTATGCAATATATTAAATATCTTTCGAACACACATTTAATGGATAAATGTTTGTCGTCAATTTGGAACATATCAACAATTTTCTTCAAATTTTCCCCTCTCGTTGACACCTAGTCAAGCACACATGGTCGCATCTAGATCTAGCACTACTTGACCATTGGCACGCAGTGCTATGTTGATCATTACTTGGTTTAAATTTAATTAAATAGAGGGTAACATTTTTCCGACATAACAGTTTTTTTCGAACATAGCTTGTTAAAATGTGATGACGACATAAGAAAACTTAAATGAATTCGTCTTATCCATCATTATTCTTCTTGCGTCTTGCGTCGCCAGCAATAATGGATCGATAGGAACAATGCACGTTCCTCCACCCCTTTTATTTCTCTTTTTTTTAATTGTTTCTTTCGAGCATAACAAATGATGACAGAGCACGAGGCATGGCGGGATTTCCCTTTACTGCAAAATTATGCACGGTCATAGCCTCGGAATCAGTCAGGGAAGAGAGTAAACATTGAACGATATTATGCTCATTCCAGGGCCCCAAAATGGCCGATAGAAGTGAAGTCGTAGAATCGAAGTTGCCTTGCGAAATGACTACACGAGTTATACTCGAAAATGAAAATCTAGAAGGCTCACAAAGACAAAACAGCTACAGGTATCATTATTCCTGATATAGCACCACGCATAATGTAGTTATAGTACTAAAAGCGTAGGAGGATGAGTTTCTCAGCAATTATTTCATTGTTGAACCTGACGACAAAAAAGTACGAACTCATCGCGTCACGTTTTGCATTCTAAAAATACATCGATTTCAGAACTAAAAATATTTGTAAGATTTCTTCTGATAGCCCAACTGCTATTTCTCTGCTCTCATAGCGCAACATATACAAATTTCAAAGCTGTTACACCATTTTTATTGGAAAAGGAAAGGATTTTGTAAGGTATAGGAAGAAACCCCCACTTGTTGGCAAAGGCTCATGACTCTCTCTCTGTCTCTCTCTCACTCTCTTCTCTCACTCTTTCTCTCTCTCTCTCTCTCTCTCTCTCTCTCTCTCTCTCTCCCTCCCTCTCTCTCTCCCCCTCTTTCTCCCTCTCTCTCTTTCCCCTCTACTGAAAAGAAAGTAAAGAAGCTTTCCCAGATGCTGTTTGTTTATTGATTTTTATATTTATGCTGTTTTAAATTGGGATTTGTAGTTCATTGACACAAGACTGTGCTTTCTCTTTTTAACAGGTGCTTAAGGGTTTGTCGTACTTGAGAGAAAATCATCAAATTATTCATCGTGGTAAGCTGTTTTTTTCTTCCTCTCCTTTTTTTATTTCTACATTGCCTTTTATTTGGTGCTTTACAATTGTATACCACAAAATGTTTTCATATTTTCCTCGTTTTCTGAGAGTTAAATGGTTAAAAGTTGTTCCTTCTTCTTCTTCTGGCAGTCTTAGGGAGTAACTGACTGTAAGATCTCGTAGTTACTTGATTTTTTGCATAGGTGGCCGTTTTATCTCTACATAGAACTTACAATCATCCCGTGCCTGACAGGCAGCCACATGTCATTTTTTAAGGTACTTTTAGATATTCATACCAACTAGAGTGACTTCAGCTTTGTATAGGAATTAATTTTGAATTGTGTGTGAATGGCAGTCAGAAGGATCTTTAACTCCCACGTAGGACTTCAAAAATTTATTGTTTTAATCCAATAAGACCAGGTGCTTGAGTCTACCTACTGTAGGATCCAGGAATGACTCCAGCCACCAGTATAGGTCACAGACAGATTGTGACAAGCATAATTTATGTCATCTGTTGAATGTGTACTGTTATTTAGATTGATATGCCCTGGAAGTCGAAATTAGTCTATAATGAATTAAGACAGTGGAGTGTTGCAATCATGTCTTGACTGCTTAGATGTCCAGGATTTTCTACCACTACGAATAGTGGTCTCTCTTTTTTTAAATTTCTGCTTTCGTTTTCTTTTTCTCTTTTCTAAAAAAAAAAAAATTAAATTGTGATGCTCCATACCTTGTAAAAGGAGCTTGCTTTGCTGCAATTTCCTTATACTTAGAGAAATGACAAATTTATAGTTTAGAGACGTCATCACTTTGTTAGGGAACCCATAACTAGAAGAGAAAATGATGATATGTAATAGTGCAACTTTTTTCCCGATTTTTTCTGCTTGAAGAGTAAATTTACATTGTTGTTCCAAGCGAACAAAGCAATGGTAGCTTATATTGGGCATTGGGCTATAATTCTCAAAGAAAGTCAGTCTTTCTACTATTAACTATTGTTGTTGTTTTTTTTAATTGACCAGTTTCTTTTTGTTCTTGTATGGTTTTATCTGCTTGGTCACAACCAGACACTTGTTGGTTCAAATTACATTTATTTTTATTGTGATTTTCTTTGCAGATGTCAAACCTTCAAATATCCTTGTGAATTCACATGGAGAGATAAAGTTGTGTGATTTTGGTGTCAGTGGACAGCTGATAGATTCAATGGCAAACTCCTTTGTGGGGACCAGATCTTATATGGCGGTAAGTTGGAATGGATGCCATCAGTGTTCATATTCAAAGTACAATCGGAAGTATCCAAGACAGCCACTCATTGCCTAGGAGAAATGTGGTTGACTTAGATAGGTGCCGTTAAAGCTAGAGAGGTGAGCAGAGTAAGCCCGATTCCCTGTAAAGACTTCTCTGTTGACATCCACCCCTTGGTGCTCATATGACCTTTTGCAGTTGCGAGCGCCGTAAAACCTCTACTAAATAAAAAATATGTTAGACAGGTGGACATGTTCGATAGGGCCTTTTTTTTAATAAAAAAGAAGATGAGGGGGAATCGAAAGTGGCCATTGGGACAGGTGACTGTCAGAGCAGGTGGGACCTTTGTAGTTGTCTGGTTTGTTTAAGCACTACAGGTATAGAAAGACCTCTAACATGACAGACAGCTCTGCACAATCACATACCTGTTAAAATGCATTTACCTATTCCAACGTTCGAGACCTTCTTTCCTTCAATTAATTGTGTCTGTTGAGCATTTAGCAACATTGAATAATCATCATTGTGAATGTTCTACTTCAGTGATGTAATAGTGAAAGATCACTTATGTGACTGTGTAGATATTTGTAGCTTTAACTGAGGTGTCACTTTTGTCTTGGTTGGTGGTTGGAGGGTGTTACTGGTAGGTCCTGATGCTTTATTTTCCCTTTCTTGTTTATGTCTATCCGTCTTTCTTTTTCTTTTCACAAAATGGCAGTAATCATGTCAATGTGCTTCATATTGCTAGATTCAGACTCAGCTTCTTTTACTTTACTTTACTTTTCCGATCCAGCGGCCATTTGGGTTCTAGCCCTTCGGTCTGTCGATATGGCAAAGAATTGACAGGTTTTAATCAGCTGTGCTTTGTCGCTGTATAGAGTGTTTCCGATGTCTGGGGAGACAGGTAGGTAGGTGCTACGCAGGTCACAAAGTGCTGGGCAGTTAAATAGGTGGTGTGGTACTGTTTCATCCTAGCAGTCGCACAACGGGCAGTCGGGTGGGGTATCCTTGCGGATCCTATTTAAGGTAGGAATTTAGTGGTATGTGTTGTGTTCGCAGGCGAAATATCGTGACTTGTTCTCTTCTACTCAGGGAATTTATTGCATCTTTAGAGTTCAGACTCAGCTTCCAAATACTCAGATTATGCTAAGCTGTTACTTTTGTCTTTTTGTCTTGTTGCACAGCCTGAGCGGCTTCAAGGCAGCCACTACTCGGTTCAGTCAGACATTTGGAGCTTAGGTCTTTCTCTGGTGGAAATGTCCATTGGTCGGTATCCAGTACCCCCTCCAGAGGCGAGAGATCTTGCCAGCATATTTGGGGACAATGCGAACGAAGAGCATATGGAAGCAGCAATGACGGGCAGGCCTTTGAAAGGTGAGTCATTGTATTTGGAGTGGCTGTTGTTTTACTAATGACATCTTTGTGTAAGATACATAATTCAGAATCCTTTAAAGAAATATTTCAGTGTTTTGATAATTTGTGGAAAATTGTTGTGTTGTAGTAGTGCATGGAAATATACATGTGCTAATCTGGTGTTTTTAAAAATTCCTTCAGGTAAATAGATTGGGTCATCTGAAATAGCTTTTACAAAATTTTGAAAGTCAAAGAAATTTAAGTTGTTACGCAAATTCCGTATGGTTCTCATATCTGTTATACATGGTCAGGAGAAAAAGTTCTCATGGGACTTCTGTACTTTTTCAGATTTATCTTATAAGTGCTGAAAGTACATTTTGTGGGTTGTATGCTCAGTACAGGAAAATTTAATTCTTATGAAAACATCGGTTACTTTGACACGCTTCGGATATTTCCTATGGCAAAAATGGGGGTTACTATTTGAAATGTTTCTTAGTCAAGCAGTGACTTTTTTGATTGTCAAGATTTCATTATAAAGAGATTGGATTGTGTCACTAAGATTATGGTTAACAGATTCATTCAAAACTTGAAATTCTTTGTTATGTGGCTTTCCTGATCTTATTTCAGAGTTGTGTTGATGAATTCCCATTCCCTTGAACAACATGTTGTTTACCGTTATGATGTCTAAAAGGATTCTAGTAGCAGTAATCAATAATATAAATTGAAACTACAATTACAACCATACCCTCGCACATCCCCCGTCCCCATCCCTCCATCCCTACCCCTCCTCAGAACCCAATTTTGTGCAACAGCTGTATTAGACTATGTTGCTCTAATCTCGAAAACCACCTTTCCATTATATGACTTTGTAGTGACTGATGTCGGTGCAATTTCACAAAAATTAATTTCTATTCAGTATGAGAAATGCTCCATTTTCTTTTCTTCAAATAAGGGGTTACTATTATGCCTACAAATTTTATCAGTAATGTAGGTTTCGGAAAACAGTACTGCATATAACTTCGTGAGTCACTCTGTGGAGCACAGTGTAATGGGCTGTTGTTCATTCATTAATACCTCAAGGACCATTTAATTATTAAAGATCATGTGATGGAGGGATATTTAGCTTTCATACTTTAAAATAATGAAGTGCTTTACCATGTGTGTGCTTTATTGGCACTCTGGTGTGGTACGTTCCTTCCACTTCTTTTGTGGTGTTACTATAGTCCTATTCTGTCTCTGTAAAAAATGTGGCCATGCTGAATCATTATTAATGAGTACTCCATCCTTGTTTACCTAGGCTCTTAGTTGAACAGATACTACTGCCAAGTTGCCTGGAATGAACAATACGACTTTCCAGCACCCTGTTGTCTTTTATTGTTATAAAAAAAACTCCTTCCGTGTTTGGTGTTTGCATATGTCCCTGTGTTGATATTTGAATCTGAATACAATGACACTTTGCCCATTGCTGCTCATTTCTCCTACCTCCAAATCATCGTACTTCCCTCATTTTTCTTTTCTTTCTGTATTCAACCACACCTGAGTTGTCTTGCAGCTTGTCCAGGAGACATTGAGGTTTTTACTGGGGATGGTCCCCTGCCTATGGCCATATTTGAACTGCTTGAATATATAGTCAACGAGGTAACCGATCAGAAGTCCGCTGCATGATTACTCTTTGTACATGTGTTTATATTTGTATGTATGTATGTATGTATGTGTTTTGTAAATATACATCTTTTAGTTAATTTGTTTGGTTGTTTGTTTGGGTTTGTTTTTGTTTTTTTAAACTTTTATGTGGTCATGAAAATTCTTATCATTATATTTTGTGTTCCGTCATCTTTGTGCATTTTTGTTGGAGCGCATGCAACCTCCTGGGCTGTGTATTATATCGACAGAGCTTCCCAACGCCTCTCCTATTTGCCGAGTTCCTGTCAGTTTTTAGTTCTAGTGTAGGGACTGATTTAAGCTCCATAAGCTCAGCAGTGCTTTCTTCAAGCTTTCTTAGTTTTTGGGTGCATTTGCATAAATGTTTTTGCAGTATATCTTGTCATAAGAATGCCTTTTTGTTTTGCGAACTGGCTGTTAATGAATGGCAATGGTTCCGATACTTGAGTTATCTTGAGACTTTTCAACTGAGTGAAAGGGAAATAGATAAAGTATGTTAGGTTACAGCAGTCATATACATACATCATTTGTACAATGTGTATATTTCATAAAGTTGTTAAAAATTTTCTAAAATGAAATGTGCTGTTAACACATCAGTGCATGGCTACAATGGGATGCATACCTGAAAAAAAAGCGTCGCCATGCTAAGGCTAATTTGCATAAATTATGCATGTGTGCCTCATATGATTCAAGGTCAAAGTGCCTAGGATGTAAACTCGTGTCATTTTAGAATGTGTGCCATTTTGTTATTTAATATTATTAAAAGACAATTTGTCGAGCGATACATCGAAGACAGGTGCATACACTTTCAATGCTTTTCGAAGTTCGAAGTTGTCACTAAATTCTAGTACAGGGGTTTTTTTTTTACAATTTAGGTCAGCTGACACTTTGTCTTTTGTTCTATTTTTCTATTGTGATACTTTTTCTTTCTTTATTTCAATTTGATTGTAGTGATATGTTACATGAAGTTTGTGTGTCCTCACAATTGGACTGCAGGGTTGGGGGGGGGGGGGATTTTCTTGGGTATGGGGGGGGGGGGAAGTAAAGCAACTCTTCACTGATTGTTAGCATCAACTTTTCTGTATCTGATGCTTAGTCTGTTCTCAAAGGCATGGGAGCGGAGATCTGCTCTAAAACAGGAGGTTGTATTGTGTACCAATCAAGTCATAAAGTGTTTCAACATACATCGTAATTCACACATGTACTCTGACTGGATAGTCTTGACTTCCACCTGTTTTTTTGGGGGGGGTTTTGTATTCTTCTTCTTTACTATTTTACGGTCTTTGGCAGACCTTGATGAATGTTAGCCTTGAAGGAAAATGAAAAAAAAAAGACAAGCTTTCCTATTCAAACAACTTTTTATTCCCGTTTTAATTCTTTTATGAGGTGATGTTATCTTGCATGTTTATATTACTTTGTAAGTAGTTGAAAGTGATCATTCAAAGACAGTGGCGTGAGATATTTTTCCGTGCATGTTGTTGCATATCTTCCTCATACCAGTGTGTGAATTACTTTGTTCCTGAAAGACTTTACCACATCTGCCTGTCAGTTCCTTGATTCACGACGACTGCAGATGGTTTAGCAAAGCCTTTGTTCTTTGTTCCGAGTCTTCACTTTTATTTTCCCAGCAGCCTTGTTCCGACCTACAAACTGCTTTGTGTTTCCATCCAGGTGTAGATGTTACAGCACCACCCACACCTTTGTGGACTGCTGTTCTTCCTTTTTATTGAATTTGTTGTTGTGTTGTACTTGTTTTCATCTTTGTTGTTTTGGGTTGTTTATTTTTTAATGTTCACGTTTGGGGATTGTGATTTTTTATTTTTTTTTCCATATGTTTATTTTACTATGACATTTTGTTTCACTTGATGTGGACAGTACAATTCCTGTGGCTGCCTCCCCTTATGGTTGGAGACTTCCAGCTTTCAGTGTGCGTGCGTCTGTAACAGCTGGGTTGTCTTCTCTTGCTTTCTAGGCACCCGCAATAACTATATGGTACCAACGCAGGGGGGCGCTGCTGAGGCACCGCGATCTATGGCCATATTTGAGCTTTTAGATTACATTGTGAATGAGGTATGTGATCCCTGCTTCTTACTACTAAAAGACTTACAAAGCCCAAAGCAACTAAGGGCTGCTTTGGTCTTTAAAGAATGATACAATGTTTTATATTGCAACTTGACATGCTTGTTTTGTGGGTTGTTCTTTTTACCTCCATCTCCCTGCAGAAATGGAGTTGAAGTATTGTGAACAAGACATAAGACAAGTGCTAATGAAAAAGTTGGAAAAACTGATATTGTTTAGTTTCTTTCTTACAATTAGATTTCTTCAACAGTTGTTTTTTTCTATTTAAAAATCATACTTGTAGCTTCTTTCTGATTTCCTATTATCAGTGGCACCTTTGTATTTTGAATAATTTCTGTACCTCTTTTCCCTCTCTGTTCAAGTGATTGGTGACTCTGGTATTATCTGCTTCTTCCTTTATTTTATTTTTGGGTGATAATTGTTCTCTTCTCTTGTCTTGGCAAAAATGAGATAATGAACATCAACTGAACAACAATTTCCCCATCTATGTTAGTCTTTCTGTGTGAGATCGAGAAAAAGCTGAGAGAAAAACGCTTCAGCCTGAGCGAAAAGAAAGCTATTCAGTTAGTTTGTTCAGAACATAAACATCAAGGTACAGTTGTTGATCATATCTTCATCTAGCAGAGTGAAATTGTAAAATAAGATGCCGGATATTGGAAATAAAAGCTGAGCAGTGTGTGCCGATGTATTGCGCATTGGTGTGACACTTTGTCACTCTGTGATTGCCGGGAGCATATAATTGCGCCTGCTGGAGACATCAAAAGAGGGTCTAAGTACAGGATTAATTGCTGCACTATTTATGTCTGTCAATAGTTTTATCTTGTTTGCTTTTCCTTGGGAACATAATGGGAGGCTTGAGAATCAATGAAGCTTCTCTGTATTGATTTTTTTTAAACTTCAGACACACTCTGTTTTCATAAAGTTAGGATTTTGACTAAAGATCATCAGAACAGATCATACTTTTTATGTCTGTTGATGGATGTCTTTTGGGTTTTCGATTCTTCTAGTCCGTTCTCTTCCCTTTTTTAAAAATCTTGTCTTTGCTCCTTCCATTTTATCAGTGTGCATCTTTTCAGAATTAAGGGTGTCAGCGGTTGATCTTTTTCTCTTTTTCTTTTCTTTATTTCCCGCAGCCATGAAACTATATATTTCTCAACACTAAATGACCATTATCATGTCATTCTGCTTAATAGGAGTGCTGAAGATAGTGAACAAACCCACTGATTGAGCTGTCAAGCTGCAATATTTGTACCAGATATCTAACATGACCGTATAACATTCTTTGAAAGTGCCTGACTGACGTGTGTAGAACATTTTTTTCAGTGGTGGTGGTGGGGGGAGAGAAGGGTTAGTCCAAACCTGTGCCGATGTACACTTTTTAAGTTAACCAGTGAGTTTTGTGGGCTGGCATAGTTTTAGCATGAAATGTAAGGCAGATCAGGTCAGGCACTTTTTGGTCAATTTTTATTTAGACTGGTAACTTATGAGACCTCTAACATGCTGTTTCATAATGGTTAATTTGATTTTTTGTTGTGGTTTTTTTTTTTTTGGTCTTATTTTTAAAGAAAAAAATGTCTTATCATTTACTGCCATTGATATATGTGTTTTTCCCCCTCTTTTGTCAAATTCCTTTTCATATTTATCTTTTGTTATCCTTGCCAATCCTTTCCGTTTCTCTTCTTTATTATAGTCAGTCCTTTAACATTTTATATTCACAAACTCAGAGGTTGATTGCATCCTGATAAGCTAGTGGTAGAATTTTTTTAGTCTCATCTTGTCTTTATTTAAGTTTGGCTGAGTTCAGCAGAAGTTGTCATATCTGGTGTTGAGTTTGACTTATTAGAATATTTGTTTGTCACCTTTTGCTCGTATTTTATTTCTTTAACTTACTGCAAGTGCAAGAATTTGTAACTTGTGAATGAACTCAACTGCTTTGAACACCACAGATGATAATAGCTGAGTCATAGCTACTTGTTCAAAATGCCAAAATTCTGTTTTTGCACAGAAATGATGGATAGAGTCAATCTGAAAACCTTTTTAATTATCAATTTTTTGTTCAGTATTCATCTATGATTTTTGTTTTAATAACTTTTTCTCACCACTGCCACCTGAAAGAAATATACAGGGAACTCATCCGTCCTTTTGAGGGCTGCATTGTGCTTCATAGAACTTTTTCTTTTTTTTTTTCAATAAATGTTGATCAAGCTTGCAAGTAATGCACATCAGTATTGTCCCAGTTTATGCATGTGCTGTAATAACATCCGCAATCTGGCACTTGTGTGCGTTTCGAAAGTTACTGTCATTTCAGCAGAAGACAGAATGCATAGCACTTAAATTGTTCTTGGTGTATGGCTTAAATCTATCTAGAACTCGTCTCTTGTGTAACTAAGGCAAACTTGAAAAGCAGTATAAACAATTCAGGGGGTTGTGTGTAAGGCTTTGTCTATAGGTTTTGAGGCTCACACTTTCATTGACTGGTGCCTGCAGTGCTGTTTAGTTCTTACAGACATTTTGAGGAAGGTCGTTTTCGCTTGACTGAAGAGCCCCCCCTTGTTTCAAGAATAGAAAGTGGATTTGGTTTGGGAGATGAGTGTTGTTTTTTCATTTCGTAAGTAGATAATTTTTGTTCTAGACTGTTAATGCCCCATGTGGCCTTCTCCTTTTTCTTTTCATTTCTTGCAGTTGTAGAGAGGTAGGATTGGGTTGGAAATAACTACCCCCTCATTGTTTCAAGCTTAGTATCTTTCACTCCACTGAGTTCAGAAATCAGTTCTTACTTGTTTCACCCTTAGTCTTCAAATTCTGTTGGTTTTCTCCTCACTTTGTTTATAATTGTTTTCCTTTTATTTTGATTTTATGTTGTGTAGAGGTCTCATAATTTCCCCCCCAAAAAGAAAAGCCAAAAATTAAGACGAAAATGCTGATTTGTAGAGTCCTTCATATACCTCAGGCATAACTGAAGCAATGTGTTTCACAACATTCCATTCCTTTTGAAGTGATCCACCTATTTGCTTTCAGTGTTTGTAATGCGATATTGTGAACATTTTGCACTCTCCAGTGTGCTGTGTTTCTTCCATACTTTGTTTTTTTGACTGGTCACTTTTTTGAAAATTGTGCAAAAGCAAGGGAGTTATGACATGATGCTTGTGTTCTAGTACAACAGGGAAATGGGAAAGCTAGTAGCACCATTTTTATATATTTTTTTGTTCCATATGTATTTGTTGTTTTCTTTTATTAAAAAGTTCTGGATGAGATCAGAATTGTTACTATGATACCTGGAGATGTCAGTATTGAGTTTGGAGTAGAAATGTGTCAAGGAAAAACTTAGTGAATTTGAAATTTTGAATTTTCTCAGTCTTTGTTGGTTTTCATAGAGAAATGTATGAACCGTTTCTGGAGGGAGGGGTGGGTTGGGGTTACTTCTTTTAACTTTTAGATATGTCATGTCAGTGTATCAGGACTTAGTCAGAAAGGACTGTAGGATATATGTCAGAACTTGACTGCTGTGAACAATTTTCAAGGCAGCCTTTTGTTCATCTCCTTTCATTTTGTGGCCTGTAAACGTACGAGATTATCTTTTGGATTTAATTTTCTATTGTCCTAAATTGTAATGTGAATAATGATTTGAATGGACAAATTATGCAACAGCTTTAGAGCAGTACAGTATTGTACCATGTAGTGAATCCCAGGAATCTTCTCTTCAAAGCCCTCAGTCAAGGCCAATGTGCTAGCCTCGTGCAGATATGTGTGCTTAGAAGTCAATCATCGGGTCAGGGGAAGGCTGGTTATTTATCTATTATTGAGTTTGTTTTTTTTCTTTCAAGTTTTAATTGGCTAGTCCTTGTGGTCCTTCAAGCTGATTTAGTGTTTTATTTAAACTTACTGTGTATTCAATTCTCAAATAACCTGGGTTTCAACTGTAGGCAGAGAAAGGTGATCGGAGTTGTGCTGAGCATATAGATTTTTTTTCTTTCAAAAGTGTTGTAGTTGGCTTAAAAGTTACAGATGAAAGTCTCACTGAGTCCAGTGTCAAGTATGGGCAGATTGGTCTGATGTGGAGATTAATTGCACAAGCTCACGTCTGGAGGAAATTTGTTGCTGCTCTTAGTTATACCTGTGGTGGATAGAGGTTGCTGAAGGACAGACAAGGTTGTATGGTCGCCCTTAGTTCCATTCCCCTGTTTCCGTCCACCACCACACTCCTGCATTTTGGTTGAGGAGAGAGCCATTGTGTTTCACATTTCCTTGCACTGCACATGGTGGTCCATTCTGTGCATTGAAGTAGACCAAATAGTGTGCACCTGCATCAGTAGTCCCGGCACACAAGTGTAGACCAGCCATCTTGTATCTTAAGTACAGATTTTCATTTATATCCGTACCACTGTGCTTGTCTTTGTTCCTAGTCCCTGTAATGACTACCCCCTGCTCTGTCAGAAGTCTGCTTGCTTACCTCCCTCCCCTTTAGCAGTTGTGTCAAGTCGTCACCCTCCACTCTGTATTTTTTAGAGTTTCACAAATAAAATGTACACAACAGCATTGATGTTCTTTTATGCGTGCCCTTAGTGCGTAAGTTGTAGTTTTGGGGTTTAAAAGAAATTTATGTTTCCTTTTTCATACATCTAGTACAACCATTCTGAAGTAATGGAACAGATCATTTGTTCCTGTTTGGAAGTATTTAATTTGGTGGACATTTTTTTCTATCTCTAGAAATATTATTTTTCAGTATGTAAATGAAATTTGGTCCAGTGTGCCATCTGGACATGATTTGTGGAAAGTCTCTCACTGTAATTGGATATGGGAATGATGAGTTCAGACCAAGTGAAAGTCTTTGCATTGACATCATATATAGTCCTGGAAAAGACTCAACATTTTATGACCTGGTTGGATGAATAATCTTGCCAGCTCTGTCGACTCTAATAATGGCTGCACTTTATTTAAGCACAGAAAAGGACAACGATCAATGCCATGTCATGTTGCTTACTTTGGTGTGCATGGAGAGCACTGCAAGCTTGATCATTTTATATGCTGTTGAAATCGGTAGTCTGAGAATTTTAGTCATACCAGTTCTTGAGTAATAACCTGTGGCATTTTGACTAGAGTTGTAATTTTGAAGGTCATTCAGATGAGTTGTTATGAAGATAGATGTTTACTAAACTGAAATCATGCTGCGTTTTTTTTTAGATTTGAATAGTCTTTGTACACATAAGGACTGCTTCATAAGATAGTGAAACATGTTTTACTCCCCATTTCAGCCTCCACCGACTCTCCCGAAAGGACGATTTTCTGACGAATTTGTTGATTTTGTTGATAGATGGTGAGTAAGTCAAGGACAGGTGATTTGTTGCAGATTCCAAGCCCAGCATTCACTGGTGTCATATGTTTTGTGTTTATTAGACTTACTTTTTTTTATATATCTCTGTGTCTTGTTTGTTGTAGGGAAGCACAAAAGGCCTGTTAACCTGACAAGTGATGAAATAAATGTTGCACCGACTTGTAACTGTACATATAGGTGGATGGAATATGTTGCTTACTAGCTTATTAAGTTTCACTTGATTATTTAGTCTGTGTGTAATGGCATCAGTAGTCTTGTGGTTAAACTACAGGACTTGTAATCTTGAGATTGGGGGATCAAGGCTTAGCTCAGTCTAACATTGTCCTTGGGAAAAGGCACTTTTTCTAAACTTCCAATTTGGCGCAGTCCTGTTGGAGATGGATGTTAAAGTCCCACCTTGAAAACAATGTTACAGTGTTGCAAGGGCTGTAAAAACCTATACAATTTCACACTTTTTTTTCTGATGTTTGTGTTCCAAGAGAAGCTCATTTATTTTATAACTCATCTTATCTAACATGTAGATTTTAGTTGTAGGCTATCTGTGCTATTGAGTCCTACTGTCAGATAATTGTCAGTGGGTTGGGTTTTTTTCAACCAAGACAGTTGTTAGTGAATAAAGTGATGATTAATAACTGGTAACTGTGTGAGTGGGAAATATGTGAATTCTGTCATTTATCATTTAGGTTCCTTAACATGTGCTATTTTTGTCTTCTTCTTTTTTTTCCCTACATAGCTTAAAGAAGAATCCATCGGACAGAGCTGATCTGCAGTCCTTAGTGGTAAGTTGGAGTTAAAAAGATATTGAAGAAAAAGACTCAGTCATGCTGCTTCTGTAATATCTTTAGGATTTTTTGCCTTGCTTAGTGGCGTCTGCACTGGACAATTCATTTTTGAAAGAGTAATATTAATTTACACGAACTGCTATAAAGAGTAGATGGTGGTGACTGATTACCACTGGCTAAACTTTGTTCACCAGAATTATCCTGCCTGTTCATGGATGCTATGAAAACACGCAGAAAATGTCTCTGAAGGACTTCAACATGAATCACTAGACATGGGAGTGCCTAGTTTCAGACAGACCAGGTTGGAGAGCAGTGGTCACAAGGGCAGCAAATCAAATGAGGTTTCACAAATTAGAAATGCTGAAGCCAAGAGAACAGCCTGCCAGATGCACACATCCACAAGTGAAAATGACGTTTTTAAGTGATCAGAGTGTGGCAAACTCTTCTCGACCAGAATTGGTCTCATCAGTCGCAGCAAAATCATCTTGATCCTTTTCTCTTCTGTTTCACTAAATAACGTTCTCTTCAGCAGATACATTGGTCATCATCAGACGTTGAGGGACAAACTGTTATTATTAATATTGTTATGTACATGATTTGTGGGAATTTGGTGTGGTATACTTCTCGTGTTTCTTTTCAGTGTTACTGTTACCTACCTTGGTCCTGGTAGACACTACTTTTCCTCTGCCTGTCCTTTGCTACTGTCTGTGTCTTACTTTTTCTCTTCTCCAAGTAACCATTGTTATTGTTTATTGTGCTTTTTTTCCTCAAATTTTCCAATTTCCTATAGAGTACTGCTTAATATATTCACATTTACACTATTGCACTGTAAGAAAACAAGGGGGGGGGTAACATAAAAAAGAAGAGTAAGAAAACCAGAGAGGAAGGAACTAGGTCACTTTGGCCTGATGGCTATGTGCATGATGATGATCCCTGAATTTAGAACTTGAAATAGCCCTCTATTTTTGAATTACCTTGATTATGATATACTTTATTTATGGCAAGTCAGCGTTATGACAAATACATTACGCTCAGTATATTGATGAAACTGAAAAGTAGACAGAGCAGAGGAACTCTAGAGGGTTCACTTACCACCTACACAGTGAATTTGTTTTTGTTTGAATACACTGGTTTGGGGGGGAATTTGTTTTTGGTTGGATATACTGGTTCACAGGTGAGTCTGATTTTAGGTGGATATACTGGTTCACAGGTGAGTTCGTCTTTGGTTGGATATACTGGTTCACCGATGAGTCTGATTTTAGATGGATATACTGGTTCACAGGTGAGTTCGTCTTTGGTTGGATATACTGGTTCACCGGTGAGTCTGATTTTAGGTGGATAAGCAGGTTCACAGGTGAGATTGTTTGTGTTGGAGAGTAAAACAGAATGAGTGTATGCTCAGAATAATTGTTGCACAGCATCATGCTATGTAGTAAAATCTCAACAAAACTGAAAGTCATTTCAGTCAGCACTAACTTTGTTCTTGGTTTGATGAATTTTTCTTGTAGAACCACCAGTTTGTAAAAAAGTTTGAGAACTCGGACATCTCCATCGGCCAGTGGGTCTGCAAAGTGATGAACATCAACCCGAGATGAGTGGCCAGAGGTTGTAGTGATCATGGGCTCCAGACTGTGGAGCGACCATTTTCTGCGTACAGTTGTGCATGTTTGGATGAGTAGGAACACAGGTGTGTCCTGTGTGTCTGCTCTAGTATCGAATTTTTCTGTGAATGCACCTTAATGCATTGTGCCAGACTATTTTGATTTTTTTTTTTTCCCCATAAATATTTTTAGGGTTATTACGCTGTTTTCAGGTCATGTTGAAAATTTGGTGGTTGGAGGGGGCATTGTATTTTATTATTGTTGTTTTGCTAAACGTTTTAGTAGGACCATTCAGAAGTTACGAATTGAAAATAAAATTTGCTTTTTTTTAAAACTGGAAAGGTTTGCGATGTTTTTTATACTAATTTCTCTTCGAGTGGACTGATTTTTGAAAGGTTCAATTTTTGTATTTAACATGTGGTATCTTAGATGAGTGTGTGAATGAATGCTTGTAAATCATTTAATAATTTTTGCTTGAAATGGTTTCCACTTTGCAAGATCTTTCACAAGTGTAGCATTAATACATGCTTGCACATTCAGCTTAAATGGTGATAGAAAAACCCAGAAGTGCTTCAGTCTTACAATGTGATAACTACACTGAGACCTGAAGTGCTGTCGAGGGATTTAAAAATAATCTAGAAAATGAGAGGTGTTTAAATGAACATTTTGAATACAGGCGAAATATTTTTACCGCATGCAGAACTGATTCGCTTTTCTATCATTCTCTTGATTGTGGGAGATGTTTCCGAGTTTGGCAAATTTGAATGAGTGAATGACTTGGGAGAGCTGTCTTCTTGGCAGAAGGAAACTCAGCATCAACCTCCCCATCATATCCAGGGGTAAACAGTAGGGCATATTGTGTGATTTACGTTTCATTGCTCATCTGTATCTTCAATGATGAAATGATTATTTGTTTTCCCTTTTTGTTTTTTTGTTTATTCGATTGTTTTGAAGAAGAATGTGATGGAATCTGAATGTTTTGTGTATGTAGGGCGGGGGATGATAATGATAAGTCGTGGTGTAATGTTCTCAATGTTTCACATTCCTCTTTGATGTATCATGTCACTGTCAGTGTCAGTCTTTCTGTACTGAGTTGTGCTTGCTTTGTTGTGTGCTGTCAGTGGGCATTGAGGAGGATTCTTTTCACATTTAGGTTTGCTCTTATTTGTTTTGAGCTATGGATGCTTTCTCCATCATAAGATTTATATATATGACAAATTTTTCACGATTTGTATCCTCGCAAGAACACTATTTTGCCCACGTGAACATAGACACTTGCTGGCTGATAATTTATGTGATGAGAAATTGCGGGGCATGGCAGAAGGATCAGTTACCTCTATAAATAAGCGTTGTATTCATGCATGTGTCTGTAATAAAAGCTCATTTTTAGGGATTAATGTGACATTTTTGTCCGATAAAGTCTGCACTCATTGATTGAATCGTGTGTTTGTGTGAGCTGTGAAGGGTAGCATCAATATTAAAGAGAAAAAAAGCACTATGCTTGTGTTAGCAGTCCTGACGTGCGTTAATAGTTTGTAGAAAACTGCCAACTTCTGATGTAAGATGAACAAAAGTTACCTCATTTGTCACAAAGTTGTTCTTTTCTGTTGTGATTATGCTTCTCTCTTTTTCCTATTAAAAGGTAGAAACTAATTTGTCGCATTGTGCTTTCAGACTGTTGACTTTCATATGATTTGGTTGATAAGTCTAAAAAGTTACTTTGTGATAGTACTTTTTTTTTACATTGAGTTACAGCGAGAGAAAAAATGGGTGTAAAAATTGGAAGGTGACAAATTCATTTTTAAATAACTCAAGTTTGTATTGTTTGATATTGTCTTTATTTGTTTGATGTAAGTATGTACTTATGGTTGTTGTGAAGTGGCTTGATTAAGGTCTCCTTGTTAGTGGCTTTGGGCGTGTCAAGACAAGCTCGATCGAGTTTCTTCAGAAATTGTCTTTGTAGCTGTGAATAGACAAAGCTTTCCATTTGTGCATTATTTCCTCTTGAAAACAAGTTCACAATAAAATTCAGAGATTCCAGACAATGATTTTTTTTTGTAGCTGCTGAAGTTTGAGCACTCTATTTTTTTGGCCTCATTTTTATGCAGATATGAATGATTTTGCAAAGCTGATTGGCATCCTTCAGTGGTTCTTCTTGTTTTCCCAAGTCTGTGATAGATCTGGCAATGTTTGGCATTGTCCAATTTGTATTGGTATTGGTACAAAACATTTGCAGGGATAGTAATATCTGTTCATAAATGTTTGGACACCTCAAAAAGTATACGTAGGCATTTTTTGGTTCTTTTTGGTTTACTAAATGTTACATTTACTACGCCCTGTCCTATAGCTCTTCTATAGTTCTCCTGTTCAATCAAATGGGGGGGGGAGAATAGAAGAGTTGGCTGTTCTTGGGTTTGGAGTGAAAGTGTTTGGGGTTTTGTTTGGCAGGGCCTGGTTTGAGATTAGGTCTAGGGGAGTCAAAAGACTTGATGTTGTAGGGGGCGTTGCTGTGTTTTGGCCTATGATGAGGTTTAGATAGTTTGTCGACAGATTCCATCTGCTCTGTTTGTTTTCTGGTCAGCTCCATTGTCCTAGCTTATTGCAGTAGGTCATTTAAAGTCATATTTGGGTTTGTTAGTAATGTTAGACCCTTTTCCTTGACCTTGATGGATGAGCAGCCAAATATCAGTTGCGACTTGATTTCCTCTTCTGGGTTTACAAACTGACATGTTCCGGCAAACTTGATGTACCGGAACGACACTTGTTGATTCAACAAATTCACTCTCTTATCATGATTTTGTCACACTCTAGTAACACCCTAGTATCCAATTATAAATAATAATGATCATACGTTTTGTGCCCAACACAATGTTTTGAATCAAAGCAGCATTTGTGTATGCCGGGCTTGTGAAAGACTCTCTGAACACTAGACACATCAAAGAACCGGTTAGATTTACACTGTACACACCACGCACGCACACACTACACAGACCGGCGGGAGGCTGGGATCGACTGCGGTGTAGGACTCCACCTCGCCGTGTGGAGTCCGGATTAAGTTGCCTGATAGTTTAGCGCCTTTGTGATACCCCTCAGGGCTGCACAGCTCACGAGCATGAGATAAAATCCCCAGTTGAACACAGCTACTAATGGCGCTTAATGTTTCCTCAACAACATTAGCACAAGTGCAGCAGTAACAAGGCTTTTTTCCTGTTTGGGATGTAGGTACTGTAAACACTAGATACACTGTGTTTGAGAGATTACTAAGTAGTAAAATCGACTCCTTAGAGATTAAGAGAATATTCAGTTGGGGGGAAGGTTTTTGTTATCGGTGCTCTGGTTTTTGCTTTTTTTGTTATTTATTTTGTACATACATATCATAGATCCTATTGTGTTCATGATCATTGTAGATTAAACGAGTTACAAATGTGTTATGGCTACTTTTGGTCAAGATTGTCTAGCTTTCAGACTTTATTGTTAAATATTAAGAAGAGCAAAAGAGTTGAAGTCACAACTGAAGTAAGATTACAAACTCAGACCCTTCTTGTGAAAGTTATTACACTAAACAGCCCTTTGAAAGCTGTCACTATTTCACGTTTTGCTCCTATGAGGTTGTTGGAGAGAGGAAATGTAACCTTTTCTCCAAAAATAGACATCAGTGATCACAATAAATAATGCTTTCAACTTGAACTTTTTCGGCTGAGCACATAAACAACAGTGTCGATTTTTTAAGGCTGTGGCACCAGTAAATGTTGTTCAAAGTTCAGTTGAATCTCCCGACTATAAATATAAAGTGAAAATATAAAAAAAACTTAAAATGAGTCCGCTTTGAAAAATCTACACGTCTTGGTAATTTGTCAGTGAGAAAGTATGGAGGTTTTTCAAGGTCTTTGGCTACATAAAAACGTAGTAATTGTAGTAGTAGGTAGTGCTGCTTACGGTTTTTGAGAAAATGTCTTGAGACTGGGGGCATGAGTGTATGTAGAGAACTGAAGGAAGTCTGCTCTGTGAGAGATATAATTGACCTGACTATGCATCATGGTGAAGGGCATGTTGTGCCAATGTGTTTTCCGTTTCTGTTGTATTCCCCCATCTGTCTGTAAGATAAGCACCATTTTGGTTTGGATTTTGTTTTGATGTGTGTGCCCTTCAACAGTTGAGAACCTGCGTCAGTTGTGCAAATGACGAGAGTTCAGTTTCTGCTTTTGGAAGTCTAGTTACATTGAGTGTCTCTGTTTTTCTGCTGGGATGCTTTACCCCTCTCAGCATGATAAGTAAGGGCTAAGCAGCCGGTCCCTTAGTTGATCTAAATTTTGTTTATAGGAGGTCTGCCCCAAATCAATCCAGCTTGTTTTTGTTGTTATCGATCCAGGTCCGCCCCTCCCCCCCCCCCCCCCCAAAAAAAAGAAAGAAATGTGTTTGTGCTTGTGAAATTTTAAGAAACAGCTTCCTATCTTTAGATCAACTTCTTTATCAGTAAATTTGAAGATTTTTGCTCTTTCACAAGTGAAATGTGTCAATTTTTTACTGTTTGTATTGTGCAGTTAGTAATCCAGAGTACTTTGTATTGCCTTTTGTACCATACAATTTTAGTTTAGTGCACATGTTGTGAACAAATGACGTAATGTTTCGCGGAACTTGTTCGGAGTGTGGCTGTTATTGATAGCCTTTCTTGTTTTGTAATGACTTTTCAGGACTGAAAGAAAGCTTTCATCTACATCTAATTTATTGAACTTTCTGCAAAAGAAGTATTTTAAAAATAGCACTGGATTTCAAGAAAATACATTTTTGTTTGTGACAGAACAATGGACTATTTGCCATGTAAAGGAAAACAATATGAGACACTAAGCAGTTTTTTCAGAAGAGATGGTATTTAATAAGGGATGTATTGTTCTAAGGGAGAGTGCTTTATCAGATGTTAACTCACTGAAGACTGAAGGATTTTACTATGTACAGGCACCGAAAACTGGAGGTTTTTGGGTTTTTAAAAATTAAGTTACATAAAATCTGAACCATTTAAAAAAATACAATGCCCTTTTGACACAATCAAGGACAATACAGTAAACATACCAAAGTACAAGTGTAAATCTCTGCTGGATTATTTGTCATGATTTTTTAGTGAAAAAGTTAAATTCGATGTAAAAAAATCACGAATAAGAAAATTAGAGACGTCATATAGACAATCACCGCAATTTACTACACAGTCTTAAGCAGTCACCTAACTAAAAATGCTCTGGATAAAAAATTATCGATCGACCGATATTCAGGAAATTTTTTGTGGAACGAAACAAATGGCTACGCATACGTCTAAGTCTAAGCCAGATCCCGTGCTTTTAGCGGCATTTATAAAGACGCTATCGGCAATAATGACAATACTACGTTTTCCACCGGAACCCGTGTTTTTAGCGAGAAACATCTTCAGTGAATTAAAACAAAGTCATCTTCAGAAATGAAAATGTAGTTCAGTACCCTGCTTCCCTCACTGCTTTTACAATCAGAGTATTCAGAGATAAAGCCTTTATCTTTTCAGTACCGTACATCTTTTTTTTCATCGGTCTTATGGATGGCATGAACTCGGCTCCTCTCTATCTCAAACGAAGTTAAGCGTGTTGTCTTCAATTATGGTAATTATTATATTCGTTATAATCATTGTTTTGTGCTAAAGCAAGTAATGACATTCTTTTGTATGTTAATTCTAAATAATAAGTATCATATGCTGTATGACAAGCTTTGGATGTCCCTCCCTCTCACTTTGCCAATTGCACAAGGTGTATGTCTGTATGATTATTCTTTCAATGAATTTTGACATGGATCGAAATTTATCCGAATATTGTGTTGAATTAAAGTTTATATATTATATTTATAAAATGAATAAGATCTTTAGACTTTTCATTGAAGGTCCTCGGCCAATATCGCATTGTATGTTTACTAAAAAGTGTACAAGTTATTTTCTCATCCTGCGTGACATCCCTTGAAGTTTTTCAGTGCTGAAAAAGTTTCCACCAAATTTTTATTTGTTAATGTTTCAACCTTTTGAGAATAGCTTATAAATTCGAATGAAGTTGAAAAAAGCTGACAGGGTGGGATTCCACGATGTGAACGGTGTGCTAATCCATGTCAGTGTCTGTGTGGTTAGGTTTAATCTTTTGGGGTTCATTTTTTGTTTTGTTTTGTATTCTGCTTATTTAAGTCTTTTTACTTTAAATTTAAAGTCAACCATTGAAAATGATGTTAACTGATAATAATAATCTAGTTTTAGCTGCTCTAACAAAGACCATAGTGCAAACAACTGAAAGTGAAATGATTGCTGTACATTGTTCATGCATTTTTTTTACAGTGAAGAAAAATTCCTTGACTGTAGCAGTTACATCTTCTACTGACCCACAACTAACACTGGAATGAGTAATAATGTGTTCATGTCTTGTAAATGGAGTTTGAAGCAAAAAAATAATAAAAACTAAGTAAATAAAATAATTCACAATAAATGAGAAAAGGAGAAAAAAAGGTACTTGTACTTGTCTGTAGTATTTGTTGCAAATACGTGTGTTTGAATACTATGTTGTGTGTCTGTGTTTTGAAGTAAGAAGGAAAAGCAGAGAAACCATTGAGCAGGAGAAAGTGTATTTTGGGTGCTTTTTTTTTTCATAGTGTAAGGGAGACTAGATCATACTAGATGTAAAAGTACTATGAAATATGATGATACTATAGTAAGAACAGGTCAACTCTTTGGTAGTTTTCCACTTGTGAATAGTGAGATGTGTGGACAGTAACAGGTCATTGTAATTGTGTAGCTCCAATAATTTAGGTGAAATGTTGGGCAACCAATCAAAATCGGACTCAAGTGGCTGAGAATGGAAATGTGAACCTTTTAATAATGAAAGTTGAAAGGCTAGCACCATACAATCGAATTAAAACACATCAAAATCTATACTGAAACCTGTTTGAGTGTATAGTTTCTTTGACTTGAATGGAAGAATGACATGCTGATGTCAGGGTGAAACAAGTTCTTCCCTGTTTTGTCAAAACAAAGGGATTGATCGTGGCATTATACACCTGTTGTAGGCAACTTGTAGGTGAGGAAAAAGGAAAGAAGATTTTGTTCCGATTTTTGCGTTTATTGTAGCTGGTAACTTGCCTAAACTGCAAGCAATTATATGGCCTTATTGTGTTGCAAATGCCGTAAAACTCTTATTAAAATTAGGGGGGAAAACCCTTAAACTTCGAGTAAACGAGGTTATAACAGAGCTCCGGCAAATATACCGGGTATATATATATATATCATTGGCAAGCTGTTCAACTGTTGTAAGTCCTGAAAGCAAATTATTTTTAGAAGAGATAAAAACTTGATAGAAAGTTGTCTGTACAGTTACTGTTACTGTTATTCCCTATGCGGATCAATTTCTTCCCTTTGTTCTGTCTGCCCCTCTTTGGACAAACAGTGTTATAATAACAAAGTTACAGCCCTTAAGACACACTGTACTACCCCACTTATCAGGGAAGAGAACTTGCTATGTAGAGTTCACCACTCCTCTAGAGTAGAAGCAAGTCTTTCACTCTGGACCATTCATGCTCAAACCTGCCTATTCTGTGATGATCAACAATAAAACTACAAACGGTCATTTTAAAAAAAGCAAACATTTGGAGAAAAAAAGAATGGTGTCACCCAGACTCCCACCCCTGTAGATTAAGAACGTCATATTACACGTACAGATGTTGGAAACTTGCACAAACACCAAAATGTCAGTGTTGAGTCGGACCAGACTGGAACACGCCCCCCAGCATTGCAGGACACACAGAGCCCTGAGACATAAAATGTGGCCAACCCCATTATCATTAACACTACAAGAAAAACCATATATGGGTCAACAGAGGATTTAGCAGGAAGGCCTGTATATAACTGTACAACAGACACCAGTGTTCAAGTGTGATGCGAGAGAAGAAGAAAATGATGTCATGAAGCTATTGTTGCATAAAAATATTTTTTTAAATGAAAAAACATGTCGTATCCTAGAAACTATTTTGTCCCAAGTGTACTTAAGTAAAATAATTCTGAGGCGACGATGTGGTGAAACTATCAGTACTCGCATTGCCTGTTGAACAAGTGTATAGATCCACTTTCTTTACAATAAATCTTATAGTTATAGGCTGCTGGGAACAAAATTTACATAAAAACAAACCAGTCTCACAAGGCTTAAAAAAATCAGACAAACCAAGTTTTCTCAAGGCATTTGGTTAAGTCGGCATAGTGCGTACAGCAGTGTGATATGGCAGCCAGCGAAACATTTTTTGAAGTTGGATTGAAAGAATGTTGCTGTTCTCCACTCGCTTCAACTTTAATTAAGAGACTGACGTTAAATAAAGGAGGGCTCACTTCAATACAGTCCAGTCCATTTATAACAGCCTCTGTTATTGTTATTACTGGAACTTGGAATAACAGTGATAAATCAAATCCCCGTTTTTTTAAATCTATAAGTATAAGTAATCTGAACCTGCCTATAACAGGGTCCAATTTGCACAGATTCTGATACATATATATATAACAGTGATTGTGGAGTGCATGAACTTGCTTTCGATCCGTCAAATTATTAAAATTTGTCTCAACCAAGACATTTCGCCTGTTTGTATGATTGTTTGCCAAAACACAAATTTTCAAACACATACCCCTCTATCTATTGTGTTGGGGTCACTGATTGATTCCGTCTCAGTGTCAGCAAAACAGCCTACTGGAAAAGGATCTGCGGTAATTGAATATGTAAGTAGGCTGAAGGTGTAATGGTACTGCGGTAGTTCCCCTTGGTAACCGTAATAACAAGGAAATACTGAAGGTCCAGTCTGTCCTGTTCTATCTTGAGTTTTACTGTATTACTATTACCTTATTGTGTTGTAAGGGGCATTCACATGACATTGTCATTAAGTCGTCTAAATCTACAGGGGCCAGATTGTGGGTGATGCTAATTTTTCCTCCCCAACGTTCTCTTGTTTTATTTTGAGAATCACACAACATTCCACAATCAGAATTTAATTTGCACACAAGTCTGTCTCTCTAAATATCCTGTCACAGTTTAGACAAGCCCATGTGGTATTAGCATTATACAAGAACACTGAACCTGATGAGATTTACTCTTTCTCCAGCCTAAGCTGTCAGCAGGTTGTGTAAAAATGTAGCAATGAATTGTAAGTGAGAATGCCTGAAGCATTCCTTTTGCCATAGCCATGCTTGTGAGTGGGAATGATGAAGAAGACAAGAAAATATACAGTAATAAATCGTATATATTATATATGACAAAATGTACCTTTAAGCAGAGCTGGCATTTTCACAACCTGCATTTAGATTTTAGACAAGCTACTGAAATTTTGAAGTTAATCTGGCCATGTCAGGCCCACATATCTTTTAAGTAAACCACCCTTCCCCAAATAAAATACACAAAGACTTTATTGTGAGTGTGAAGTGTGGAATATATTCTTCCGCTCATCAAATTATTCAAAGAGGATATTGCACATGATTATCTTCTCTTAGTCTTGAGTATTAAAAAAGGCACATTTCCTGCAGAATGAAATCACAATGCATTAAGAAGGGTCAAAGAAACTCTCTGTCCCTTGTCTATGCAAGAATCATTGACACTTTTATAGACATAGATTATAGAGATATACAAAAAAATTGATTGTATTGCTTTACATATAATATGTCTATTTCAGTCATGAACCATCATGTTTTGAATTGCCATTAGAAGATGATGAAAAACTGCTCTGTTTCTTCAACTTCAAAGAAGATTGGGCAACCCCAAGGTTCTGTTCATATGACTTTGGCTTGTTTTTTGACACTGTGAAAATTCTCGAAGATGTTTTTCTACCAGAGCTCAGTGGTTGTGAACGGGCACTTTTTCCTTCTGTAGGAGCTAGTACCTGAGTCAAGTCATCTTCATTACTGTTCAGTCGTTTTGACCCAGAATCAGGGCTAGCCGACTTCAACTGGGAAGTAAAATCGTTGATCCATTCTTTATCTGGTACCCACTTCGAAGACGGTTTTTGAGCCCCTGATTTCCTGCTGCTTCTGAGTTCAGGATGTTCATTGCGCTCCAATGCCTGACCTGCCTCATTGGAGGAGATAAAACCTCCACTATTAAGTGCCTCTCTTTTAGTTGACTTTTCTTCTTTTGTCCCTTTTTGATGATCTTTTGGGGCACTTTCATCAAAAGCACTGACCCAATCAGAGTCCTCGTCCAAATAGCTGCGGAGAATAGTAGGGTCCTCAACAACAATTCTGTCTGGTTTCGATGTGTGCCCACGACAAGCAGCAGACATTTGGGACAGGTCCTCGTTAGAATCACGAGATGGGTTCTCTACAATAGTCTCTTCTGTCACTTCCACCAAGCTTTCTTTTGAACCAGCTCTTGACGAGCTCATTCCATTGGAATATGGCAACCATTGTTTCTCATATTTGGCTTCTAAATCCTCAATAAGGTTCTGAAGTTCCCGATCCCTTCGCTTTTGCTCTTCTCGTACAGACTTCTTTTCCCTGATAGCTTTGTCCCGACGTTGTTGACACTGGAACTCTACCGCTGCCAGTTTAGACATCAAGTCCGCACCATAGGCTCCAAATGCATCTGCTCCTGCAAGACAGAAAAAAAAATCAAGGAGTTAGATGAAAAGTATCATTAGGAAGAACAATTTAAGATGAAGTCAAAATCATCTGCTTTTATTTTTACTCCAGTACAATCCTCAAATAAATTGACTTATCAATGGGTCCAGACATGCCATATTTATCCCATCTTGAGTCCAAGACACAGAAAAAGTTTGTCTTTCTCAGAAAAACAGGACTTAAGGCAAATCAGAACGAAAGAAAGCCTCAGACCATCACAACATAAGAGGGAAATACAGAGAGCATAGAACACACCGAGTACATATTGGGCCTTCAAAAGGTGAAAGATATTTTTTTAAAGTAAAATAAAATTAAGTTAATAAGGCACATCACCCCAGCGCAAGAAAGTTCACTGGGCTGACACAAACAGCTAAAATGAGGAATTACAGGTCACTTTAATTATACTGAAACATTCAGGATCAGCCCATTGGCTCTACTCCTTTTGTTAAGAAAAATAGCTTAACAAAAACTTGTTCTTCTTAATTTTCCTATAATATACAAAAATCTCTAACACCCTGCCGAGTAAAGTAGAGCAATTTTGATAAATACACAGAATTTTTTTACTGAATCTTCAACATGAGATATGAAATATGAAAACACTGTATACACTAAAACAGAAAAAAATGAAAGTCTCATTACCATTGCTATCACTGGTAGTCTTGTCAAACATGTCAATGACAGATGAAAGCTGAAAGGAAGTTGAAAATGTTATGAAATTTAATCCTTTTCTTAACTTCATCTCAATTAACTATACAATGTACCATCACATCAATTTTCTACTGGTATAACACCCCCCACACACACACACAAGCACCTGTACACCATGCCTTCTTTTCTGCCTTCTGTATCAATATCATGGCAATAAGAAAGCATTCTCAAAAGCTAAGCATTTATTAAACTATAGGAGCAATACCACCAATCAATGATACAAACACACCTAGTTCAAACATATGTGAGGCATCGTGGTGAAATCAGGCGCTCGTCAAAATAATGAAATCAAAGAAAATGGCATTTTTCCGCCAGTTTGAAAATTGTTGTCAAAATTTTGGTTTTCGGCTCAACACCTTTTATGTCCATATAAAAACACATTTCCATGTGAATTTTAAAGAAAAAGGTTGGTTAAAGGCATAAAATATGTAATTTTTCAGTTTTCAAAGACTATCAAGCTGTTGAAGTTACCAAACTTTGGCAGCCATTTTCTCGCTAATTTTACCACTGAATCCAGATGACCCCATCTTCTTCAATAATAAATATCTAGACTTCATATATTGGTATTTTTTTCATTGAAAGCAAGGCAACTGAATGAGCTATCAGACGATACCAATAACTCCACATGCCCAAAAATTGACGAGCGCCTGATTCCATCCCATTGTGACACATACTTTAATGTTAAACACTTGATAAATTTTGAAAGTTGTAATTTCCACACATTTTTTAAAGAGAGAATACAATGACAGTTAAAAGAAAAATTTAAGCCAGCCACCAAATCATAGCCAATTTAACACATGGCCAATATGTTCAGGTCAAGGGTTCTAATTCAAGTTTTTTTAAAAATCAAATGTCATCTCTCCGAAAATTAGTTTACCCATAACCTAGTTCTGACAAGTGACCAAGATACAAAATGACCAACTGGGAAATTACCTAAATATAATTTATTTGTCAAGAGGGATGAACAACTTCAGTATCAATGAAAGGGGATGGATTTGATAAACAAAAATACAGAAAATTTGTTCTTTTGGTACATCAAACTTAAGATCTATAACTTATATTACCTGTAGTTCATTTTCTTTAATAATGAGAAGAAAATCTCTCAGAGCAGCCTCTGATGTGGACTTTTTGAGTTTCTTGTAAGCACCAAGCATATCTGAAATTTTGAAATTCATTTCTTAGTTAAGTAATGACAATAAACGACGAATGAAATAATTGCATATGGTATCCCAAATTTAATCATCATTTCATTTTCTGCCTCAAAATAAAAATAAATAACATCCCTGATGTGTTTGACTATAAAGTAAGTAATAAATGGAGAACACTTTTCTTTATTACCTGAATATTACCTACATAAATCTATAGTGCATGAACATGCCCTGAACTGTTTAGCTGTGTTCATGTGTACTACATGTATTTGGCATACCAAAAATTAGAAGGAACTTCTAAACTTTTTGTTTGTTTTTGTAAAGTGTTTTACAGCGCTCGCAACTGCATAAGGTCATATGAGCGCGTGGGACACACCTAATATTTTCAGTTGGTAGGAAATTTTGAATTTTGCCCGGGTGGCGGCCGAAGCCTACTCTTATCGATTTTAGACCACCAAGGGATCTTTAACGTGCGCAACTTGCACACGGGCCCTATGAGATTTTTCGCCCTTGTCCAAGAAGGCTAGGTGTAGATCTTTCCTACCAAAAGATCAGGGGTGTGGCAGAAAGACAGCAGTAAGGAGGAGTCAAGGAGTAGCAGTGGAAAGGCTGCAGAAAGAGTCAGGAGCCCAGAGGAGGGGGGCAAAGGAGGTGAGGGGGTGGGGACAGAAAGTGGAAATGAAAGCAGACAACAGAACATTGCTAGAGAGCAGGAAAGGAGGTGAAAGGAGACAATTTTAGAGAAGAAAATTTTTTGGTCGCTACCCGGATTCGAACCCGGGACCTTTGAATGAGAGGCCAACACCTTAACCTCTAGGCCACGAGAGCCCCCTCCTTCTAAACTTTACAATACAATGGTAGCATACAGCCATTCTACAGTTGAAGTAGTTGAACCAGTCCAGGACGACCATCGAGGAGAAAAGCAGTCACCTTAAACAGGTGGTTGTCTTCAACAGTGTCAGTACAATGTAATAAAAAACAAAAACAAAACAGGAGTGAAGCGGGAAATGGTCATTTGTACAGGTGGTTTTGGACAAAATATTGGTACAATGGTTGAAGAATGAAACAGTTTTTTTCTCTCTCCTGCAAAGTTTTACTTTCTAGACTAAGAACAATTGGACAGCTTGCCAAAGATAAGCGAAATTTAAACTTAGTCAGAGTCTGCTTTGATTTTCTCCAGCTTGTTGTAATCTAACTATTATAAGGAAAGGGAGGTTACACTGTAACCCTTGTCATCAATGCAATGAAATATTATAAAAGCTGCAGTGTCAGCATTGTTAAATAATAATGCAAGAGGTTCAGCCAATGAGGGTTTCATTTGCTGTTCAAGTTACTAACAACAGCTCTTTTTGTTGTTATAACCATTCTGGTGGTCATAAAACAAAAATAAGATGAGGGAATAAAAAAAAGACTTACTTTCCAAAGGGGCACAAATTACACTCTTTGCAGATTCCTCAAATTCAGAGTATCCTTTCCTGAGAAGACAGAAAAGTAAGACAGCACTATAAAAACTTGCTTAAAAAACATAATGCGTAAGTCACAGAATTATTAACTACACCAGGTCAATGTCAGATTTAAACGTGTCTAATTCATATTAATGTTGCATTAAATTCTTTTGATGCATAAACTGACTATCTAAATTAGTAGGATATGACAGATGATTATTCATTAACTACCTGTACCTCAACAACTGAGTAAGGCATAATTTCCATCTCAATATAAACCAGAGGAAAACAATGGGTTCCTCACAGAGGGTAGAAATAAGGGAAAAACAGGCATTAAATAGAAAGTCTCTCGAAGTCCAACCCCTCGTCCACGCCGTGGGAGATGGAAACAAGACAAAGTAGGGGATAGCTGGGTCTGGGTGAAGTACGGTGTGACTTTATGTCACTGAGGCGTTACGCTAGCCGTGAAGGCCGACCCGGGTCACCCCGAAACGTTGCTGGCCAACGGGGCTCTGGTGAAACTGCGACTGGCTTAGCAGGCCGGCAGTGGATATAAACATTGCTCAAGAAAACATAAGGAGACACAAACGGACTGATCAAAACGGACTAATGGAGAAGCTCTGCACGAAGAGAAAGAAATAATAAAAAGATGGGAAGAATATTTTCGTCAAGAACTACTAAACCCATCAGGAGTACAGGCACAAACCACACAGTGCCCCTTCACCGCCAACTACCCACAGCACTCTGAACCTACCATCCTGGAGAGTGAAGTGAGAGAAGCACTGAAAACTAGTCCAAAGAACAAGGCAGCTGGAGACGATGGCATCACAACCAAAGCCATCCTTGCATGCGGCGAAACCGGAATACATTGGCTTACAATCATCTTCCAAAAAGCATGGAAAGAAAGAAAAGTGCCAGCAGACTGGCAAAATGCGATAGTGGTGCCAATATGGAAGAAAAAGGGCAGCAAGAAAGACTGCAACACCTATAGAGGCATATCTCTTCTCAGCCATGTTGGGAAAATGTATGCAAAAATCCTAGAGCGACGTACTCGCGCAAAAACCGAACATCTTCTCAGTGACGCCCAATTTGGCTTTAGAAAAGGAAGAGGGTGCACTGATGCAATCTTCGCACTCCGACAACTGTGTGAGAGGGCTTTGGAATACGACAAAGATCTCCACCTCGTATTTGTGGATCAACAAAAAGCCTTTGATCGAGTAAATTGAAGCAAGCTATGGAAGATCTTAGAGCAGTACGACATCAAGGGACAACTGCTAGACAACATCAGGGCTATCTATGCCAACAGCAGAAGCGCTGTCCGAACTACCAGTGGAACATCGGACTGGTTTCCAGTAACATCCGGAGTGAGACAGGGCTGCAATCTCTCCCCTCTGCTCTTCGTGATCTACATGGACCAGATAACAAAAGAGGCCAATCCAGACCCAGAGGCACTCAATGAACTCATGTTTGCAGATGACCTGGCAATGATTAACAACAAGACTCAGCTACAGGAGCATATAAACCAACTAAATGCGAGCTGCGAAAAATATGGCATGAAGATCAGTATAAGCAAGACCGAAGTCATGACAATTAGCAGGAGACCAGGTAAAGTGGATATCAACATCAATGGATCCCAACTAAAACAAAGCAGAGAATTCAAATACCTGGGCAGCATTTTCACAGAAAATGGAAAATTAGATAGAGAGATAGAGACTAGATGCCAGAGAGCCAACGCAGTCAGCTACCAACTGGGCCCTCTCCTGAAACATCCCAATATCCCCATGAGCACCAAGGCGAAGCTCATCAACGCCATTTTCCTTCCAACGCTCACATATCAGTGCCAGACATGGACTCTAACAAAAGCCCTAGAGAGGAAACTGGTCACATGCGAGATGAAATGCTTAAGAAGAGCGGTCAACAAAACAAAAAGAGACAGAATTAAAAATGAAGTCATAAGGGATACCGTGGGAGCAACACCAGTCCTACCACACATTGAAAAACAAAAGGTTAAGTGGTTCGGACACCTCACGCGGATGCCCTCAAACCATCCAGCTCTGAGAGCATACAACATTAAATATTCTGGATGGAGAGCCAGAGGAAGACCAAGGCGACGATGGAGTGAATCTGTGGCAGACACCCTAAAAGATCATGGGATGTCCCTCCTACAGGCCACACGACTTGCTGCAGACAGACACCTGTGTCTCCCCGTGACACCCCAGGGTACAAGCGGAAGACAAAAAGTAAAGTAAAGTAAATAGAAAGAGAAAGTTGTATATATATATATATATATCTTCGGGTTGTTTTTTTCCAGCATAAACATTACAGCACATGTAATAAACAATGAAAAAGTTACATGCAAACACAAAAATGGAAAAAAAATATTCTTAACTGCACTAATAAATGTAAACAAATAGTTCTAAATGTTTTACAAAACTGTTCATATATTACAAGTGAAAAATAACATTCACTCACTGACCATTTATTATGCCACAGGGACAACAGTCAAATTGAGGCTTGAATTGAATGCCCAAACTAATGAGAAAGAAGGAGTTTGTTCAGTGATTTTAGGACACAGCCACAATAGAGAGAGTTAGGAAGCTGTTGCATCTGACTTCATTTATTAAGCCTATCTCTCAAGTCAGAGTCACACACAGTCATACTATAACCAGAGAGGCTTCTTTTCTGGATAAATCCACAAATGAAGATTTCTGACATGTCTGGATTTTGCCTGGTTTAAGGCACTTTCTATAAAAGATAATAGTCTCAATACTAGGTGCATTAGACAATGTGATCCGTACAGTTTGAGTAACGGCGCACACATTTCCAAGGGATCAAAAAAGTTCAGGGTTTTTATTTTTTCGTTGCCAGTCGGCACTTCTATAAAACAAAGCATGTTAAGATAAGATAAGATAAGATACATCTTTATTGTCTGGCAGATCCTGGCACATTGGTTTGGTGTTTCACCATGTACACACACACACACACACACATACACACACACACACACACACACACACTCAAACATGAACGCACACAAACAGGCCTACAGTCACATGCATAATATTGATGAACAGTAATATAAACAATAATAATTTAAAGCCAGATACATACTCAGTATTCTGATTGTAATTCAATGTTATTCTGATGCGTGTTCTCTAAAGTCATATGAATGTCACAAAGCAACACTTTGATAGGTTACCTGAGAGCATCAAACAAATCTGTGGTGTATTTGACCTGCTGTTCATATACAGATCTGTGAAATGCAAGTTCTTCTTTCAGTGCAGCCTTTTCTTTCTCAAGGAGGTGATATCTGTGGTTGCAAGTCCCAATACCAGATTGCAGTATATGCACAACTTCATCCTTCTTGCTTCGTGGTAATTGAGGCAAAGCTGCTATAACTCTCTCCACTGGTACTTCTTTGGTTAAGGGCCTCGACAAGACAGGCTGCAAAAATACATTATAATGTATGATGATATATAGATTGTAAAGCACACAGAGCTCTCTGTTGAACAGGGATAGGCGATATTCAAATACTTTTTTCTATCATCATTATTATAATTATGTACGACAGCACAGAGCAAAGCAAGGTATGGGTTAATGACCCTCTTATGCTGAAATGTTATTTAAGGCCCACTAAGAAACATACTATGTGTCACCATTTGCATTTTATAGAAATATGGAAAGTTAAATTATTAACAACCTGTAATAACCTTTTTTTTTTTAAAACTTCCTAGGTGGGTGGTTGACAGGTGCTCGCCTGGTGTGGTTTGCTCCTTTTTTCCTATCAAACATCTATCGTCCTTATCACTCCTTCTTTTTTGTATTTGTTACTCTCCTGTAACATCTGTAATCTTCGGCACCTATACGACCTAATAGAGTTGTAAGTACCGTAAAATACTTACTAAAACAAAAACTTCCAAGCAATGTACATAAACAGGAAAGCATCTGCCTTTGCACTATAACACTGTACTAACGTATTATTATAGCCATAATCCTGTCCCCGTGGTTTTATGCACCCCGCATAATTTAGGAAAAATTGATCATTTTTTGCATAATGTCTGATTATTTTCCTTTAATATTCTTTGTTAAAATTAACAGAATCGCATAATTTTACATTTTTGGGCTCAGTTTGCATAATTTCAAAATTTTTCTTGCATAAAATGACGGGGACAGGTAATCATAGTAAAAGAATTTGGTACCTACCCAGGGTGAGCTGGGACATAGTAAGGACAAAGCCAGAAGGTCATCAGTGGCATCCTTGACCACTAACAAGGATTTCAGAAGCTTTTCCATCAGTCTCTCCTGTTCTGCACAATTCATGCTCCCTCCATGGACATGCCCTATATGGAGACTTTGCATCTGCTCATGAACTCCAATGAGCTCCTTGTACACGGTGCATAGCTTAGACTCCAGCTGGGCCTGAGAAAACAGACATTCAAAAATAAAGTTGTGTAAAAGACCATTTCAACTTTATAAGTTAATATATTTTGAAAGCAAATAAACCAATACTGAAATATAAATGACAGGGGGAAAAGACAGACTGAGGTCCATAAGGTGGTAAATGAAAGACTGAGAAAGGGAATGACTTGAAATTACAGTCAAAGATTATGTTGAGAGACATTTTTGGATTTGAAAACATGCTGGGGATCTTCAGATATCCGTACGAGACTGATCTGAAATAGGTACAGAAAAATGGGGACTTGTCCAGTTTACCCAGGCAGCACATCCTCAAATCATGAAGCTTTTCACTTTTTCAAAGAAAGTGGTTACACAAGTCAAAATAATGTTCTGAAACTTATTTTTGGTCCTGTCGTAGAATTGTTTGGTCTGATCAATGTAACATTTTCTGATTTGTCAATAACAGCCCTACAAAACCCCCCAAAAACAGGGACAGCGTGTGAAAAATTAAATCCATGGTATATAAAAAGGGAAAATAAAGGGGGCTTTCGTCCACGTACGCCCGACATATAAAACTGTAAAAAAAAAGGATATAGATATATATGTGAGGCATCATGGTGAAATCAGGCGCTCATCAAAACAATGAAATCAAAGAAAACAGCATTTTCCCGCAGGTTTGGATATGCTTCTTATGATCCGGAGAAGGCTGCTTATGATATGGAGAGCAAAAACATAGTAGTCTAGAACTTCAACTCACTGAAGTTCGACCAAATTTGACAAGGCCTGTACATGTATGCTGGGACTTGCCTGGATGACCTTTGAATAACATTAAGCTGTGCTATCCCATTGCCTGACACCAAACACTATATACCAAAGGATAGGACATTACCTTCATAAAGCTAGAAGCTCAGTAACAGAGAAGTACATAAATATGATAGTGCTCATTTCATACAGAGAAAAAAGACAAACAATAGAAGGATAGCAAAGAAGTAAGGCTTCCCCATGACACCCCCAGCCGCCCACACTGTCATCTGTTCAGAAAACCTGTATCAACAAAGTACATACCACATGCTGCAGATTGAGATAATCCATTCGTCCAAGAGAAATATCCAGTACAGACAACGTCTCCTTTTGTTTTGCCTTTCCATTAAGAAATGGGTTCAGAAGCAAAAGACTCTTTCCCACTTCTTCTCTGTCACATTTCTGTGAAGCAAAAAGCTTATATTAATATTTGTATTCAAAATTTCCATGAGCAACTTTAGGGCGAAGTTGGCATTTGGGATACCTTTATCCGTAACAAATCCAAATTCTGTTTCAGTAATTTCAGGATATATTTCAGTTCTCATTCTTTTCATTAGTACCCCCAGGAGGAATTTAGTAAGATGATTCATGAGACGGATTGTCCTGTGCTGTTCACATTCTGATATTCCAGCTTTTTGCAGCAATGCTATAAAGATAGATTTTTTCAGATCTTCTGGTACCTGACCTCTACAGTATTGTATATATATGGTGTAAAGTAATGTTGTCACTTCTTTGAATCCACCCCTTCTAGTGCTGTGATCATTTTAATGAGTATGTTGTCTGAGCCTGGAACTTTGCCATATTTCATTTAATCCATGGTGTCTTGAACTTCTTCTGTCAATATTAATGTTCCCTCAATGTCTTTCAGAAATGCTGGTGCAGAACCGTTATCATAATAGTACATAGTACAGTTCTTCAATATATTCTGACTATCTGTTCAAAATATATCTAGTATTCATCAAAATTTCTCCTCTTTAGGATTATAAACATCCTATTTTGGGTGAACATAATATTGTATTAGTATGCGAGAAAAAATTTGTTGAATTATCAATAGGTAGGCCTTTTGGAATATGATTTCATCTTCTCTTTAATGGCTCTATTCCAGCTGGTTCTAGATGTTTAAAAATAAAGATATAGCAGTATTTGATATAACATTTACTGAGCCAAATTTTTCCCAAACATGACAGCTGATCTTGAAACTATGAGTGGCAATAATATTGTGTTTTATAAGAATATATATATATACACAGCATTTCCCTGCCCACTTCCGTACTTAACTCTAACTTACTTCCAACACACACCACCGTTCAGTGAAACCTACCTCAACAGATTTAAAAAGTTTTATCCTTGATGATTCTAAAGCCTCAATCATGGAAGTCAGATCACTGCGGGAAATTGACACCATGGGCCCTTTGATTTCAGATGCCACATACGACCTGTTCATTGAAGTATGTGTAGTTATTCAAATCTGTTGGTATAACAATGAGGCAAAAAACAATAAACATAAAACTAAAATTTGTCAAACAAATACTGAAATATTAATTATTCAAAGCCATACCAACCATTCATAATCAATTTATCGATACAAGAATCCAGTAATGCAAATAAACCAACGGCATCTGTGGCGTAGGGGTAAGGCACTACACCATCTCACAAAGGAGACTTGAGTTCGATTCCTGTGTTGGGAGAATTTTTATCGAGTAAACTCCGCCTTTCTGATGAGATCTGTATCCCTCTCAGTCCAAGCTGGCCCTCATAGGCAGGGTCAATACCCACCTCCAGACTAATCTAGATTGTGTTGATGGGGGTGAAAGCATAAACATTTAAGGAAAAAAAGCCCTTACCTCAATCTGTCTGCAAGCCAAGCCATCGTATTTTCAGTTTCCATAATGGCCTCTGATCGAGACCCCAGTGCTTCATTTAAAATGGCAATCTGAAACAGATCGGTATATTAAGTAAGCTGGTGAAAGTAGGAGGATCAAAACTTGCCATACATAATCCAATAACTTTGGGCTTTACCTGCAATTCTAATCAACCATTCACTTCATTTCAAATTAATTAGGCTTATCTGGAAAAATTTTTTTTTTTTTTTTAAAGCATACCCACAAAAGTCTTTCACTCAAAACATCAAATTAAAAAGAAGACTAGATAAAGTGTAGATAACATTTGACTATAAGTCGACCATAAGTAACACCACAGTCAAAGAAAGATAACTTGTAGAAAAATTTAATTTCTACTACATTACCAAAAGCTTACAACAGTATTGTGTTGAAGATGTGAAAATTAGCTTCTGACATTATGCTTTTAAAGAGGTAAATTTCGTCTCGAGATAAAATAAAAAATATATACCTGCAGCATAGATATCAACAAGACTTGGCACATTTTCAGAGTCACACCAACATGAATACATAAAGGCTACAACAAGAAAGACGCTGGTGGGGGGGGAGGGTTCTAGAGGTGCAGTGATTGCCTCTTCTTCCAAAGTAGGATACCAGATACAATTTTCCCACCTCATGCAAGCATGGTCGGGAATTCATTTTGAGTGTCGAAATTTACTCACAGTCATGACCCTAGTCTAACATTTTAAAGACACTCCGAGAGCTGAAAAATTGCCGAATAAAGTCAGTCGCCTAAGCCAAATGCCACAATAATACGAGCAAAAAATGAATTCACTCCAAGTCTGGTGAGTGTAAATAAATATATGCCTCTACCTATGTAAATGGTCCCAGTTGCTTTGGACTTAAAGGCGCAAGACACTATATCTAAGAAAGAAAATAAGCCATGAATGATAAAGCCAGTAACACTGTGCACTGAAGAAGCTACAGTTGACTGGAAATTACCTGTCTTTCTAGCTGAATGACTTGAAACTTTATCAGATTAATACGTCTTTCATCAATATTCTCATGAGAGCTTTCACTTGTGACTTGCTTCAAAGATGATCTGGAAGGATATAAAAAAGCCTACAAAGTAATATTTGTTTTCATTTTATGTGTTCATTCTATGATGAAACAATGACCCATAGATTATAATGATTCCTGAGGGAAGATAGAGAGAAATATTTTTATAAAAGAAAAATCAAATTCAGTATGTGTGCATGCATGTCTGAGTGGTGTGCATTATTTCCGGTGCAAGTAGGAGCCATGGACTTTAGAATGAATTTTTTTTATCACACGACATTGTCATTACAATTTCAAAGCATATTGAAACTATGAAAAACTGCCAGTTGCAATGTCATACATGTATATGTCAAGGAAAAGAGTAACCATGAGGGGGCCAGCATTTCAAAGACAATCTGACATTTTGACCAATGGAGAAGAGCAAGTGATTGTACCAATCGAAAACAATCTAGCAATTGACATTTAGAAGATGCTCAGTGTAAATGGGCATGTAGTGAGTAAATTTCATTGTCTGCTTGTTCACACCAATTCTTCTCCCTTCATTCCAACCCAAAGTATAGTAAACCAACTCATGAAAGTTTCATGCTCTGAGTTCGAACTGTGTTCTTAGGAAGATTTCGATTTTTAGACAGGTTATTAGTATGCAAATTATATTTTTAAAATTCTGTTACACTGTAAAAACCGTTTCTTAGGCTGACCAGGTTCTTACACGAGTGTAAAGTCACCACTGCTTTTATTGTGATCTACATTTTCTAGCAGTTTCTCATTTGCCTAGACTTTCTAAAAAGTCTTTTCCCTATAGATTTGTCATTCACATCATTCAGGTACGAGATCTATTTCATTGGTCTTAAAAGCACCTGGTTCTTTCCATTAATTTAAAAATGATTAAACAAATGGAAAATACAATTTACCTTAAATCTTGAAGATCTTCTTTCAATTTCACATTTTTTTCCTTCAGCACCTGTGAAAGGAAAATCAGTTCAAGATGCAAGATACACTGTACAGTACAACATTTTATGCTAGAGCACATGCAGCAATACTGGAGTATTTCGTGGCACGTAAACAAGGTGAATGTTAGTTGTAAAACATTCCGAATTTGTATTTAGTTGACGCCAACCTAAGAATAATTTCAAAATATAATCTCACCTCCAGGTAGGGAAATCTAAAGTAACAAAATAGTATTGAAATAAAGATGAAATCTATGAAAACTTTGTTTTTAGTATTGTTTTTGTTAACCTTATCCGTACACCCTGGGGTCATTTTGTACCCCCGGGTTGTATTCTTCACATTTTAGAATACTTCTAGTACAAAGATCTCTTTGAAACTTTCAATATTTCTCCAAAAATAATTTTGACAGACCCCTAGGCAAAGCCTACGGATCGGATTAACGAGTAAATTTTCTCTTTGGAAGTGGAGGTACAGAGTTGCCCATGTCGTATGGATATGACAGTAAAACACGACGTACGGATAGGATTAAATGCACATATAAACCTTGTAAGTGTATGGTCATTTAAGAGACGAAACCTTCAGATTGAACATGAATTTCTGACATGGCTAAGCCAAGTGGGTCTTGAAAACTCCCCAACCAACCCAAGTTCAAAAACGCTCCTTTGGGTATTTGAACCCGGGTCTTCCACACCATTGTCCAATATGGCACTAACTGAGCTATCAGTCAATGTGCTCAAAGTTGAGCTTCCCTACACTGATTCCCCAAAAAAGTTTTTCAACAGTTAAGTCGTAATGTTACAATTTTTTCTCTTACCTTGTTTTCATTCAGAACTCTAGAGTAACTTTCTTTTTGATTCTCTTGACTTGGTGAAGAGTTCTGAAGAGGACTGAGGGTTCTCTTTCTGTTGTAGGCCCCAGAGAGTCCAAGTTTCCCGTTCATATTGTATCCAGCCTGATTTGACACGTAATTTCTTCGTACAAACTTGGACAATTACTCTTGATGATCGCACTCAACCACACTGATCTGCACTGTGGACAAAATCATGGATTCAAACTTAAATTATTATTAAAATTCTTATTCAAGTTATAAGTAATTTAATTTTAAAAACTCCCATACCACCTAAAGTTCAAAAACAAAAATTGTCCAAGAGAAAAAGTGGTTGTTTTAGACAGGTGGATGTCTTGGACAGTGTCATAATAATAAAGAAAAACCACAAGGAGGAAGAGGAAAGTGGTAGTTTGTACACGTGGTCATTAGAACAGGTTCAACTGTACTTGCCCTAGCCAAAAACTATTTAAAGAATTATAATGTCAAGTGCCATTTGCCGATCATCGTGATCTTAAGATAGCGCAGAACCATATGACAATCCACAGAAAGCGCGGCCATCTCGAGATGGGCGTGCCATCTACGGATTATGTCCAAAAATGAATAGAGCTGCGCGATCTTAAGATTGTGCAAAGCAAGCAAGAATTGCGCCATCTGCCGATCGCTTGGAAACACACAAACACATATAACATATTATTACACACATAGAGGCGAGAGTGGCAAAGAATAAGAGAGAGAGAGAGAGAGAGAGAGAGAGAGAGAGAGAGAGAGAGAGAGAGAGAGAGAGAGGGAGAGAGAGAGAGGGGGGGGGAGAGAGAGAGGGAGAGGTTTTTGTATATACCCAAGATAGATAAAAGTCACTTCACACCACACATGCACACGCTAAAACAACATACACACACTTTTTTGAAAATTTTTTTAAATAAATGATAATAAATTTTGCGGAGTTTTGTTTGTGAACTTTGCAAAATCTCGAGATGGCCACGCTTTCTGCGGATCGTCATATGGTTCTGCGCCATCTTAAGAGAGCGCTGATCGGCAAATGGCGCTTGACAAAAATATATCTTCTCTACTAAATGGGCCATGTAGTGTATACCTCTGGCAGCAATTCTAGTGTAGGCCTGATATAGCTCGATTAAAGAAAATTCAAATATTTCGAAAACTATTAATTTGCAAAAGAAATTAAGTTAATATAAATATTTGTGTTCAGCGCATCAATAATTAGATCTAGCTAAATCTAGATTTAGAATTCTAGATAGATCTAGATCTAGAATCTAGATCTAGATCTAGATCTAGTAGAAAATGAACAACTGGTAGATCTAGTGGTGATTGTTAAGATTCCCGCGTTTAATTCCGATGTGCGTTTTTCATAACCTCATTTCGCTTTGGTCCTAACCTTAACCCTAGTCTAACCCTAACCCTAACCCTAGGCCCTAGGGTTAGGGACCAAAGCGAAATATGCCTGCCTGAGGGTATGAAAAACGCACATCGGAATTAAACACGGGAATCTTAACAATCGCCATAGTGTGAGACAGGAGGGAAAGTAAAAGAATACCCAGAACCTAAATACGTACTTTGAAAAAAATCCTAGATTAGATCTAGATCTAGATCTAGATCTAGATTCTAGATTAGATCTTGTAGATAATTCAGGCCTCTTGATCTACTCGCAGTTAAGACATTAAGAGAGACAGTGCCTGAACTGATGAATCTAAACTCTCTAGATTCTATTTCAAATCAATTTCTAGATTCTAGAGTCTAGAACTAGAGTCTTAGATCTATATCTATATTCTAGATCTAGATTTCTAGATCTAGATCTAGATCTAGATTATATATATCTAGATGGCTGCCTATCTAGAATCTAGATATATAGATCTAGATCTAGAAATAGATCTCTAGATCTAGATCTAATTCTTTTAAGACAAAGACAAAGTTTTCTCGGCCGTTTTCTCAAAAGAAAAAGGAACAAAAACAAGGCCTAATCAAGCAGAAAGAATGTTTACCCGTGTATTTGAATTCGAACAAGTGTAGATCAAGGAATTCGTTCATTGACACATCCTCGTTTCGATTTACCGCGTACCCGTTGCTTGGGGGTGCCGTAAACTTGAGTTTCTTACCGAATATCGCCGAAAAGATTAGGTTTGTTGACATCATACCTCAGCTTTGTATGATAATGTACGTAGGTTCAGGTGTTTTTTTATGATTGTTGTTATGTTTCAACTTTAATTATTATTTAAAGCCTCTGTAACACTTATTATGAATTATCACACACGCACAGACCAACATAGTCGTAAAATTCTGTACGGAGGTCGGGTTCGCAACTGTCGCAACCATAGCTCGAAAGGTTGTGGTGGGGTCATGTTGTTATTTATCTTGGGATTGGGGCTGGAGAAAAGTTGAAGGATCTGGGTCAGTATTCGTTGCGTGAGACTTTATTTTTACCTGTTTTGTCATTGATACGTGTTCTTATTCCCTTGGATATCTCCCTAGTTATACGTTATAGCTTTAAAACCCATGGTACTGGCATCTCTCAGACAGGTAACTGCTAGATTTCTCTTTCATCCTATGAACCGCCTGCAGCAGTTGGACGTTGCATCTCGGACTCGGACCTTTCTTCTGGAATACACTCTCAGTTACTCTGTCCCTTGCCATTCTTCTGCATACCTGAGTTGTTTTGACTCCAAGCCAGGTTTGTAGGCCTAGGTCCTGTTCCTCTTTTCTTTTAGGCCTCTCCCCTTCCTCTGTTGCCCTCTACTTTTGCTTCTAGTGAATCGAATCATGACGTTTGATGCCCATCAAAGTCAAAGAAAAGACTTGGCCCCACACAAAGGCCAAAAAAGAGTATTTCAGTTTCATGTCTCTCCGACTCTGGAAAATGATAGTGTTGGTGTTTCAATCATAGCCTTTAAAAAAAATCAAACTTTCTAGATCTAGATCTAGTCCTTTAGGTGCTTTGGCAGGAGTGCAGTTTCATCTGAAAGTCTCTAATTTCATTATGTATTCTATGAAATCTTTGTGTTTCTGGATCATCATCATCCTTCTTTGTTGAGACGTTCTATTCTACTTCCTGACCTGCATTTTTCCTTGGGCCCTAGGCTAGGTATGCAGAGATGTGGTAATAGGCTAGGGCTAGGCCTATTCAAATGCATCCTTATCTCATGCCTTTTGGACCAGTGAACCAATGTAGATAAATAAATTATTGTTACATTGTTCATTGTGTTGTATAATGCATGTCTGAAAGTGGTGTTATTCGAGAGTCCATGGAACAGGCCTTTGCCTGACTTGCTACTTAAAGCTTTGGGAAGAAACATTTCAGATCACAATGCCAATGGGCCATAGAATAGATAGGATGGCAATCTTCAGTTTCAACCTCAAGGGTGCAAGAATATGGAAAGTAACTTTTTGGGTATGAGCAATAAGAATTAGAGTAAGGTAGGCTGGTAGGGCTAGAGGTGCAGTACAGGGGTGGGGATGTATGATTAGGGTTAAGGCAAGGTCAGGATTGTAATTGCAGGTGGAACCAATTCCCAGATTTCCCCAATGGAAAATAATTACAAGTATGGTGAGACGGCTGCCAATTCACTCTCTTTTCAGGTCTGTTTTGTTTATTTTTTTATTGTTTTGGATACTTGGAGACAAGGCATCAGTAGTCATAAATATTTATCTAACCTCAGACCACAGCCAGACTTTTTAAGCACTACACTTCAAAGTTCAAAGACCAGAGCTAGAGCCTAATCTTTCTGCAGCCTCACAATTATTTGGCAACAGGTGGGAGAAGATTGTGGATCAGGAAGCAGCTTCGCATTCAACTTTTTTGTTTCCACTCATAGCTTTTAGGCCTATTATGCACAAATCAAAATGACTCGCTCTCAAGATGAAATTACTCTTGCTTGCTTAGCATAGTGTTGTTTGGTAAAGGTCTATAGGGAAATTTTAAAGGTGGGACAAACAAGGACTTCTTCAACGAATAGGTACACCCATATTATGTGTACACTTATATCAAGGAACTGACCCTTTGATTTGACTAGAGAAACATCCGACAAAATGATCTCCTTTTATGTCTAACCTGATCTCACTGTACTTTGAATAGGTATTTGATTCTGATAAAGTTTCAAAAGTCAGATTTATGTAATTCGTACTTTGGCATCCATAGATTTTGAGTCAAAGATTAATTTGGCGTTGAAGGTGAACAGTAGTTTTCTAGCGCACCCTGAGTAGGCTACAGGGGATTATTGAGAAGAGGACTTTTTTGTTTTGTAATTTAACTGAATGCCACATTATACACTTGCAAGGTTGTGTCAAGGTGACAATGTAAGTGAATGTCTTTCTTACTGGCACTCACATCCTGGCCTTTTGCATTATTATGATTATTATTGTATCAGTGTGTGGCCCATTTAGATCTCTTTCTTATCTAGTGAACAGCAATATATTTTGGGTAAGAACTAGTTTTTCTATCTATCAGCTGAAATTTTAAAGGGCCTGCTAACCTACTAAAACATAATTTCCTGATAAACCTTTTAGGGCTAGGAGTTGATATGTTAATGTGGGAGCAATGTCAGATGGTAAAAGGATCATGGGGGGGGGGGGGGGGCGTGGAAGTGAAATAGAAAAGACATAGTAAACAGCTTCAGTAGTCTCAGTGGATCTTCCCTCCAGTCTCCGCACAAAGAAAATCGTAGGTGGGTAGATAAGTGTTTTATTCACTGTCTAGTCTAAGGCATTTGGGTCCATATCACACAAAATATACACATTTTACAAAAGAGACTTCCCTGAAAACAGCATAGATTAGAAATGACATACATTTTAAAAACAGGAAGAAAATTAAAGAAGCTCTTTGTGACTTTATTTCAGTAAGAAAGAAGAAAGGCGGTTCCTAGCAGTTAACGTGACAAGATTTGTTTTCATTGACTTGGATCAAACAAAAATAGAATGCTGTTTTAGGCAATATTTCAAAGTCACTGTTTCTTTTGCTACCATTTTCAGTACTGAATTGAAGATCGAGGATGTCAGACTCTCCAGAAGAGAGTGATTCCCAGGTCTTGTCTGGCTGGACTCTCATCAGCAGTCAAGGAGAGATTGTTGTGAGTGTTGTTATTGTTAAATTGATTTTATAATTTTTTGTAAGAAATACTTTCGTGGTATTTTCCTTGCAAAGGTCTTGTAAGTTTTGCTGCCATGTTTGTAAGAAAAGGGACAGAGGAAGCTGTTGCATATATTCAGCCGTTTAACCTTTTATTTCAGTAGTTGGCATAACCACATAGGCAAAGATACAATGCTAATTTTAATGGAGATTCACTATGTTGTGGCGATGTAAAGGATGTGATTTTGTCAGTCCTCTATCTTTTATGGAATTACTGAGCGTTGTGCTTTATTCTTTTGTGTTGTGCTGGTCACTTTAGCATCATCTGTTAAAAGCTCTACTGATGATGTCTATGATAAGAGATTCTAGTTTTGTTTTGTTTTGTTTTATTGTTTCTTTTTTTCTTGATGATAAAATTTTAAAATCACACCAGCCATTAAATATATTTTATGCTATAGAGCTTTCACATTTTCTCAGCCAGGTGATGGGGAGTCTGAAAGCAGCGAAAGTTCTATTGAGGTGGTGTCATTGGATGACAGTGATAATGTAGATTCCCACTCATCTCGGAGGGGATGGAATATTCAGCAAGAATCAGGTTTGAAAAATTAGATCACTCGTTGTAAACCTTTTTAAAGCCAGTGCCTACTTTTATCACTTGTAAAAGGCTAAAATTTTTGTACCTCCCACCTTCTTGTGTTTCCTATCAGGGCATTAAATAATATGTGTTACTACTAGTGGGATCCTCAACACTCACCAAAATGACCCAGTCACCCACAAGAAGTGGGCAGTGTCACCCTAGTTGACAAGCATGGATTAGGTTCACAAATCTTTCCATGACATTACTTTTTTTTATATGTGTATTTACACAATGGTGCTGGGGAGGGGGCTGAATTTATTGAGTTTGTGTCAATTATCTTTGTCAAAGAGTTCTTCTTTCTTTGACTAAATCTTTATATTGAAAGTTGTTTGAATTCATTGCTCTTTCAAATTGTGCAGAAATGATGTAAGTTTAAGACAAAGGTTGATGGCTTGACTAGCGGAGCCTAATAAGTTGCAAACTGCTTTTGAATCCCTCTCATGAAACTATTTTCAGTTGCGACAAGGGTCTACTCTGTTTGTAATTAATTTTCTTTACATTGCTGTTCACAGATGGAGCAGTGGTTTTTGAGGATTCACCAAGTGCTCCAGCTGACTCAGAACAGCCAGGCCAGAATGATGGAGTTGTTGATGACGATGTTGTCAATGATGTCTGCGGCTCATCCCACCCTTCTCACCTTTCACACCCCCCAGTGGAGGAATTAGACCCCACACAGCACAATTTTGATTCTTCCAGCTCTGTTGAAGCAAGGGTCGCCGACCTTCAGCAAGCAGCTATTGAAGATGAAGAGCAAGTTAGTTCTGTCATGAATTTGGAAGGACCAGTGTTGTCAGAGCAAGATGCTATAACCTGTGAGAAGGGAGAAGTACCTGTCGAAATGCCAGTGCTGGAACAAGCTTCTCTTGAGGAGACTCATCAACTTGAGTCAGAAGGAACTGATGAGCAAACACCTGTGCGCCCTCTCAGCTGCTCCCTTGGAAGTGAGAATCCTCCAAAGCAACAAGAAGAGAGAGACAGTGATGGACTGGAAAATCTTCTTGGTGCATGCTGTGCTGAAATGTTGGAACAGTAAGTTTTCAAGTGTCACAATATTTTCCCCAAAAGTCTTTTCATGACATGAAAATTTAGTCCTTTTGTAGGTTCTGTTTCTTCTTAGTTATGAGTACAGACTTACTAAAATAACAATGTAACAATTCTTTGATGTGTTTATGTAATCTGTGGTTGAGGACAGTATGGCTTTTTAAGTGCAAAGATAGTGAAAAAAATTGTGAAAGAGATGGTTTCAATTACTGGGATTTCTAGCCATTGTAATGTTTACCTACTCCGTGCTGAGAATCAAGATTCATGAGAAAGTTAATATGCGAGGCGTCATGGTGAAATGAGGCGTTGTCAAAATACTGAAATCAAAGAAATCGGTATTTTTCTGCCAGTTCGAAAATTTTTCTAGAATTTTTACTTTTTGGCTCCATGCCTTCTATGCCCATTTAAACAGACATTTATGTGTGGAATTAACTGAAAAACGCTGATTAAAGGGACAAAAATTGCTGATTTTCAGTTTCCAAAGACTCTCAAGCTGTGGAAGTCACTAAACTTTGGCGGCCATTTTCTCACTAATTTTATCTCTGAAACTAGGTGAACCCTACCTCTGTCGATCACAAGTATCTCTACTTCTATTTTTTCTAATCGAAGGCAAGACGAATGAACAAGCTGATGTTGCCAATAACTCCACATGCCCAAAAATGACAAGCACCTAATTCCACCACGTCATGACACATATGTTTATGTTTGTTGAATTTCAAAGGCTTTACACAGAATTGCTTTGTGCATGGGTTTTTTCTTCTAAGGTTTTTTTCTTCTTAGGTTTTTTCTCGAACCTGAAAATGTTCAAGAAACATATCTTGTTCTGTTTCAGGAATGTCAGTGGCAGAACAGATGTGCCTCAGATGAACCAAGCAGACGCTGAATTTGAAGATGAAAATCTGAGTCCTGTGAGTGTACAGGACACTGACTTTGCCCAGGCCACTGGCACACCTAGAGCTGATGCCAGTGCCGGAACCAGAAATGATAGTGATGCAGGTGTGTTCTGATATTCTGCCCTGTGTTTGTCCTACTTTCAATTTCATTTCCCTAAGATTGTATGTAAAGTAAATTTGGACTTTTTTTTTAAAGAAAAAAAATGTAGGATTGTCTACTTGAACTAAAATATGTGAGGTTTCTTTGAATTAATTTCTTCCTTCAACTTAAAATGTGCATCATTTTGTTTTTGCTGAATGTTGCATTTTAGTTGGTAAGATCAAGATCCGAAGAATGCCGAAATGGAGAATATCTATGAAATTATCCAAATTTAATAACTGAATTATGAAATCATTTGGTCACAGCTTGTTGAAGTATTTTACAAATGTTTTTAAAATATATGTATTTTTTTTGTTAATAATAATATTTATTGCGTGTCAAAGATTTCTGATGTTAATGTGTGTTTTTGTTTTTTTTTAAAGATCTTGTCTTATGATGTGGCATGCACTTAAGACATTACTGATGTTACTAGACTTTTCACTGCCTTTTCAGATTCTGACTTTGTCTGTTTGGACCCAGGAAGTCCTGAAGAGGTAGAGAATGTGCTTTACGCAGGCCAGGCTGCGGAGAGAGTTGAAAGGGTCATGGTTCCTCTGAGGATATCAAGGACAGATTCCTCCATTGGTCCCAACTTCAACTTCATGAGAAATGAAGGTAAATTAATCATGCATCTACTATGTTTTTGCCAGTGATCTCTAGACTAAGATGAATTCCTAAACCATTTGGTTTTAGGATTTGTTTAAGTTGACTTGGGGATTTGTTTTAAATGTATGCGTTTTAAGTGTATGCTGTCAGGTATGTTTGGTGTGTGTGTGCATGTGTGTACTTTTCAAATTGTGCCAAGAGCCTAGAACTGGCATGTTGATTTAGTCATCAGATCAGTGCAACATTTAAAATAACTGACTAAATTTTTATCCTTTTTACATCTAATGATGGATAATAGATGTATTGTACAGCATAGGTCTCAGTGATAATAACATTGGGGCACTGTGTTCTTTCTTTCAAAAGATTGATGTCTTGGCAAGCTGGAGGCACCATGCTTTGAAAAACACAAGATTTCTGGAAAGAAAAATAGGGAATTCAATGGAGTCTGCTCAAAACTGAACATGGTTAATTTAAAAAATCTGTGGTAAACCAAATAAAATAGAATCTTGATTTTTTCTTCACTATTTGAGCAATCATTCTAAATGAAAAACAGGGCTAAACACAAAAATATCTGGTGGTCCTTCAGTTTCGGTTTTAAGCAGACACCATTGGAACAGGAAATTAAAAATAAGAAGAGAAAGCATATCAATGAAGCTCTGGCCACCTAAAACTTGCTGAAAATGAAAGACGAAAGACTTACTAGTAATCTTTTTTTTTTCATCTTTGAGTCTGATTTATTAAGATCTGTGTGGGGGGCTTAAGTGTGTGTATTCAGTACTGATGCGTCGACTTTCATTGTGGTGTATTTGGTGGGTTCAAATTCAGTCTGTATATGTGAGTGATGTAAATAGGACTCCAACTTTAGTGTCTCAGGTGCTGTTGATTGTTTAACATTTATTTTGTCTGTTCACTGGGTGGTTGATTTGAACCCTTAAGGGGCCTGCTTCTTCAATTATTTTTTGTATGTGTTTCTGTTGCCCCTATCTAGTTCGCTGATGTCTGTGATGTAATGGTTGGTCTCTTCAATGTTGAACATAGAAGAAGTAGATGTCAGTTCAATTCAGAAGTGGATAAATTGTTTTATAGAGTACTTTCATCTGTCTGTTGAGATGCTGTATCCCTGTGAGGCTGGGTTGTTCATAAGTGCCAGTCTCTTAAATGTTCAGAATTATGTCTATTGTGTGATAAAACATTTACAGTTGAACCTGCTTTAGTGTGGGCCTGACCAAGACTATCACCTGTAGAAAAATACCACTTCCCATTTCACCCCTTCCAAGGCTCCCCTTATCTGATTCAACTACTTTTATCAAAATTAGATGGCTGTTTTGGACAATTTCAACTGTGCATTTACAATCATCTGGTCATAGTGGAATGTGGGCATAATAGTATCAACTAGTTGTAAACGACAGACTCATCTCTCTTATGTAGGTGCCTTGGGGAGGGATCGCTCTGATGGTGAGGAAGAAGATGGGGATGAAGAAACTGAGTCGTCAACCGAAGACAGTATTGATGATCGCATTGAGAGTGAGCAGAGTGAGGCTGGCTCTCTTCCTCACTACAATGACATTGGTGATTTGTCGTCTGTTTCCGACATTGGCGACCTCCCTTTAGTGGCTGGAAATGTTGCCCGTAACTACAGACACATGCCCAACAACCATCTGACCAATGTGCTGAACGTCATTGTGTTGCTGACTGCCATTCTCACCATGGGAATTAGTCTTGGCATCATAATGGGTATGTGATTAGCATCTTGCTTTATGTTTTGCGCTTTTTATCTGCTGTAGATGACAATTTCAATGACGTACATGGAGAGGTGTCAGCTAACCATTCGAAATTGTTCTTTGTGGGTACTCCGAAAAATTTAAACCAGTGCTCAGTGTTTGCACAAGATTTTTTTTTCCTGCTGTGTTTGTTTCTGCCCAGCTTAAGAAAATGCATTTTATGATTTTAAGTGTTGTAGTCCTGTTTTTGCAATTTTCTCTTATCAAAAAAGATGAAGTGGGATATTTGCTCTACCTTATCCACAGTTTTTATCTACAACAATGAAGTGTTGCCAGTGAAACAATCTGCCCCTGTACTAGAAACTTGCATTGTAGATTAAGAATTGATAAGGCTTTAAATTAATTAGACAGTTGAGATGATGAAACTGAAAAATAGTTGGAACATTGTGAAAAAATGAATGACAGAAGTATGGTCAAAATTAGTTTGTTTTTATTGGTCTTTTTTTTACACAGGCCCGACCATACTGATTCTTTGAATATTGAAATCTTTACACAGCAGGGCCCTGCAGTTTTTTACCCTTCCAAGTGTCACGGATCAATTTAAATGGCTGTCACTCCAGCTATTTTTGATCCCTTCCTCTATTTTTTCAATCACTAAATCAGTCCTTTCAACACAGGAGAGTTCCTATTTTACTGAGGCTGGAGAAAGGAGTGCAAAAGAATGATAAATTTTGTTGTTTTCTTTTTTCTCAACTTTGGTCAGTCCTTATGATTGCCGGTTCTGGCACTTTTGATTAGGAATAAATATAAGTTCCTTTTTATATGAACTTGGTCTAGACTCAAGAGGCAAATTGGTTATTGGTATTGAGACTAAAATGAAGGTGTTTAACATAATATTATTTCTTATGGTCCCATTTCTTATTATTTAAAATTTCTTTTCTTTGTTTAATTTCACAGTATTTCTTTAGGGTCATTGTCTTAGCTTCTGTAAGTTGTATCTTGTCTCAGTGATTTCAGGATGATTAAATTTCCTTCTTCAATTACAGCTACTGATCTGGAAATTGAGGAGTGGCAAAAGGCTTATGAAAAGGAGGCTGAGAAAGTGAGGGACTTGAAGCACACGGCTGAAACTTTTGAAAGGTTATACACCAATGTGAGTGACATATTTGTCAGTGCTTAATTTCTATACAGTACTTGTTTCAGAGAAATTGCTATTGGAATATTTTAGCCTTCGCAATACTCTGCTTGTTGTTTTTTAGGGTCTTGCAGATGTGAAAAAAACCCATTAAATGTGAGACATCGTGGTGATATCAGGCACCTGTCAAAATAATGAAATCAAAGAAATTGACATTTTTCTTAGGCCTACCGTTGGGTAATTTTAAAATAATTTTCTTATTTTGGCTCAACACCTTTTATATCCAATTAAAAACATACTTCTGTGTGGATTTTACTGAAAAGCATTGATTAAAGGGTTCCCTACACTGACAACACAGAATCAGACTTCCTTCAACAAATATCCCATTACATTAGTTTCTTTGGCCCAAACGTGATGAGTAGTGATGGTTTAAGCCTAAAAAATATTGCAAGTACACATTTTGGGGGTGGGGCGCGGCATTTTATGCCGCTCCATACCAACATATTTAAACATTTCAGAAGACAAGTTTGCAAAATTCATTCAAGATATCTTCTTGCAATTTTGCACAGATGGTCTTATAGGCATTTCTAACAATCATTCAGGAGGATTTTTGGTTAAGTTAAAAACTCTAATTCTTTAAAAAAAAAAAAAAATGTTCATTATCATAGAATCTCGGAAAAGCCAGAAATTAGGGGGGTGGGCTATCAATTCTCTTGAAACAGAATTATGAGTAAATATATTTAAAAATCCTTCAGAGTGATTCTTTAAAAATGGATACAGAATAAGTGTGCAAAGTTTAATGTAATTCTGCTGGATAGTTTTTGAGTTTTGGCGTCTGAAAGGTGATCAGAAGGTCAATTTCAGAAAACGGCAAAAAACTAGAAAAAAGACAGATTTTTTTGTTTACTTCGGTCTATGTAAACCTTCACCTCTTCAGACCCTTACAAAATCAGTGGCTCCATAGAAAGGAATTAGTTACGATGAAATGAAGTATAGTTTAAGTTGAAATAATATTTTTTCAGCCTTCCAATATTTTAAGGAAATATATGAAAATTGATGAGAGACTTGATTCATGCCACAGGCGTTCAAAGTCGGGTGAATTCACGACGACCAAACCAAAACTAAGCGATGGTGACCCTTTTAAAATGTAATTTTTGCCACTTTATAACAAAATTTATGTCATTTTACATGTTTCTACCGGTCTTAGACATATCAAAGAATCCAAAAATGGCCTTAACCCAGTTACGTTGTCTGGGCCCCTTTGACCCGTTTTTCCCCTCCTGACTCCGCCGCGGAATTCCTTAGAGGCTCAAAAATTTTAATTTCCAGTTTTCAAGGACTCTCTAGCTATGGAAATTACCAGACTTTGACAGACATTTTCTCTCTAATTTCCCCTCTGAATCCAGACAACCCTGACTTCCTTCAATCACAAATATTTCGATTTCTGTTCTATACAGGTGGAAATTTTTTATCGCCTAAAGCAAGGCAAATGAACAGGCTTTAAGATTATACCAATAACCCCATATGCCCAAAAATTGACGAACGCCATGTCGTGACACAAATGTGTAGCTCTTGCAAATCTACATTAGAATTGGGTGTCATTGATTTTATTTGTTTTCTAAGTAGGAGATACTTCAGACTTAATATTAATGTGTACTGTCTTAGTTTCATTACTTCTGTTGAGAACAGATAAGAACTTTTTGTGTTTTCATCATCTTTCATTTTTGTGGAAGATTTTACTCTGATGACTTGTCAGTTTATTTTGCCTTAATTTTTCAATCAGATTGCCTTAAGTTAAAATGTGGTGGTCTGTAGTTAACACTTTAATCTCTTCCTGGTTGTGGGCTGCATGCTTGTCCTTGGTTGTCAAGTGAAAGTATGTCTAACTGGGTATTACAACCAACATTTTGGTTTTTGGTAGGCCCAGGAATGGTGGTGGTCTAGACTTCCAAGGTGCATTTGACACCATTGAAAAGAGAAAATTTTAACTGATTTAAGAAAATTCAACTTTGGTGATCAATTTGATTAATATAGTAGGTCTACCCAAAGGGGGGGGAGGAACGATCACCAATGCCAATATGCCCATTAGTCAGTCAAGTCGAGAGGTATCAGCAAGGTATTGAAAATACTAACCCAAAGAAGTGTCCCAAAACAGGATTTGGCCACTTGGCAAGCAATTTGTGTCCTTGGAAAATTGTCAGAATATTTTTGATCTTCGTTCACAGTAATGCACCTTCTTTAAAATGCCAGATCTTTCTTATTAACTCTTATCCTGCGTCTGTGCCCAGATGCGTATCTGCAACCGATTACGTCGGACGTGCCAGGCAGGCCGCCGGGGTCACTCAGTGTGTACTGCTGGTGTACAGCGCGTGCGCCGGGAACATTGTGTTTTCGCCATGAATACCGCGGGAGTGTGTCCACCGATGATGAAAATAGCGCGTGCTCTATCTTTCATAGCTTTCTATTTATAAAGTGTTACAAACACATGAATAACCCCCTCTCACAAGCTGATAAGACATTACGAGTAGTTACACCCATTCGAATAACCTTTCTCTTGTTGTTATGAATGACCTGAGGTTCGAAAGGGGATAATTTAGGTCAATTTCCGAATGTTTTACACTCAAATTGTTCTTTGTTCCTGCACAATGGTATTCAAAACTATCAAACAAGCTTATTTCTTATCAGGTAGTATCATTTCATACAAAATGAAGCTCATTTGAAATGTTTTGTATAGAGAAATGGAAGTCTTGTTTCCTGACTATCCTTTCGAGCTCCTCATGTCTAAGTGGGTCAATTTCTTCTATAATTTCATTGGACGAACATCTAGGGCTACCAACTTGGCATGTTTTGAATGAGACGTATGCCTCGATTACGAACCAACGCAGGCGGTTCTAGAAGAAGGCCACAAACGCACACAAACTCAAGCAGACTGACGCACATACACTTTACCTGCGTGAATGGGGATCCGACTCTGGACCCGAATGACATGTAAGAGGATGCGCGCTGCGCTGAGCCAGGGGCTACACTGATTCAGGACCAGAACGTAGGCGAGGTGCCGAAATTGGCTTATCGAGTGACATAAACCCAACTCCCGCAGGATGAGGGTTAATATATGCTTTTGCAATGTGTTTCATATATGTAAAATTTCATACTACTGAATGTTTTCCTGACATTATATTTCATAGTTGTAAATTTCATTAAACTGACTGCATTCTGTAGTCCTTTTGTATATATGAGATGTGTGTTAAAGTGTTCTTGGTGACATTGCCTTGAAGAAATATATGAATTTTTAAATGTTATATTACATTTGTGCGCTTGGGTGTTTCGATTATGAGATTTTAAGGTACTGTTTATTAATAATAATGATAATAATATAATAATGTTCATTTATTTGGAGTCCATATCCAATGTGTTGTAATGGGGGGGGGGGGTGTGTTTGTAATTTATTTGTGCCCCAGATGGAGGATAAGACTTAAGTCATTCGCTACGTATTATTTTTGGCTTGTGGACGAATATTTTTCGGGAGGGCGAAATGAGATGATGACTAGTGGGCAGTTCAAAGGTCTTTGGGGCCACAAATTAAAATAAAAATATCAACATATTATACACCAAAATTTTCAGTATGATTTGTAGAATACATCTGTAATGTTTATTTGTGTATTTTTCAACTTTCAATCCTGTGCCGTTGGGGGCAGCTTGGCGTACGGAAGTCACTTGCACCACGCCGCTGCCCACGGCTCGGCGTAGCAAATTAGTTAATTTCGAGGTTTTACAGAATACTGTTTGGAAATTAATTACAAGTGTCTTCACAACTTTGTTGTTCAGTCCTCATCTCATAACGATGTGCACAAGTCCCCATTTACACACAACCCTTCTGGCTGGTCCTTAATCAATTTCTCATGGAGTCTCCAGGTCCATTCTTGTTTCTTCATCCTGGTCTTGATAGATGATGGTAGCATATTATTATTGTTTTAGTAATTTATAATCTCTTTTGCTTTCAGATGAAACATGATGTTGAAGAAAAAGACGCTTTCAACATTCTGAAGCTTCATGTAAGTCTGGCTCGTGCTTTATTTTTTAAATGCAATATTTCTCTTGCTCTCAAAATCGTATTTTTAAAAATATATACCCAGACTCTTTCTGTTGGATTGCCAGTAGATGAGATTTCAAAAAGTAAGAGATGTTTCATGCTTCATGAAGATGGAACTATTACAGGTAAAAGAAATTCAAAGTGATTTTATTTGTCTTTGAACCGGGCAGTGTATAAAAGGACAAAAGTAGAAATGTTGCAATTGATGCCCTTGTGTTTCGTATTAGAAAGTGAAAAGTATGAGGACTTGGTAAATGCAAAAATATTGCTTGTATGCAGAAACTGTGAAGTGGGCCTGGGGCTTGCAGTGTCTTTATTTCCAGGTGGTATACACTTTGACGGTTCCAGAGATGACAGTAACACTTGCAAATTGTATAGCAAACTTTGCTGTGCTTTAACCGCTTTGTCCTAACATCTCGCTATTCTGTAGTGTGCAAAGATTGAAATGGAAACTGTAACATTTCTTTCTGGCCTTGTGATTCAATTTATTCAAAGTTTGACCCTTAAGAGGGATTTTTTTTTCTTGTTTCCTCAGGCTTTCGAAGAGGACAAGAATTTTCATGATATTCTTGAAAAACTCCAAGAAGCCACCGCTGCTTATGCAGCTTGTTCAAGGGCAAAACATCTTAGGCCATGTTATTACACTGTTTCACCACGTTTGAACACACTGAAGTTGGCTCTCATAAATTACCCAGACAAAAATCAGAAGCAGGAGGAGAGAGTTGAATACATCAAGCCTACTGCACACATGAATGAAGATGATCACCAGGAACAAGTAGATGATGAAAACGCTGATGAAGACTTTGAGAGTGATAGTTCCACCCTAGACGGTGAAAGCGACTCTGTCCCTCCGAGTGAGGAGATTGACGTTTCAGCTTTACTTCAAGAGGAGGAGGATGGGGTCGTGGCAAGTGAAGATGATACCATTGGTGGTATAAACTCAGATGCTGTTGAGAGATATGGTCTTGAAGCACATACCAGAAAAGGAGGTGAGCACTGTATGAGTATGTGTCGCACAGGGTATAACAAAAAAATTCCTTTAAGGAATTCACCTTTTTCTTTGAAAGTGCCTCATAATGATCTTTGGCTGCCTGCGATGTTCAGTGTTCCCTGTCCACTCTCATTGTCTGAAGATTTTACCTTCTTTAGTATTTTGCTGGGTTTTTTCTTTCCTTTTGACATCAAGCCAAAGTTTTGAGAACGGTTTGTCTTAACTCAAAGTGTATGGTCCACTTGCTGCCTCTTCACCCAGTGGTCATTGCACTGACTGTGAATTGTAATGCATGTATTCCACAAAACAATGGAATCAGGCGCAGGTCAATTTTGGTCGCTTTAAGTTATTGGTGTAATCTTAAAGCCTGTAAAAGAGACTATCTATCTTGAATAAAAATAGAGATATTTGCAACTGAAGGACGTGGGGGTCACCTGGTGTCAGAGGTAAAATTAGCGTGAAAATAGCCACCAAAGTCGGCTGACTTCCAAATCTGGAGTGTCCTTGAGAAACTGTAAATTTACTTTTTACGGGATAAACATTTTTTGGTAAAATTCAAGGAGGAATGTGTTGTTAAATGGATATAAGGTATTGAGCCCAAAACAAACAAAAAAATTGAAAAAAATTTCCCAGTGGGCAAAAAGAATGTTGGTTTCTTCGAATTTACTATTTTGACGAGCACCTGAATTGACCACAATGCAAAAAAAAATTATGCTTTATGATAGAGGCATAATAGGTAAACCCTTAGAATTTTGTTTGTTCTGAATTATTTATGAAATTTAGCTTGGATTTCGTTAAACGTGTGTCAATCACACTGTTTTTGCACATAAATGAAAGGTAAACTTCCTTGCTGGTTGCTAGTCAGCTTGAGTAGTGTTCAGGCTACAACAAAAAAAAGGAAAGGAAAGAATGTGTTTTAGATTCCGTAGTTGTATTTTTATTTTTATATTTGTCCCTTCAAGTGGGGGTTGTTTACCTATGAATGTCAGGTGGGTTTTTTATGCTTACTTTAAATAAAATGCTTGAGAGATTTAATAATAGTTATTATCAGTGTCTTATTATTTCCTTTTTATTTCTCTTTTCTTTTTGTCTCAGAATTTTTGGAGAAAGATTCTCTGTGGGTCCGGCTGGATGTCAAACAGTTACAGCAGTCACTGACCCGAGAGCAGGAGCGAGCTTTGCACTGGCAGCAACTGTACCTGGCCGAACGCCGACAGCGGGAGCGGGAGCGAGAGAATGAGGAATGGGAGGATGAACGAGAGAGAGAACGATGGGAGCAGGAGCGAGAGCAAGCCAATCAAGTGGAGTGTCTGCAGAAACTGTTGTCCTCCAACCTCACCACTCTAACACAGCACATTCTTCGCTGGAATGTGTCTGTCTTTGATGATTTTGCCAATTTGTCCATGCTTATGTCAAGTGTTGCTGAACTTAAGCAATCTGTTGTCAGTTCGGTAAACAAAGTTTGGGAAGAGGCAGAAGAAATGATTGAGAGGGTTCGGGGTGTTGAAAGTGGCAGAGAAGAAGGCGGTAAAAGTTGGGAAAGCTCTATGCCAGATCAAGAAGTTCTAATGAACTATGTCAATATGCTCATTCGGGATGTGAAGGACGAGATAGGCAAGGTACTCAAAGATGATGAGCCTTTAGAGCATGACACGGAAAATTTAGGGGAAAATATGAAAGGTGATTCTAAGTATGTGGATAATAAGTTCTCCAAGAAGTCTAGAAAACAAGAAAGAGAGGACACTCGCAATGACAAGTGGCATGGGAAGATTTTTAAGCTGATTAAGAGAACAAGGAAGTCAGTAGGGAAAGTGGGTAGGAAGCTTGTGGGTTTTCTGGGGAAGATCCAGACTGCGTGGGAAGACAGGCAGAAGTGGTTGTCCAAAGTAAAGAGCTACTTTGTGAAGAAACGGCAGCCGTCCACTCCTAAAGGGATCATGGAATTTGAGAGACTTTGTTCTGGGTTACCTGTGAATGGGGAAAGTCGTGAAGTGGACATAAGCAGCGAGTGCATGAAATGGATTCGATCTGTATGGCAGAGACAGGTCCGCAAGAACCCTTGCAAGGTGTTGGGAAAGTTCAGTAGAGAATGCAACATGGATGAAAACCAGTTGAAGGATGAGATTAAAGCAGTGTCAAAGCATCTTGAAAAGTTAATGAAGGAAACGGTAGCCCATTCAGGTATGGTTTTGAAAAAAGAGATCAATCCAGTTGATATGGTAGGGAAGTTCAGAGGTTTCCTTGAGCAGTGGGGTTCTAGCAATCTGTTGCTGAAGTCTGACATCACCTGGGCTGAGTGTCAATTGGGGTGGTGGGTGGGGGTTGATCGCGTCCTTCCAAACATTCAACACACTCTTAGAGATAATTGGTGCCATATGGTGGTGCTACCTCGTCTTTCATTTGTTGACAGTGATGATAAATCAGACGTTGTATACTTTGATCAGCAACATGGAAGCTACAAAAGGAATGATGACAATGATAACAACGATCATAGAGACGATGAGGAGGATGATGAAGGATGGTCTCCGGGTCGTTATGTTGAATATGGCAGAGAGGAGCTGGTATTGAATCTCAAGACACTTGAAAATGTGGGAGATGAAGTTGAAGACTACAGTATACCGCACTGGGACCACAATGAAACCGAAGGTGACATGGGGACGGTGCAAACCAAGTCAAAAGATACGTGGTACTTAGAGCGGGCTAAGTACCGCCTTGAAACAAGGAGAGAAAAAGAAAAGGCATCAGATGCTACAAGCACCATGAATCTGAAGCTTAAAAGAGCTGCCCATGATCTGTCAGGAGAATGGGTTTTTGAAAAAGCGGAGGCTCGAGCTTTTCAACGACATCAAGATCACAGATCTGACTGGCTTTTTGAGAGAGCTCACGGCAGGAGAAGGGGGAAAGAGGGTCCCTTTTATCATTCTATGCAAGAGGAAAAGAAAGGGAAAGGCGTGAAACATCCAAATTGGTTCTTCGAGCAAGCAAATGAGAGAGAGAAACAGAGACTCTTTGAACACCGTTCTGATTGGGTATTTGAGAGGGCTGAGCAGCGGGAGCAATACCATAGGCAGCAGCAACATCACGGGGGAGACTGGTTAAAGACGAAGTTTCATAAGAAGGCCTCTCACAGATTTCGAAAGCATTCCGCACCTAAACGTCATCACAATAAGAAGCATAATTGTGGGAAAGGCAAACTTAAAGTTGATTTTGAGGATTTCAAGGATGAGAGAATGCCTCACTGCATTGAATTATAAACTTCTGAGAAGGCTGTGGCCCCCAACTGATTTTTTTTTATTTCTCTTGTTTGCTTTTCACTTTTTGTAATGTATTTTGTCACAATAACCAAGTTTGCTTTAAAATACCCTTCAATCTTAGCAGTTTACCACTTTGTTTTGTCCAATACACCTGCAGACATGGTCTTACAAATGCTTAGTACTTCATGTCTTTCGCATGGGTGAAATGTTTCAAAAAGCAGACTTCTTTGCCTTACTAGGCTCCATATTTTCGTACAACTTTTTCAAAAATACCATAGAAATTTGAGAAAGTGTTGAGGCTGTTGAAGGTCTCAGACTTTTTTCTTATGTAATGAATGTTTTACAACTGAAAAGTTTCCACTCTTCCTAGCTTTTCTCACATATATATTATGAAATTGATCATGCAACAGCAATAAGCTTGTAGAGAGTACAGGTTGGCTTGTTTTGTGCCTCAAGCGAAGCATTCTCTACAGAAATATGTAGATGCCATAGCAAATGAAGAAGAAGTCATGGCTCATTTGATGAGTTGTTACTACATTTGATGTAGATCAGTATGTTTCTGTGTGAACAGTTGGGGGGATTTTGCAGTGTGTGGAATTTGAATATAATGACATGTGTTGGCTGTCCAAAAAGTGAGATGAAAAGGGTCACAACTAAAAAAAAAAGCTCTTCTTACCACATATATATAAATGATGTGCCAAAGGCAGTATACTCTACTCTACTAACTGCTGCCAATATACTCAGCATACCACAGAAGGTATCCATGTATGACATCTCGTCAAACACAGTGACTGTCATAGAGGAATAGTCAGAGACAGGAGTGCGCAGTCTTGATTTGTACAGGTTTAAAGGAAAGAAGACCTCTAAATTGACTAACTAGTTGCTGAATAGTGTTACAACGTAATTTTTAAGGTTTATACTGGTCCATAGATTTTTATTTTATCAGGAGCCATTTTCACCTTACTTTTCTGACTGACCTCACATTTTAATTTTTTTTTTTTTTCTAGTACAAGATTATGAATAACAACACGGTTCAAGGGATCCTCTTTGCTCAGCATTTACGTCTTTTGTCAAACCCTCACTAATGTTGCAACACAGTGTGATCACATCCATGCTTAACCCCCAACCCCTCTCCAGTCTCCCAAGTTTCCTAAACTTCCTTATGTGTCAACTGTTACCTTTGTGCATCCTTAGCTTCTGATGTCCATCTATTTTTTTTAGTTCAAATTCTTACTACAAAATTCTTAATTTTACTTTATATGTAAGTTCCTCGGGGAAAAGTCTTTTCAATATTAAGTAGGCTGAAAATGTTAACCAAAACAGCAGATGAGAATTGATAGGACAGGTGAATAGTGTACTTTTTCCCACGTGTGGCTTGTTGTTTTTTAAACCTGTGTCTCTGAAAAATGTTAATACATAGGCATCATTTTTTTTTTTTCTGTGTTTAATTTTGCAGATTCTTGTCTAGTATTGAATACATTTATTGAAAATGAAATCAGTTGCTCTTCTAAAAGAACTTGATGTTAAATGGATTCACCGTTTCCTGATAAGGATGCATCTGTCATTAATTCCAATAATTTAAATTAACTGCTATTCTATATTTGCAGCATCTTTGAATGGCAAAACATTGCACTTCTATTGCAATGTCCACTGGCCATTTCTGTTAAAATTTGTTCTGCTTTTTAAGATTGACCATATGGTAGTGGGTTTGAGCTGTAAGTAGAGGTGTTTTGGAGTTTGCATACATTTTTTCGCATAGTTTACCATGTTTTTAATTTTTAGTAAGTTATGTTTCTTTAATTCTCTTCTTTTTTAAAATCTGAAATTCAATCTAAAATTATATTGTTAATCAGTCATGGGCTTGTTTGGAAGTAGCATAATCATTTTTAAACTATTCAGATTAAACATTTTGCTCCAACTTTTTTTTGTGTTCATCTACATTTATGCTTCTATTCACTTACCTCTAGAATTATTTTTAACCTGTAGGCTGTAGTATTTGGCTACTTTGATTTAATCAAGAGCAATACAATATATATCAATTATAATGTGAATACTTTTTGTGCAGTGACCAATTTTTCTATTCTTTTAATGCTGGCATTGTTTTAAGACTTTCTTCTTTTTGTGTGCAATGTATTGTTCCTGGGTTGCAGACAACACAAAATTATAGACCTCTGTTCTCACCTATCATAATGTAATTTTATGAGCTGTTGTGTCTTTTCGAATATGCTAAATGACTATTACTATATTGTTTGTGATTCACATGGTCTAGGTGAAACTTTGTGGCTTCCACCATAAGAGTGCAGTCATCGTGTCAACTCACAATACAATAATAAAATGTGAACTCTCTGTGTCTGGAGTGTTCAGGGTTGATTTTATTTGAATTCTCTTGATGGGGGGGGGTTCCTGTTGACATTATGTTGGATTGTACAGAGTGAGTGCCCTTGAGGTCATGGCAACTAATGGGTGCCCATTCCTTTACCTTGACATGCTTCTGATTGCTCGGTGATTGAGACATAATGGTCAGATGGCAAAAGAAAACCAAATTAGAGCTACACTAGAATTTTCTTAGCATGAACTCTATGAAGCCATCTATATATGTATTTGTGTTGTAAGAAGTTAGTTTACGGATAGTCATTACTATTTGGAGGTTGGACAATGGGAGCAAGAGTGTTGTGAAGTTTAGTTAAACAAACTTAAGAATGTTGAGTAATCTGTCAGATTACTGGCTGAACTAAAGCAGTCTGAAGGGCATCTGTGTCTTGGTGGAATGGCAAAGATTCTTTGCATTTCATGCAAAGGCTTTCTCTTGTGGAAGACACTTTGTCCTTTCTCTCCTGTCTATCTGCTGAGATAATATCCTACATGGCCTGGACTGTCTCTATGTGAGGTTGAAGCAACCTGCCACTAAATTTTATGTGCCCTTTAGATTATATAAATTCTGTAGGACATGTACAGCAAATAATACCCCATGACGTTGAGAGCAATGAGTGTCTATTGAAGACTAAGCTTCAGCATCTGGTGTCAAAGGGAGATAGCGATGTCCTCGAAAGGCCAGGCCCTAACCAAGTTTATTATTTATTTAGTTCTTGATACTGAAAAGGCAGATACAATATCAATCATTCAATGTATGTTGTACACTTGACTTATGATAATGTCATCCAATTTTCTTGAGGCAGTAGTGAAGAGCCAACATGAGCAATAAGAGCATTGGGTCAAGTTTGAATGTTCATGCGGTCCAATGTGTTGAATTCTTTCATCCATATAATAATAATAATGGCATTTATGTAGCACATATCCACACTCTACTGTCTACAGCATGCTCTTTGCACTTTACAACAAATGTTCTATCATTACCCCAGCAGACCCTAGAAAGTGGGTGGATGGTGGGTGCTCTGGTGTGGTTTGCTCCTTCTTTCCTATCGAAAGCTATCGTCCTTCTCTCGTCCTTTTTTGAGTTTGTTACTCTCTTGCAACACCTCTAATCTTGGGCACTTATATGGCCTTATTGTGTTGCAAGTGCCGGGATACTCTTACTTAATTAAAAAACAAACTAAGACCTAAGAAAGGTCAGAAACATTCCCAGCTTCCGAGAAGCATTCATGCTAAAAGTTAATTTCCAAGACACATACACTCTCTAGCTTGGAAGAGATTCGGATGTTATAAAAAATGAACTTTGTTATACTGTCAAATTTGCTCTTACGGCCAACTGTTCATAACAATCACGAGTATAAAAAGCCACTCCCCCCCCCCCCCCCAATTGAGTTTTTTCCCTTATTATTATGACAAGCAGCCACTTCCCAGTCCCCCTGGCATTTAAAAACATTTTTTTTTACTCCTTATATTTTTATAATGACACTGCCAAAGACATCCACTTGTCTAAGACAGCGGGTGGTTGGTGGATGCTCTGGCGTGGTTTGCTTTTTCTTTCCTATCAGACATATCTATCGTCTTTATCTCTCCTCCTTTTTTGTGTTTGTTACTCTCTTGTAACACCTCTAATCTTCGGCCCATATATGACCTCATTGTGTTGCAAGTGCGGTAAAACACTGACTAAAAACTCTGAGACAACCACTTTTCTCTTCAAGAATTGGTGGCCATCTTGGACAATTTTGACTGTATTTCATTGACACTTAAACAGTTAAACTGAACACAAGCAAGTAGACACAACACAATGTCGAATAAGACACAATATAATTTTGTGTTTTTTTGTTTTGTATCACAGTATAATAAGAATATCGTAAAGACTAATTAATCATTAAAAAATGATTTGAAAAAAACAAGTAGTACGAAAAAAGGTACCAGGAGACTAAAGAGATCCCAAATTATCACTGCCACGACAAATAAACGTTCAGAATTATATATACAAGTGTTTGTGGACAACATCAGTCTCTCTTTTCAAGACTGCCAAAATTCTAATATAAATGTTTACTTGCAATTATTTAAAGCAGTAGAATGATATTAAATATTCATATATTTACACTTGAGATAGAGTGGAGAAAGTTTTGCATATATTTTTCTTAAACATAGTTCCACCTAAGGAGATGAAAACAAATTGTTAACATTTTTTGGTATACTTTAGCTCAAGGTACAATTATAAAAATAATATTGCCGCCCAGTAATGATATTTAAAAAGTCAAAAGTTTTAGCACAGAGTAATGTCAGAAATGTTTCTGGACAGCGGCACGTAAAGCTAGCATTATGCATGACAGAAACCCTCAAAGTCCACAAAGATGGCTGAAACACTTTGGTAGTTCTTTAGTACACTATCAGAGATGGTCAAATTGTGTAGCCCTAAAGTGGAGTTGAAATGAAATCGTTCAAAAATATAATGTTGGAAGCATAAAGCAAAAATGGTGTGCCTCATGAAATTCGTACTTGGATTTTACACAACAAAACACTTGTCATTTTTTTTTAAACAGTCAATAAAAACTCAATGAAAAAAAATAAGAACGAAACTTTTGAAAATCTCCATTTCCATTTCTTCTGCCTTTCCCATGTGGTTAAATGAAAGTGATTTCAAAGGTGCCAAACATAAAGAGTTTATATAATTTTACAATATAGCAAAATGTAATGAAGTGAAGTATTTCACGACCAACTAGACAATAAATAATTTCGTAAGTAGATGGAGAACATTCTTGAGCACATGTGGTAAGTCACACACTCTACAGTCCAGCACAGATACCACGAACACGCAAAACTCAAAATGACAAATAGCTCATACAATTTGCCATTCTCCAACTGAACAGTTATATTATCTTTGCTTTGGCAACACTTTTTTTCAAACACGCACGGATATGTCAAACAGCTCATCATGAAAAATCAGATCAAATTTGTCCTCACAATTGTCTCAATTTCAAATTGCCCTGTGGGCACGTAGCACAAAACCACACCCATCAAGAGTATCAGGTTACAGTTCAGATATAAATCTAAGGCTCATCAGCATCACTCTCTTCTTTTTTCTTGTAATGACTCCAAACAGGGAGCACTTACTATTCATTCTTCTTTATCCTTTATTAATCAATAACCAGGTACTTTTCACGGTGGTGGTTTCATTTTGTTCAACATTTCTTTTATTTCTTGTAATCATAGTTTACTCAAATTATGGATGTGTGTTGAGCATTTTTGTCAATCCCTGACATGTTCAAGATATCTGGGCTAGACTGTACATTAATGTTTCTGAAAAATGGGTTTTCATATTGACAGTGTCTGCATTTCTGTTGGAAATATCTATATCGTGAGCTTGACGTATATATATATATATATATATGTTTGTGTAGCATAAAATAACTGAAGAGTAAATTTGACAGTGGAACTAGTGAAATCTGTCATTCTACTTCCCAGGAATATGTGAAATTAAAGAAAATCTCTGTCATCTTGGCCTCCTGAACTAAACTGCTGAATTTTCCTTACTGCAGTAGTGTTAAGATGGTGGAGAATATGCAGTGCAAAATAGGACTGGAATTTCTGAACATCTTATTAACATGAACATGGGTATCAATTTGCATCTCTGTAAGAGCTTTAACATTCTGCTTTTTTTTTCAAGTTATCTCAATCATGTGGAGCATTTCTGTCATTTCAATAAAACCTATTATACCTTTCATTTTTATTGAAATGCAAATATTTGTAGGATTATTTCACAAGAACTGTTCTTGTGATCTTTGACTCTTGAGACTTGTTCAGCTGACCTCCATGCTTTCTTCCTCCTCCCTCGAGGTGTCAAGACCAGCATTTTGAGCCAGCAAGTTTAACAAGTCCATTTTCTTTGTGGCACCAGCCACCGCCATCAGGGCATCTGTTGTTAACTGTCAAAGGAAAAACACAAATGAAACACTATTAACAAATGAAAAATGTACAATTATTTACAGTACAATGTAATCACTAAACAGTCTACACCTCAAAGGCCCCTAGATAAAGATGAATCAAACCAATCATGGGCATGGGTAATTTGTCAATAATTTATGCTATCATATTAAAAAAAACTTTCCCAAGACGAGTATTTCATAACGTTTTGGTCACCCTTTGATCCAAGTTCTTCTGCTTACTATGGAAACACCTGCTACTCCTGGTGCCATTCATTGAAAATGTTCAGGAGCTAGATAAAGGCTGTCTGTCCTATCAGCTTTCTACACACCAGCATATCTTCTAACTTTTAACACCTGGAGCAAAGAGTCTGCAAAACACGTCTCAATTTTGCTCAAACTGTTTTGATTCTATTACTTCATACTTCTATAATATATTTTATTGTCATGAAACATTAATGATGGTGAGCCAGCATCCTCTCCATCCTTATTTATTGAGGACAGATCTGAATGATGACAATTTTTTCATGGTTTTCTTGTTTTATTCCAGAGCTGTGAACAGAGGTATATCTATTTCCTATTTGTTTGCAAAAGGAGATGAGCCAACAGTCACAAGCCTGAAATAAGGTAAAGAATTTCTAATATTTTACAGAGCATTCACTACACTGGGCTTTACCTTGAGCTTTCTCCTTGCATTGAACTCCTTCAGCTTCTCAATGGTGTCACCCTTGGGCGTTGATTTGTTTGCCATTCCAGAGACCCAGACATGTTTCAAAGCTGCGTCCGGTGTCAAGCGTTTCTTGGGATCCAGTACCAGCAGTTTCCTTACTAAGTCCTGATATAATTCACAACAGAACTTGTCAAATATTTGATAACTTCAAATGTACGAATCTTGTTTTGACAGATACGTTTGGAGGATTTGAGAAATCATTGTTTTAGATTTGGAGCTTTGTTTCTCAAGTAACATTAATAGTCTTTAAGATATTCAGCCCCCATGAATATCACTGCTCTAAGCAAAGTAATTTTAAAAAACAAATCGAATGCAGTGAGTAGTTAAAGAAATAGATCATCAATGGTGAATGCAAACCCCTTTAAATATAATATGAATCTGATGCACTTAAAAGAAGGAAATTTGAAGTAAAATTGATTCCAAGTCTCAGGCTGACCCTCATGTTGATGGTGTATCTCTAGAATAGAGTGGCCAATTTTGGAAAGTTTCGTTGCAGGAAATGGAAAGTCTGCCTTTTAATTAAGTAGTACAAAATTTTAGAACAATTCAAGACCATTTCTTTTGTTTTAATGATAAATGTTACATTTACACATAATACAGTCATGGCAGATATTTGAAGCATTAAAGTAGTCATGCTTTGATTTTTTAGCAAAAGATTTTTCAGTTAATTCTGATACTGAATCAGTTATATCCAATTTTAATGACAAGTAATTCATAGGGTTTCCTTGATGAAACTTAGTAAAATGGCATTAATAGCTTTCCAAGCAATGGCCTTCTTTAAATTATTACCTTTGCATTTTCACTGACGTCATCCCACCATGGAGAATCGAATTTGTAGTCCGCTTTGAGAATCATCTTGAACATTTGATTGTCATTTTCAGCAAAGAAAGGTTCATATCCACACAAGCTGTAAAACAGTGATCGGTAAATATCACCTAAAGTAGAACAATATGTCATGAGCAGAATCTTGGTAAATCGTTACAACAGAGAAGTCATGTATGTATTCCACTTTTGACAAGTAACAATTTTTCTCTCATTTCATTTTCCCTAACAGTTTGCACCTCGATACTATGACTTATATCAGAACATGCAAAACGCTGTCATTCAGAACTTAAGATTCTGTTTAACTCTCCTCTGTAGCTCAGTTCAAATTTACTGTCTTTCAGTGTCATTATAACTTGCCTTTTAATCTCTATTTTCCTCTCTCCTCTCCCCCTCTCCGCCCTCCTCCCTCTCTCTCTCTCTCTCTCTCTCTCTCTCTCTCTCTCTCTCTCTCTCTCTCTCTCTCTCTCTCTCTCTCTCTCTCTCTCTCTCTCTCTCTCACTCTCTCTCTTTCTCTCTCTCTCTCTCTTTCTCTCTCTCTCTCTCTCTCTCTCTCTCTCTCTCTCTCTCTCTCTCTCTCTCTATCTCTCTCTCTATCTCTCTTTAGAGCATGCTTTTGCAAGCACTTGTTACACATCCTCCACAGAATCTTTTCTTTTCCTTGAAAGGTAGAAAAGGTACTCACAGAATGTATGTAATAACTCCAACGCTCCACATATCACAGCTCCGTTCATACTTCTGACCTTTCAAGACTTCAGGGGCTGCAAATGAACCAAATGAAATTTTTTAATGTACACCGTCCATAAAACAGGCTACTGTAAATATTTATGCAAGCTATTATTCTGCGAAAGAATACAACAAAAACAAAACAGAAACATTCCATACGCAGAACAAAAAATGACTTTGTATCACCAGGTAGGCCTATAATCTAAGACAGTCAAGTTTTCAGTCTGGTTTGAAGAATTAACGTTCAAAAGTCATCAACTGCAAAACCAAAGTGTACAGAAAGAAATAACTTTATTTTCATTCTATTTACCTTTAGTATCAATAACAATATAAAATTTGTTGTTGGGGACCATCCTTCATGTCTGATGTGGAACAAAATCTTTTCTATTGAACTGTAGAAAACAGATTCAGAGCCTAGGCTTGGAACTTAAGTGGTTCTTATCAGCACATGCAATGCTTAACCTCAGAGGAGCATTTCACAATGAATGAATGATTGCATGCAAAAATTTACTTAAACTTGACACGGTCAAGCTGTCTCTATATTAGAAATAGAAGCACAGTAAATTTACTGGTTCTTTGAATTCAAAACCAAGCCACTAACATTTATCAAAAGATCAGGCTGACATGACTGGGTTGGTCTTTACATATTGTTTCAAAGAGCAATTTACTGGGAAAAGATTTTTTTTCCTCTTGAAGTTCAAACTGCAGCCCTCCGCACAGTAAATGGTTTTTTTAATCAAGTCCATTGACATTTGTATGAGTGAGTCTTGGGTTGGCAAGACAGTGCTGATTATTTCACATTGTATTAAAGAGCACCGCTCTGCTCACACTTTTCAAAAGACCAAATTCTGTCTAAGAGAACATCAACACAACATAACTGTGACCAGAGCCTCACCGCAGTAGCCAGGTGTGCCGCACACTGTCATCAAGGACACTTTGTTACTGACAATTGTAGACAGTCCAAAGTCAGCTGTTGATGAAATGGGGTATTAATCAATAAAAAATATTATTCTATTACATTACAAAAAGTATCAATAAGAACATTCAGTTGACTCTGCTTAAACCAAGATCTGAAGGATCTCAAGATTTTCATCAGTTTAGCTGTGATTTTGGTTTAGAGAGATTGCTCAAATAGCAAAGAAAAAATTAGGAATTCGGTTTTCTTTGTGTTTATTGCTGTTTTCAGATTAACTATATTCAGTTTAAGTGGACTTCACAATACTTTTGTAATTCTTCCTCATGATTGTAAAACATTATTATTTCATTGTTCACCAAGCTACAAGGAACAGGCACAATTTTTGCACAAACTTTTATACCAGCTCTAATTTTTTTCCCCACAGTACTTGAGCATTGAGGGTGCAGTGGCGGAGCGGATAGTGCGCTCGTCTCTGAAGCAGAAAGTCCGGGGTCGAGCCTCGGTTCGAACACGGATTTTTTTCGCCTCCTCCTACCCACCCAGCAGTAATGGGTACCTGACTTCGAGTTGGGGAAGTAAAGGCGGCGTGGAAAGGAACTGGCCACCCTACCACAATATGCCGAAGGCCCAGGAAGTTGTCTCACTAACAAGGCCATCCCCAATGTCCGGATGGATGGGGGAACAACTTTACTTACTTAAGCATTCTTGTCTACTGTTAAAATAATGTTCACTTTGTCTTTCTCCAGCTTCTCTTCAACAACAGAAATTTCTTTTTATTCTCAACTTTACAGAGAGTGTATATATATATATGTCACAAATAGTGCTATGCCTATTTAACACAAACATTGCAATATTTATGGCACTGCCATCCGTGCAGACAAAATAAGCTGATCCTCTTGTGACAGACTTTCATGGAGACACACAATAGCAATAAAACTTTTATTCTCTTTGAATGTTTTGCTACAATCATGGATAAACACAATATTACATATACGTCGACTTATTATTCAAAGCACAGCTGTGTAGTCGTGGCTTGTTTAGAGAATATTCCATGATAATGACAACAAAAGAAAGAAATTAATATGGAAATACCGAAAGAAGGAAAGAATAAAAGCCTGCTCTCTCATTTCAAAAGCAGGACTTACAATGACTATATATATATTTTGCCCATATAAGACAAGTGCTTATTTTGGGCTAATACATAATCTGAATAAGTGATATTCTATCAATTGCTTGATAAACGGATTAGTACACTCACCAACTTTTAGCCTGGAGTCTGGGGACAAGTCTTCATACAATATGTTCTCTGGCTGGAAAAGAGAGTATTAGTTATCGGTTTCTGAATTTTTAATAATCACAAGAATGTCAGATTTTATCCTACATTTACAAATGTGAAGATAACTCAAACTCAAAGAAAGAGGATAGTATACCGGAAAATATTTAATTAGATGCGTGAAATAACAGTCTATTTTTCAATTTTGAACTGATACAACAAAAAAGGCCAAAAAATGTAATGTTACAACCACTGGACCATTGGGAAAAAAATGGGCAAGTAGAATCTATATTTATATTATGATGGGACAAATGCATGAGGATAGTAATGCGTCCATTCCTGAAATACAATTAGATGCACATTCAAATTTTAATAAAATTTTTTTTTGGGCTGCAGAAACATATTTACCTTGAGGTCTCTATGGACGACATTGTGATCATGGAGATACTGTAAAAGATTTAAAGGAAAAAAAATTAAGATGTTATTTTCTTGAAGATGTACCTATCATAAAGACAAGACAAGAAAAAAAAAGAACAGAAATTTGTTTTGTCTTTCAACAGTCATTCATCCACTACACACACACACACATGCGTGTGTATGTATGTATTTGTGTGTGCATGTATAGTGTGTGTGTGTATTTTGTGTGTGTACATATCTACATATATGTATGTGCATGACAGTTATGATAACTGTAGTACGCTATCCCAGCCTGCATGAATGTGGCGGCCCAAATCTCCATCATTAATTCATCATTCGCCTCTTTCACCCTGGTATTGGGTGTAGGCTGCCAAGAAAGGACCTCCACCTGTCTCTGTTCTAGGCAATCTTCTCCACCTCCATCCCAGCTGTGTCTCATAAACGCCTGAGATCTGCCTCTAGATATCCCTCCAAGGTGGATCTCAGGATCTCAGCCTCCTTCTCTTCCTTTTCCCCTAGGGATTCTGTCTTATGCTTTTGTCTTGTCACGTTGTGAGCTAACTTTCTGAGTGTATGTCCAATCTATCATAACTTTTTCTTCTTGATCTCATGTTCAATTGGTTGTTGTTTGGTTTGCCTACATTTTTTATGGTGTCCAACCAGTGGATTTTTGTACTCTTCCTCAGGCAAGCATTGATGAAGTTTTCATGTTTTCAATCCAGACAACAAAACACTTTTTACATTTGTATTGAAAATCTGATCTTCCTACTCGTCATAATTGATATTTCCTGATCTCCAGACAGAATGTCATTAATTAAAGGTTTAAAAATAATAACAATAATTTTGTTATGTCAAATCAAAATTTCAGTAAAAAGAGCAAAAGCAAAGTACAAATAAACCTACTTTGACAGCTTGCACAATATCTCTCACAGCATTTGCTGCTTGCTTCTCTGAATAAAAGCCTTGTGTCACAATCCTGAGAAATAAAAAGCCAACAATGTAAAACGATGTAATTTTTGGGTTTAACGGATCTAACCAAAGTCATGAGCAAAATCTCTTACAATGATGACCAGATGGGATATCATTAAATGTTTAGGGTTAGGTTTAAGGTTAGGGTTAAGGTTTCTAAGGCTAGGGTTCTGTTCAAGTGTAAAAATGTTTCAGGGATAGGTTTGGTTAGGGTTGGGGTTTGGATTATTGATTAGGTCATCTAGTATTGTGGGTTTTATTAGACCGTCTAGAGGCACAGTTAATAGACTGGTCCAATGGTAAACCGTCAAATAGAACAGAGTGAACTGGAACCAATTGATGTAATATTCATGAATAGGCATAATTTTAACTTTACGGGGTCATAATAAGGTGACAGAAATGTACCCAACATCAGCATGACCGAGGGTGCATGCTCCTTGAATCGTGGCCTACATTCATCGTGATAGCCAACACCCACAGGAAGCATGTACATTATTATTCATAAACTTGGTAGCCTAGATTATTTAGTCATAATTTATACTTCTCTTATTTTTATTGTCCGCAACTTTTTGAAGACTTATCTTGTATAAAGAGGCTGCAGATGTCAAAAGTGCCCTACCCCTAGAAATTTGTTGTGTCCAATGAGCATGACATGTAAATATTCAATAGAAGGAACTGTACTAACCGCTGAAATAATTCGGATCCAGTGACAAGTTCCAGAACAATGTACACATTTTCTAATGTCTCAAATACTTCCTTCATTCGAACCTAGAAAGAAAAGGTGTAAAAAATTAATACATGAAGAGTTACATATATAATGAATACCAAAGGAAAAAAGTCTTTAAAAACTGAGAAAATTGGAAAGATCATAAGAAAAGCACAATGAACAACATATAGTTTAATATTCCTACATAACTGAGATGACTGTTCAGCCCAAAAACTTACATACATTTTTCCAAAGATTTCAGATAAATTACTTGGATGGGGGCAAGGAGAAAGCAATAAGTGAAAGAAAATATCTTAGTCAGTCCTTAAGAAGCTGATATGGAGTAGTCTTTAAAACTGTTGCTTGTGAATGAAATGAACTATTCAAAATAAACAAAAAAACTCACAACGTTTGGATGGTCCATCTTGAGCAATATTCCAACTTCTGTCATGATTGTTTTTTGCTCCACCTAAAGAATGAAAATAGTAAAAAGGATGTTTTTGCTGTATTTAAAGCATTATGGTTTTAAAAAATAGGCCGGGTTATGCAAAACAGCTAGAATTATTTGGACATGAAGGCTTAGCCTTTGCACAAAACATTAAAACAAAGTATGACATATTTTTATCAATAAAGACATTACAAATTATAGTTATCCATTTCGTTTGATAGCCATATTTTAATGCTTACTATGCACTATTCCACCAATCTAAATAAAAGGCAGGGGGGGTGGGGTGGGGGGGTGTTGTTAAGATATTGTATGCATAATATAACCTCGACATGCTTGACAATTTAAGAAAAAAGATTTGAAAACCTGTCTGCGCATTCATTTTAGCTGGGTATTTAAATACCATGACTAATCTTGTTATATACACTTCTAAAACTTTTGAATATTTTGAGACTTTGGAATAGTGAGCTCAGTACACTGTTCTATGACAAAACATGAGTTGCTAACCTTTTTGTCAAAGAGTTGTGGGAGATGAAATAAAGTGAAGCATGACTAAAGGATTGTGTCACGTTTGTGCAGTAGGCTTCTCTTACTTCATTGTCCAAACTCGCCAACAACAAAAAATTTTGTAATGGCCAGCTGTTTAGTCATAGTGTGATACTGTGCTAATACATACATATTGGCCATTTAATCTCACAAATACTTTTATTTTAGCATCATATTAAAAATATTGGGCATTCAAAGCCTTTCATTACAACAAATGTGCTGTGCATTAGTTTTCACGAGAACTTCGACAATTTTTGGGGTCCAGGATGTACACATACAAATAGTTCTAAAGCAACTTAAAAAACTGTAACAAAACAGGTTTTAAAAACTCCTGGATTCTTTACCTGCAACTTCTCAAAAGCGCATATCGACTGCTCAGTATAAGACTGTCATAGGTCACTTTTCAAAATGGCATATAATAAGCCGTGATTTGGGCTTTTACCCCAAAGGCTGTATTCTTAAAGCCCTACGCACAATTATATTATCTTATGAGTACCTACCCTTTTGTCCATTATTTTCACAGCCCACACATGATCAGTGCCTTTAAGAGTACATTTGTAAACTATTGCTGTAGCGCCTCTGTACGGAAAGAAAGAGAAATTAGTTCAGATCATTCTCTAAAAACATGTTATGATAATAATAATAAGAGTTGCATTTATACGGCATATTACATCCATGCTGAACAGCATGTTCTCGTTGCTTAACAACCATTTTGATGATCAAAACGTTGGTCTGGGCATGGGTAATTAATAAAAACATACAATCATTGATTTTTCTTTGGTGATTTTCAAAGTACAGCGTAGGGCTACAGATATGCAAAACTGAAAATACAACGTAAGAACAGTAACAATGGGCACAAAGACAGCAAATTATACTTTTTTAAAGATACTAGGGTTAGACTTTTAAGATATTTCTATTCTTTATTCATGCTGAGAATAGTTATATTGGCCTTATTTTATATATTCACTATCTCAGCATGTTTGTTGTTGTAGTTGTTTTCAAATCCCTTTAACTGCGAGCATTTCGCTCTTGGCAGCGCAATGCCTCCCTCAAGTAACCACATATCCTTGTCATTTCGTCAATGCCAGAGTAGAGCAGGCTTTGTAAGTCTGTAGGAGTGTGTAGAAGCTTGCGTCGAAGAACTGCCAGGTTTGGGCAGTGAAGGAGAAGATGTTCGACAGTCTCCTCGTGGTAGTCACAGTGTCTGCAATGGGGTTCCCACATGGGGTTAATTCTGTTTATGTGTTTGTTGGTGTGTAAGTGTCCTGTGCGGGCTCTGAAGATCAATGTCTGATCGGCTCTACATAAAAGATTCGAAGGGTCTTTGGGGTTGGGTTTGTCCATGTACCCGAAGAGAGATCTTCCTGTTTCTGCGTTGGCCCATCTGTTTAGCCACTCGCCTCTGCTTTTGGCTTGGATGATCCCTGTGCAGGTCTGTAAAGAGGCGGCTGTGTCTGTCTGGGGCAGGCTTGCTCCAGTATTTGATAGATGGTCTGCAGTCTCATTCCCTGGTACTCCAAAATGGCCAGGCACCCACTGCAGTGTGACCCGGACGCCCCTCTCAGCATAGGTAGGAGGATAATTGGCATCCGAATGTCTGAGCTAAAATTCAGGGTATTCAAGATCATAATTACCATTTCTAGTATTTAGATTACAGATTCCACTTAAGTTTTGGCCAGTGGATTGATATATATATAGAGAAAGATCACACATGGCGTTCATTATTATCAATCAAAGGCCACAGAGGAATTCTGAGGATTTCTTATATGATAGGGTGAAAAAACAAAAAAACACACAGATCTATAGCACCAAACATGTACAAAGCAAACAGGAAGAAAACTAAATATTGACAGTTATATAAGTAGGCCTCTATTATCAGTATTACAACCTATTTTAATAATAACACAAACATATTAACATTGACCTGGATAGCAGGGAGGGGGGTGGCTTTTTCCCCAATTATTATTTTCTCCCCAGGTTTCTATGTAACCTTCGAAAAAATGTTTAACAGGACCAGAAAGAAGACTGTGAGTTCTCTCTTTTTATTTTATTACAAGACCTCTTCTTTCACTTTTCTGCATTGTCCTAACCTCTGGGGAGCTAAAAAAAAGAAAGATAAAATGTCTTCCAATATTTTTTATACAAATCCTTTTTTCTACTTTCAAAGAGATATTTCAAATTTGCAATTAAGTTTGTTGTTACCATTAGATTAACATATATGGGCAAAAGAAGGACAAAAAGACGTTTATGATTCAAACATTTCAGCTACTTTTGCATGACTTTATGAATGCACAGCAGGCTGAAACACTTACTTGCAAACTGCTTATTCATCATATCCCGCTATTCATTGCCCCTCACAGGTTTAAGCTTTTAACTTATTCTAAATCATGATCTCGTGCAAAAAGGTAATTAAGACATTATCATGAAGACCATGCTTAAATTGATTATAATACAGAACAATCTAACCCAATGGATCGGACTATCTTTTCTTGTGTAGGCCCCTACACTGAACGCGCGCCTTAGAAAACGTGCTGTGACACATCTAAGAGACACCACACACGATTAAACTAGAGTACAGGTCTTGTAGTCTCGAGGGCAGGGCTCAGAGAGTAAAACAACTCTTTAAAAAATCATAATATTAGCACGCCACATTTTTTCATGAGCAAAATAAAAAATATGAGAGTTAGACAAATTAGCAAAAATTTGACCGAACAATTTTAAAAAAATGACACTTCACAAACCTTCCAAGCTCCCTTCCAAGGTCATATTTGTCTTCAAATTTCTTGTCTTTGATGCTTTCAGCAATCCAGTATGCTTGAGAATTATGTGGCATTTTGATTCTGTCAAATAAGAAGAGGCAATTAATTAATTCATGTCACCAACAATAGATTTTAAGAAATCATTTCTCTTCTTTATATTGTACATACAGGAACGCATATTTTGATATCAAATAGTGATAGCATATGACTTATAAGCAAGAGAGCTAAATTAGTAAAAGATCTGTAGTGGTTAAAAGAACCTTAATTTTGATACTGATTTTACTTCCCAGCTTTCCAGTTTTTTACCAACTGCGGGTCACCTTTTACATGTTACAAGTGAAATACTTAAAAGTTGCCAGGTTTTTATTTCTTCAATTATAAGATGTGCCAATTACTAAAAACATACCAGCTTACTGTAAAGACTAGTGAACACAGCTTACACAATTCATTAACACTTGGCTGAGGAGGTTGCGTGATAACAGAATGTGGAAAGTACACATACAGATATCATTGACTATTGAAATCCAATTTGAGGACAGAAAAAAAAAGAGATGGATTTTGTACAAATACTCCCATAGAGGGTGCGTTGGCGGAGCCGTTAGTGCGCTCGTCTCCGAAGCGGAAAGTCCAGGTTCGAGCCTCGGTTCGGACACTGATTTTTTTCACCCCCTCCTGCCCACCAAGCAGTAATGGGTACCTGACTTCGAGTTGGAGAAGTAAGGCAGCATGGGAAGGAACTGGCCACCCTACCACAATATGCCGAAGGCCCAGGAAGTTGTCTAACTAACAAGGCAATCTCAAATGTCCGGATAGGAAGCGGGAACAACTTTACTTTTTACTCCCATATAATGCCTACATAGCTAACTTGATGAACAGAAAGACAAATTCTACTTCAACTTAAAGGGAAAAATTACACGTCCTTAAATAGGCCTAACTGACCATTTTTAATTACTATAATACTAACTAGATCTATTACTCAAAATCAGAATACAAATTTGGTCACACGTGTTGAGTTAACAACTTCATATCACAACAATAGATATTAAAAGCTAGCGACAGTGTGAAGCACAGGACAATAGATAGGAAGGTAAAGCACCTGTGGCTATGGGCAGCACACATGATTTGTGTCGATGTGAAATTGATATAATTCTGCAATACCGATAATTGTCTATAATTTATGGAAGTGCCTATTTGCAACGCCGTGTTGCGATTAGCGCCAGTGCTAAATAAAACGCCGTATGTTAGCCTAGGCTATATGAAGCTTAATCTACCTTTTGTTGTTGGAAGTTCTGATGGCCGAAGGGACAGGGCGTCTGCGTTTGAAGAAAAACCATTATTTTATGAGCGTGGGTTCGATCCCGGTCCAGGAAGTTGTCTTTTTTGGTCCTCTTCTCGACTGACCAACAAATTTTTCCCATAATCATAACTTGTTGCTTTGTAGTTTTTTTTTATGTAGTGATGAAGCATGCACATTCTGGTTTTGTCCCCAAGAGGAGTCCTGTACAAAGTATATAGGCCTTATAGCCTATATTACACTTTTCCTTTTGGAAGTGCCTATTTGCAACGGCGCGTTGCGATTAGAGCCAGCGCTAAATAAAACGCAGCGGTGCTATTAGCGCCAGTGCTAAATAAAACGCTGTGTCGCCGGGTGTAAAATTAAAAAGCTTAATCTACGGTTTGTTGTTGGAAGTTCTGATGGCCGAATGGACAGCGTGTCTGCGCTTGGAGCCAAACTTTTATTATATGAACGTGGGTTCGAATCCCGGTCCTGGAAGTTTTCTTTCTTTTTTTGTTTTTTTGTTTTTTTTGTTTTGTTTGTTGCTGTTGTCCTCTTCTCGACTGACCAGCAAATTTTCCGCGTAATTATATTAACTTGTTGCTTTGTAGTTTTTTATGTAGCCTAGGCCTAGTGATGAAGCATGCACATTCTGATTTTTGGTTTTGTCCCCAAGAGGACCTCTGTACGAGGAAGGCCTTATTTAGTATAGCCTATACTTTTCCTTTTACCAATTTAGGGATTTTAGGTCTGGTGGTCAATAGTGGCTTTCTTAGTCTGTGAGTCTAATTTTTTTTTTTGAATTAAAAAAAAAAACCTTCTTGAACCGGGATTCGATGCCACGCTTTGAAGTACTGAACATTAGACTGACAGAACGTAGACAGCTTGTAACATTCTCTGAAGCTAACTTAAAGATAATATTTTTAGGTGGATCTAGATCTATTGGACAACGACCCTGCGGAGAGAAATACTGCTTATACCGAGTGGCACCATCTTGTTATTGTTATCCAAGCGTCTTTCGACTTACTTGCTCAATATCAAACTCAAATGATTATGATTATGAGACTATTTCTAGTCTACTTTTGTGCAAACAAAGTCAGATGCAATTGTTAGATCTAATCTAGATCTACCCAATATTGATCGGAATAAGACAACGTCATAAAAAAGGTGTCAAATCCTAGGAGGTTTATCAAGAAACTGAGAAAGCTTCCACAATTCAGGCAGAGCTACAATATTATTATGTAGATCTAGAAATGATGGCTATAGATGTAGATCTAGAGCTAGTACTGGCGTTTCAAATAGCACAGAAGCTAATCAGAACGCGGCGTTGCAAATAGTACCTGACTTTCCTTTGATCAATTTAGGCCTGATTAACGTTTAATAGTGGCTTTCCTTGGTATGTGAGTCTAATTTTTTTTTTTATAATTTTAGGCTCAGGAGAAGAAAAAAAACCCTTCCGGGACCGGGATTCGATGCTGCGCTTGGAAGCACTGAACATTAGAGGCCTAGCGAACGTAGACAGCTTGTATAATAATATTTTTAGGTAGATCTAGTGTATGACAACACTGAAGACAGGAAATACTGCTTATACCGAGTTGCACCATCTTGTTATTGTTATCCAATCGTCTTTTGACTTAAACTTGCTCAAACTCAAATGATTATGATTATGAAAGATGAACAAGACTAGATGTCTACTTTTGCGCAAACAATGTCAGAAATAATTGTAAGATCTACCCAATATTGATCTGAATAAGACAGCATCATAAAAAAGGAGTCAAATCATAGGAGGTTTATCAAGAAACTAAGAAAGCTTCCACAATTCAGACAAAACTACAAGGGATCCGAACTACAATATTATCATGTAGAAACGATAGCTACTCGATCTAGATCTAGATCTAGATTCTAGTACTGGCGTTTCAAATAGCTCGGGAGCTATTCAGAACGCGTCGTTGCAAATAGCGCCAGCCATAATTTATATGAAATTTTATCAAGTTTAATTGTGGCCATGGACAATGGAAGTTGCATTATTATAGTTTGTTTTTATTGTCTAAAATCTCATTTTTACTACAATTTGCAAGAAGTTTGACACTGACATTTTGAAAATAGTATTTCACTGCAAGCAAAGAAAAACTGATCTCCACAGCACTCTGGTATTTAAATATTAGGACATATAAAATTATCGAACCCACTTTTCGTCAGTTCTCTGCAAGTTGTTACCATCGACGCCACATTTGTTGCTACAACAAATCTAAATTATACATTTGTTTTAGCGAAACAAAGATACATTAATAATAATATTGCCAAGAACTGATTTTTACCAACAACAGAGAAAAGAAAATTACTCCTTTACTTGTTAAAAATTATTATTGAAAATATTGAGTGCTGTAATATATGTCATAAATTTCATATTTTAAACTTGACCTCAAATTCCAGCTGAGCGGGTCACATTATACCTAGGTGACCTATTGACCTCTTTTACAGTAAATATGGCTGCTGATGGAAATTGTTGTCTTTAGTGTCAGTGGAAAATGTCGTCATTTCTCTTGAAGCAAGTCTCTGGTCTTAGGAATAACCCTGTTCTAGGTAAGAAAGATAGAAAGTAATTTAGGCGCACTAACTGTTTTGTTCTTCGTTTTCGGAACAGAGGCAGTGTTTTCTCCGGCTGACCTTACGAACGAAGGCATGTGGGAAAAAAGAGGGGGCCTTCACCTCGTAATCGTAGGCGGTGGTGATTATAAGTATGGTTAGAGTAATAGATCTGCACTCAAGAAGAGAGATAGATCAACATGGCATAATTACGAGTCAGCATGGGCTGCCACTACTAGTTAATTTGCTCTCTTGAATGTGTGAGGAGAAAATCAACAACCCCCATGCCCATACTGTTGATATGGCATGGGGCACTGGTGTCGTCTCAGTACAATTTTTCACCTGCTTGTTGTAATCTGAAAGAGGCCAAATCAAGGGGTTTCATGGTCAAAGTACTATTTTAGTTTAAAGGCATCTAATGTAAAGGAAATCTAGATTCTAGATCTTGTTCATAAGATGATTTTGGAGAATGGCCACTCCTGCTACTTCAAACCCCCACCCCCTTCTTTTAAAAGAGAACTAAAATTTGTATAGTAGTATAGTATAGTAGATCAACTGCTAAAATCTACTCTGCTTCCAATCTAGAACTGGATTTAGGTCAATGTCATTAGTCTTAGTTTTGCCTATCTCAGCACAACTTGGAACAACATCATTCTCTTGTTCCATGAGTGGGTTTTTTTCTGTAATGACTGATACTCTTTCGAGAAGCCAGATCAACCATTTTAATATTTTTATACCTTTTTACAAAGAGCGGAAAACGGAAGTCTTCTTGGCCAGTCATCCTAAATTAAATGTAATTTTTTTAATGCAGTCCTACATTCCAGAGCTTTTTGTCAGTGTCTTGATTTTTCCATTCTTTAAAACATTACATAATTTGACATTTGCTAAGCTGATGAATCAGATCAGTTTCGTGAACTGTGAACTTGCCTGTTATTATTATTATTCTCATATGTCTTCATTTTAGTTGATGAATTATAATTAATGTCAGATAATGATGGTATAGGCAACATTATAATGCTGATCACTTTTATTGCGCCCACTCTAGTTAGAATACAGCTCTAGGGGTTTTACAAGTGCAATTCATATATGTGAGACAGCGTGGTGAAATCAGGCGCTCATCAAAATAATAAAAATGAAAAAATTGGCATTTTTCCGCAGATTTTAGAATTTTTATCGAATTTTTGTTTTTTGGATCAACACCTTCTATCATGTCCATAACTCTTTTCCTACCAGGCCAAAATCCACCACTGGCCCAGGGCTTTGCCCTGACCTATTTTTACACCCCTACCCTACACCAAAAAATGTCAAAATATCCAACTAAACACACATACAAATCACATCATATGACCCATCAATCTGAAGGTTTAGAAATAATCTATCATATATGGTGATACAATATTGAAGATTTATTCCAATTATTTTATTAGTTTGGGGTTTCTAAAAGAAAATCGAAGGTGTCATAAATCAAAAATTTTACAGCTTTGAAAGATCATAAAAAAAGTACAACAACAACATCATTCAAATTCCCAGGTAGGTTGCCACAAGTAATTCAAAAAAATGCTGAAAGTTATGTATACATGTACTTCTAATATAGAGAAGTGAAGATTTGAGACATATACTGAAGTCAGGGAAGCGCTTATTTTCTTCTCATTTTTGCGATTCGAAGGGGACAAAAAAAAAAGCGCTGAAATGACTAAAAATTGCCTTTCAGTGCTATATTTTCTTTGGTATCTCTGCTAACAGGAAGTCTGTTCTATTATTTTGAAAACTTGGATCGGCCAAGAATTTCGTCTTTTCATTATTGGATTGGAATAGATAGTGAGCCACTCGAGCCGTATTTTGCGGCTCTCTGTCTAGCGAGGCCTCGTCTTTGAGCCTCAAAATGCGGCTCGCGGTAGGGAAAGTGTTAAAGAACATGTTTCTGTATAGATTTTAATGAAAAACATTGATTAAAGGCACAAAAAATGTAAATTTTTGTATCTAAAATAAATGAATATCATGTTCATCAAAAACAAGACAAATGAACAAGCTTTAAGATGATCCATAACTCCACATGCCCTAAAATTGATGAGCGCCTGATTCCACCTCATCGCAACATATATATATATTTTATATATATTGAAAAGGTTTTGTTCATATACACACTAAGAAACAAAACATACGCATACACGAACACACACTTTAAATACACATGCATGCTATGCTCACACACCCACGCACCACCTGCCGTTATATCACTCGACACTCGCGAGCGGCACCTTGCTCGAGGGGGCCTCTCGAACAGTACCATCATCACTCTGTGCTTTGCCTTTCGAGTTGAGTAATACTGTCAGAGCTCGGTACACAGCCTCTCGAGTAGTAATATAATGTATCATCAGTGCTCTGGTGAGAGCATTGTTCCAAACAGTGTCTCTGTTTTCTTCCGATAAAAGATGCGCTTTCATGACGGGTTGGTTTGTTGGGGATTTTTTATATGTACCCCTTCCTCCTCACCTTTCCTCCCCTGTCACTTTGTATAGATATATCTTTGTGCTGCATGTTTTTCTGTTGAGCACAGTAAGGGGTTTCGGGAAAAGCTGCTAGTTTTTTTTGTTTTTTCATTATTTATAGAAAAACCATTGATATCAAGGCGTACTGAGAGTTACTGTCCTTGGGTCCCTTTTGAAGATCCAAGGATCCCCCCTCCCCAATGTGGTTAATGATTACCTCCGTTGATGCTCATCGTGCCCTATGAGTAGTGCCCCTTGACGAGAGAGAGTGTTGAACCCTATTTAGTAGCGTTCGTTGGCTCGAGTACTCAAGTAATATATTAGTATCGAGCCTTTAATTGAACGCTCGAGTGCTTGAGCGGTAAAATATCCAGTAGCACACAGCACTTTCTCTCATCACACACTTACACATTTTACAGGTATGACATAGTGTAATATATTATATATATATTATATTATATGTACTCACAATTGACAAAAGAAAACAAAATATCTGCATTTGAGATGTGGTTCTACTACCGTGGAATGGCCAGAATAAGCTGGGAAGCAATTTTAGGACTTTGAGTTGTGTCAGATTCTCCACACAAGACAAGCCACACAATACAATAAAACGGGAAAAAAGGGTCAAGGGTGGACAACGAGCATTGTGGACCAATGACATCTAGGCATGGACTGGCTTTAGCATGAGTTCGCACCCCTCCCCCCCCTCCTCCGCAGGCCAGTGCTACTTACTGAAACTGTCTTTAGGCCATTCCCAAAGGGGGGATATTAACATGTTCTTATGCACAGTAGAATTGTAATTGGGCTGATTTATCGATGTCATGCTCATACTGTGCCGGAACAACATATAACTGCTGCTTTTTCTTTCCTCATCCTTTCTATCGTCATTTTCCCGCTACTTCTTTTGTATGTTTGTCACTCTCTTACGTCAACTGCTATTTCCGGGGTGCCTTGATAGTTGAAACAGATTTTGTGCTGTTGAGGCTAGAGAGGTGAGCAGAATAAGCCTGATTCCCTGTTTGGACTTCTGTTGACATCCCTCCACCCCTTGGCGCTCATATGACCTTTTATATAAATGCAGTTGCGAGCTCGTAAAACCTTACTAAAACTGTACCGACAGAGTGTATAACGGCAGCTATAGACTGTAAGCACTGGCGTGTCATTGCACACATAAACCTCTAAGCCAGGGATGACACCTTCAGGTATCTAAGTAATGCAATCTGTGGGTTAACAAAAATACCTAAAATAGATCATGACAAAGCAATTTACATATAAATATTGTACTGAAAATGAGGAAAGTTTCCCCTTCGAAACTGTATTCAACAACCATTTCAACCTTCTAACTGTAATTTTCTCTGATGTATTTCCTGTGTGCTTTTGTCTGTGGAATTACCTTTACCTCTCTTCCATTCATTCATTCATTAAAACAATACTAAGGAGCGATGATTTCAGTACCCATCAAATGAATATGTGTCATGACGCTGTGGAACCAGGCGCTAGTCAATTTTTCAGCATATGGAAATATTGATATCATCTTAAAGTCTGTACATTTGCTTTGCTTTCGATGAAAAAAGGATCCATTTATCTTGAATACAACTTGAGTTATTGGCGATTGAAGGGACGCCTGGTTTCAGAGGTAAAAATTTTGAGAAAATGGCCGCCAGAGTTTAGTTATTTCCTTAGGTTGAGAGCTCGTGGAAACTGAAAATTTACATCTTTTATGCCTTTAATCAACGTTTTTCAGTCAAATCCATACAGAAATGTGTTCTTTTATGGGCATGAAAGGTGTTGAGCCAAAAAACAAAAATTCGATTAAAATTCCCAAACCTGCCGGAAAATGCTAGCTTCTTAACTTTCATTATTTTGACGAGGGACTGATTTCACCACACTGCCTCACATATATATATATATGTTTTCACACGAATGAAAGGTGACAGGCATCTGTGGTGTTTTTCTTTTCCCAGTAGTATCATGCAGAAGACAAGAGATAAACTTCTGAGTGGGGAAGATTTCATCAGTCGGTCTGCAGGGATACAGTGTCTCACTCAACACAAGTAGACCCTGACAGGCAGGGTTAGAGTAGCCCACCTCCTAAACTGAATGGTGTGATTTTGTGTCCATGACTGTAAATTAGAAGAAAATCCTGCAAGAAAAATTAATATTTTCATAACAAGAAAATGTCCCATTCTTAATCATTGTTTTACAAATTCTTATTTTCCAGGAGGAAGATGGTCTTTCTTCTACTGCAAATATTGCTCTAGTGTCTTCATTGATAATGCAACAAAAAACCGGTAGGTATCTTTAGTTCAGTTACTGTATTAGTAAAAAAAATAAATAACCATTTGTGGTGTAGTGGTTAGATGCTTTGCTGTTGCATGCAGGAAGCCCGAGTTCGCTTCCCAAGATGGAATAAATTTTTTTTAACATCTCGGTCTTTCTGTTGGTTGGGATGTTGTGTCCCTCTCAGCTGAGATTGACCCGGACAGGCAGGGTCTGAAGCCTGCCTCCTAAATTATTTTAATTGTTTGGATTGGGCATAAAAACACCTACATAATATATACATTTAAAAATAAAAAACTACTGAAAAATGTCATTTTTTATGCTCTCTGCTTCGGGATTACTTGTTACTTGTTCACCGTTTTGTCTATGATACTTTTATTTTCTAGTAGCATCTTTTGGTTGCTTTAAGACTATTGTGAATTGGAAGACTTGTTCTTTTTTTCTTTTTTTTTGTTCCTCAGCTAGATCTGAGAGGTAACTTATCGTTTTAGTTTCTGAAATCAATCCACTGTACATTAGATCTGTGTTTCTGTCTTGCCTGGGGTTTCTCCCCCCCTCCCAGTCTCTTGCCAGGATCAAAGATCTCTTAATTTATCTATACTTACCAAAGTTTCTTCAGTAAATTTGGAATTATGAGTTAACAAATTAAATTCTTTGGTTTTCCTCCTTCCACATGTGTGCAAAGTTGGAATAGAACCAAGTACTTTTCATGAAAGATAACATATATGACACTGTAAGTCGTGCGATACTTTGATTTTTGTGTACAGAAGTGAGTGGTTTAGAGGCGTTGCTGTTTATTTGTTAATGTAATTTTTGTATTGTATCGCTCACTATTCAGTAATTTTGTAGGGAAATTTATTAAAACATCTCAACTTGGCTTAAATGTTGTTGAATCCATGTAAGTTTTCTATAGTGAGAAGTGAGAATTATCCATGATCTCAATTCACGTTTTATGTTATCAAACCAAGTGTGAGAATGTAATAAACGCTTTTGTTGTGTGCATCAAAAGAGTGTTGAATGTTTTGTTGTCTTAGTAACCTGCAACAGTAAATTTGTAGAAATTCTCTGATATTTCTACTTCCTCCTTTCACGACAGGTCTCCACAAAAGTACAGTGCCAGCGCATACCCTCAAGTCTTTCCTTCAGATCATCCAACACTTCAAAGTTCCATCTTCAAGTCCAAATATCTTATACATGGAGGGGATGTCAGGGCAGCGTCACTCGCACAGTACAGATTTCCTATTAGACACGTTTCTTCTGTATATGAATCCTCCTCACCGGTGCAAACTTCATACTCATTACACTTGAACAACCGTCTTGCTATACAGTCGTCCCTATTTCAACATCGAGGTTTCCATACCTCTGTAGCCTGGAGGAAGGAAGAATCTAAGCTGGAAAAAACTGTGAAGGCTCTAAAAGATAGTGCCAAAGAGGCTAAAGAGGAGAAACAACAGGTTGTGCCAGTAGAGGAAGAGACAGCTCTTACTCCAGCCAAGAAAACATTGACACAACGCTTTGTGGCCGCCTGCAAACATTACTACCATGGTTTCAGGCTTTTATTCATTGACTTCAGAATCTGCAGCAAACTGATATGGCAAGTTCTTAATGGGAAAAGTTTGACAAGAAGAGAACATAACCAGGTTGGTAATAAGTATGATCTTTAAAATGTTCAAATGGGGATTTTTTAACCCAAGTGCTGTTGAATGTATTAGCTTCATAATTTATTTAATCTTTAAAAATATGAACTGATTTTGAGTTTCGTTTGTGTTTGCCTGTGCCAATAGCAGTAAATGCTTAATCAGGGCTTTAATTTTTTTATCACTGTGCTTTGACAACACGTCTATGTTCTTTCATCTTTTGTCTTTTTAGCCATCTCAAGTTGCAAGATTTTTAGATTTAACATTGTCTTCCCCTTTTTCCATCCCACCCCCTCATCTGTCCTCAGTTGGTGCGGACTACAGCAGACTTGTTCCGACTTCTACCGATGCTGGTTTTTATCCTCGTTCCATTTGCTGAATTTCTGCTTCCAGTAGTCCTCACCCTATTCCCTAACATGTTGCCTAGTACTTTCAAAGAAGAAAAGGATGAGGTAAGTTTGGATTGTGTGTACACAAACATTTGTTCCAATATCAAGATTTACATTGTATTTTTTACTCTTTTCCTGCATTTGTCAGGTCTGTACTCCTGTTACTGGATAACTCTTGTGAGGACTCAGTGGCTGAGTGGTTTGTAAGCTCAGGCTCACAATAATGTCTGGCAGGTGTCGGTGATGTAGCGTCTAGCTGCGAGCTTGCCAGGGTGTGTCCTTGAGCAAAATACTACAGCCCTAGCTCAAAAACAAGGCGCTATACAGTACAGTAGCGACCAGCAATGGTGTACGAATTGTCTGTTTGTGATGTTGTGTATTATGTATATATATGTACACTTTTGTCAAACAAATTTGCCAAGGGGATCAATAAAGTGGAATTTATTTCATTTATCTTTATTTCATGCCCTTTCGGTTTACAGGTAAGGCAGCAAGCCTTGGCTTCTCGACATTTACATACAGATATAAGATGTGTCACCAGATAATGACCATGGGAATACGACCTGCCGCAACATCTTTTATGAGGCTGTTAAAGTCGCCAGGGAAAAGTTAAATGTCGGATTGAATGTGAAGGTCGTTTTTATCTCTCCTATTCAAAATTGTTCAAAATCATCTGGACATATTTTGAAATAAGGAGAAAAGTTATTTCTTTGGCCATAATCAAATCATTTGTAACACATAATGTATTGTATTTTCATTTCAGAAAGAGAAAATAAAAAAGACTCTAAAAGCCAAAATTGAGATGGCCAAATTTCTTCAGAAGACTATCAAGGAGTCTCCCGTTGAAGCAAAGAAAAAAGATGGTCAGACGGCAGAATCATTTGGACTTTTCCTTGATAAGGTTTGTATATATATGCGCTTTTACTGCTTTTGCCTTTGAGTAAAACCAGTGCCTCTACCATGGCTGCAAGAAAAGTTGGACATACAAAGATGTTTTTTATTTACTTGTTTTAAATATTTATATGAAACTGAGAAACTACTGTCTATTTACCCTTCTTGTCCTTGTATGGGTTTCAAGCCATATGGTTGTCACAGATACTGGCTTTTGTAGTGTCATGGTCAGGGCCTTCTCCATGAGGGCAAAGACATGAGTTTGATTCCCACGAGGGCAAGATTTTTTGTTGAGTGTCCCTGCCTTTTTGCTGTATCCTGATGGCCCGGACTAGCCCTGACAAATTTAGGATCAAGCCTCAACATGGTCTAAATTATAGCATTTACGATGGACAACTTTTGCAATATGCTGCAACTGAATAGATTGGTTCTGATGGTTTTGGAGGGTTATTTTTTTGTTTGACTATTACCTCAGTTGGTAGATAGACAGGAAGGTGAGCTGGACTGAAAGTACGTATGTAGTAAATTTGGAGAAAGATTATTGCTCCGTCACAAGAAAAATGGAGTAAAAGTAGCACCTTGCCATTGGAAAAGTTGTACTAACTCTTGGTTGGGCAGGAGACAATTTACAACCCACTACTCATTTAACTGTTTATTAATGGCACAACCAGACACTCCTATGGCTAAATTTTATTGCAAGCTGCAAATGCTGTAAAACTGTTACTAAAACTGAGCATTGTGACACAGCCCATAGTGCTGTGCGAAGGCGAGTGCTCTGTGGCAGTACATTGCACATTATTTTGAATGGTGTTCTTTTCTTGCATGAAAGAAGTAAATTAATATTTCACTTTTATCCAATCAAAACATTTGTGAAGACCATAGGTAAGTATCTTATGTTGATTTTCATTGGCTTAAGTGTTTTGAGAGGGTCGCTTGGATTACTATAAGCCTTGAAAGGGAAAAGGAAATTGAAATGTCACTGTAAGTTTTTACTTGTACACTATTACTGATCACTAGTTCTTGCTTAACAATACTGCTTTTCACAATGGTCGTAAAATGACCATTTGGCAGACTGGGAAAGGGTTTGGTATCAGTTATTGGAGAGCACATCAAAGCTGTAAACTATTTTTGATAAGGTTGTGGATTTAGGAGCTTCTGTTTGTGCTTAATCACTTTAAGGTTGAGTCTTTTGAAAATTGTATGAATGGATATCAATGACACAGCTGCATTTGTGTCACGACGCGGTGGAATCAGGTGCTCATTAATTTTTGGGCATATAGAGTTATTGGTATGATCTTAAAGCTTGTTTATTTGTCTTCCTTTCTGTGAAAAAAATATCTATTTACCTTGAATAGAAGTCGAGATATTTGCTATTGAAGGAGGTGGGGGTAGCCTGTTTTCTGAGGCATACAGATGGATGCTGTTTATATATTGACTGATTATCATCTTTCCCCAAGGGAAGCTTACATTCATGTGAATTCACAGTTTGTCATTTATTTAAGATATGACACTTCAGATGGATGCTGTTTATGCTTTTACTGATTTTTCATGCTTCCCAAGGGAAGCTTTCTTTCATGTGAATTCACTGTTTGTCATTAATTTAGTTTCTCCTCATTTAAATTGGAGCTTTTTATGTTTTTTCTAACTCATACACTGGGTTGTTTTGTTTTTTCAGATTAGGAAAGAAGGAATAAAACCGAACACTAAAGACATTATGAAATTTGCCAAGCTTTTCGAAGATGAAATTACCTTGGACAATTTATCCAGACAACAGTTACGAGCTTGCTGTATCATGCTGAACATCACACCCAGAGGAAGTGATGCCTTGTTGCGATTTCTGCTGGAAATGAAACTTCGAGGGTTGTTAGCTGATGATAAGGTAAAAATTACGTAATTATGATAAATCTCGCTGTTGACTATGAATAATGAATGGGGTTCACCACCGATGTCTGTAAGGTCCCAATATTTTCTTGTGCAATATTGATTTCTTAATGCTTATTCAAAGTATTTGCAAGCTGTTGTTATTGGATTTTTAAAAAATAGGTCACTCTTTTGTGGTTGAATGGCAAGGGAGTTCAGGCTGACATGCAAAGTCAAGCAATGTCATTTACACTGCCTTTAAATGGTTGGTCACTAGGGGGTATCCTCAAGTAGGACATAAATGTGAAACAGGATGGCTTGCTGTTGCGAAATTCTTTGTAGATCATGATAGGTAATGTAACTGTTGAGATATAATATAATACTTCATTTTATGTGTTGCAATTTGTGTATATGTTCTGAGTGACAGTTGTAAACCAAATTACAGATGGGGATAAATAAAGCTTTCTACCATTCCTTCATGTATTTCATCTTTTATAAAATTATCTAAACATTTATGACTCGCAGATGATTCAGAAAGAAGGTCTAGACAGTCTGACGATCAGTGAGCTGCAGTCAGCCAACAGAGCGCGAGGCATGCGGGCCCTGGGTGTGTCTGAGAACCGGCTGAGGGACCAGCTGAAGCAGTGGCTGCAGCTCCACCTGGAGGAGCAGATCCCGCCCTCACTGCTGCTGCTGTCCCGCGCCCTCTACCTGCCCGAGACTTTGTCCACAGAGGAGAAACTCGGCGCCACCATCACTCAGCTGGCTGATACTGCTGTAAGTTTTTGGATGATTTTATAAACGAACTCACCGTCCTTTGTTTCTAATTGGAGTCATGGTGTTGCTCATGTAGTAGAAAGATGGGAAGGGGAAGAATTTTTTTAACACTATTTTGTGTGCTCAGTATGGATTTTCAAATGATATGAAACATTTTTGAGAAAGTAAAGATGCTAATTTGCCTTTAATTTCAAATTCGGTTTATTTTTAATTGCTTTTGTCTTGATTTTCCTCCAGCATTTGCAACATGTCCGGTGGGGGGGTAAAATGTTTGTAAAAAAACAGCCCTCTCTTATGCCGTACACTATCTTTCTTGTCACAATCAAGCCTATAGCTTCCTGGGGTGGTTGTACATGTAAACTGAAATCTCATATTGCACCAAAACATATTATGTTCATTCTTGTGTCCTGTCATTGTTCAACAAATAAAATAAAAGTAGTAAAGATGGATATCGTTCAATCAGGGGATTGGGTATTAAGCCTGTCTGATAGACAAAGTCTATTGCTGACCTTCGTTTCAAAAGTGTTACGAAACGTAGTCTGTTTTCCCTGGTTTAAACTTTTGATGTTCTTTTTTAACATGTCTTATATGCTGCTGATTCCTTTCTGTAACTGCTGCTTGTTAATTTCTTATCCCCCAGTTTTTGTCTTTCTTTTTTCCCTAGAAGTTAATGATAATCATGTAAATGCTCTTCTCTGTAACAGAGAGACTATTTTGTATCGCCATTTTCCCTTCGCTCTCTTGTTCTCAATGTCTTTAACCTGTGTTTTTTTGGGGGGAGGGGTTTTATTGTTTTTTGTTGGGGGTTTTTTTCGGTAAAGTCAGCCTTTTCAAATTCCATTTTTTTTTTTAGGCGGATGAAGCCAAGGTGAAGGTGGCAGAGATGGTGGGTGAGACAGTTGACAACAAGACCAAGTTGGACGTCATCAAACACGAGGAGGCCATCATTGCTGCTGAGAAGGAACAGATGGCCAAGGAGGAGAAGGTAAACTTTTATTACAGGATCTGACACTAGAGCATAGGTGGAATTTTACTGCTAGCGCTTTTCCGGAAACTTTAAGAATTCAGGAATTATGGAATTATCTGGACTCATCTATTTCTTGTGAGAAACTTCTCTCCCTGTTTTTGTATGTGATGTCTTTTCTTTGTTTTTGTTTTTTTTCTTTCCTCTAAGGGTTGTGTCGAATACGAACATTCTTCATCAAGATATGGCTCCCCTGCCTGAAACTGGCCTCTAGAAAAGTGTTAATGCTCGTTTTTTCCTTTAAAAATTCTGTTGTACTTATCTCTCCTTTTCTTTGTCACTCTCTATTAGCGACATCTTTAATCTTTTGCTCTCATATGACCTATTATCATTGTAAGTGTTGTAATACTCTTTCTTAAACTAAAACTTTTACAGGTTTTAGAGCTTGATCCTGTGATTTCTGTAATGTAATTCTGACTGTGTGTGTTGTAATTTAGATTTTCAATGTTATGATCGTTTGAATCAATATCAACCCCAACCTCAGTTCAATCTTACATTACGAAGACCACATAACAATTTATCTGTACCACCCGGGGCAGTGCCACTGACTGTAGTGTCTTTAGGCCATTCCCAAAGGGAGGACATTTCTCGTTCAAGCATAGGTGAATTGTAAATGGGCTGACTCATGTCTCGCTCATAACTGTGCCTGATCTACAACAGGGAACTGCTGCTTTTTCTTTCCTGATCCTTACTATTGTCATTTTCCTCTACTTCTTTTGTATGTTTGTTACTCTCTTGTGACCTGCTATTTCCGGGGTGCCTTGATAGTCGAAGCAGACCTTGTGCTGTTGAAGCTAGAGAGGTGAGCAGTCTAAGTCTGATTCCCTGTAAAGACTTCTCTGTTGACACCCACCCCTTGGCGCTCATATGACCTTATGCAGTTGCGAGCGCCGTAAAACCCTCTACTATTTTTTTAAAAATTTATCTGTGAAGTTTACTTTTTCCCTTAAAGCACTGATGATGAATAATCTCTTGTGGCTGTTTTCTTAAGAAGATGTTGGCATTTTTTAAAAATAATCATGAGAAGAACTATTTATAACCTTGAGGAATGGTTTATTTGGAGTACAAATTTATGAGCAATCTTTCTGTCTGCCACCAGTTGATTGAGGAACAGGCAGAACGGGAGAGAGCGGAGGCTGAGGCGAAAGCTGCAGAGACTGCTATGGAGACTCAGGGTGAAGATATTGCCAAAACGCTGGAAACTTCTCCAGATGAAGGTAAGTTTCATACTGTTGTTCATCTGCTTCGTTCTTTTATTGACACATGCTGGGTACAGTTTTTCACATTTTCAAAACATTTCTCAGGATTGTTTGCTTCTACATGTTTAAATCACGAAAACTTACAGGAAAGGGAAAAATGATGAAATGCATTATTTATTGTTTGAATAGCAAAAGAAGCTTGTCATCTTATCCTGTCTGATGATCAGAGAAATCTGTGTGGACCTTTGATCGATTTATGACTTATTTTCAGTTTGAAATGATATCAGTGGTCTTCGTTCTGCTGATCAGTTGAGTGTTAACAAATATTCAGTAGTGCTGTGACAAGGAGAGGAACCCTGGCAAAGTGTTTTTAAACTATTGTTTTTGTTGTGTCATGAGAAAAGATCCTCGGAGAAAAACAATTTTTGCTTGTATTTTGTTTCATATTCCTGAATCTTTTCTAGAAACTCATATGCTTTTCTCACACGCAGTTCTTGTTGACCATGCTGAAGTGGCACAACCAAGTTCCAGGGAGACTCTCATGGATCCTGCTGCCTCTGAGTTCACGGCGAAAGATTTGGATGAAATGGAGTCTGTTCTGGAGGAGGTTGCCAAAGCTAAGAAAATTGATATTGAAGTCGACGCCCTGAAAGGTCTCAAGGAAGAAATCACTGATTATAAAGAGGTAGGTCTGTGTTTATTGATAAAATTAGTGCATTTTAATTTGAATTATGGTTGACTATTCTTTAGATTGTATCCCAAAAATTTAAAACAATCACCAGTTTTGCTATAAAAGCCGTCATGGCAGTTTCACATTTTCTTTTCATGGACAAGTCATGTTTACATCTGAATGTCATTTTGTCAGAGTTCATTAAAGCAAAGATCAGTGCTACGAATTCTTGACATATGCTGATTAAGTGAGGAGGTAACAGCTTTGACGTTTGAATGGCACTTAAATGTTGAAAAATTTTGTCTTATATGGTTCAAGAGCCTTTGCCAAGTAGATTGTAGACTGTAAATGAAGAGAATTATGTTTGTAAATCTTGGACTGTTCATGAGTCTTTTGTGAATCTTTCCAATACCAGGATTTGGAGGACCTGAAAGAAGTTGCTGTGGTCAGTGGTTCTGACCATAAACAGTATGGGGAATCAAAGGCTGCGAAACGCCTGGCCAAGAAGGTTTCTCAGATGATCTCGCGGCTGGACTCTAAGGTGGTGGACCTGCAGGAGGAGAAGAGCAGCATCCAGGAGAAAATGTCTATGGAGGAGAAAAGTCTGGAGGAGGAGCTGGGGGATACTCAGCAAGCGCAAGAACAGATTGATAAATACAAGTTAGTAGTTTGTGTAGGGTGCAGTTGGAATTTATGTCCCTTTTTTTTCTGTGTATTTGTGTGTGTTTGTATATTTTGTGTGTCATAGAAGGAGAAAGAGAAGAAATTACACTCTCCTGCTGTTAATTTCTGTAGCTGAGGACATTTTTTATATATATACTCTCAAAAGCACCACCTAGTTATGCGTTTCTCTTTCTAGTTTCTATTTTTGGTGACAAAACCTTATGTTAGAGCAAATGGCTATGAGTTGAGTTTCCACCAATAATAATAATAATCGATAGCATTTGTATAGCGCAAATCCTCGCTCAACAGCAAGCTCTATGGGCTTCACAATCTATACTATTACCCCAGCAGACCTGAGTGCATTCTGAAATAACCTCAACTTCCTGGGAAGCATACTGTGCAAGCAGCCATTTATAGGCGCTAAAACACTAACATACTAACAAGGTCTTTTGCTGTCTAAGGCCGGGTACCCATTCCCACCAGGGTGAAGTGAGGAAAATTCGTGTATAGTCTGGACACAACGTCGGGCCCGCGGCTCGAACCCCCGAACCCGTAACCTCACGATTACGAGTCCGGTAGCCTAACCACTAGGCCACCGACGCCACAATACTCTAACCCCCCCCACCCCCCACTTTACATACATGTCTCGTATCTTGATTTTTGCGTGCCATTATATTGTTTTGATGTGCCCCCTGTCTCTGTCTCTGTTCTTTCTGTAGCATGGGCGTACATGTATTGAGTGATCATATTTCCTAGTTAAAGTTGTCTTTTGAGAATGCTGATGTTTTGTAAGTGAAATTTTTCTCTCCATCATTTCCCCCAGGACCAATATCATTTCTATCAATGAGATGGTGGATGCTCTGAAGCGCTTAAAGAAAATTCCTGATGACTCAAAATTGCTTCGAATGTTCGAAGTCCTTGATCAAGATAAAGATGGGAATATTGATATCAATCATGCCCTTCAGGTAAGTTTGATTTTTCTTTGTGGTCCAGTTGTGATATGAGTGAGGCCATTGTTTTTTACAATTTTCAAAGGAGTGAAGTGTATATTCTTTGTGGGGCGTAAAATTCTATCTTACATGTATTCTTATTCTTTGAGGTTTTATTATTTTTTTGGCTGATGTTTTTGTGATGGGAAACTGGTATCTGTTATAACTCAGAGGTTTAAATTGTAATGGTTGATTGGTCCAAATGTTCCTAATTTTGTTTTGACGTAGAGAGTCCTGCTTATGTTGCAACAAAGAACTGTGCATGCTTGTTTTGTTAAGTATGGTCTAAGACTCATCATACTTTGACCCTGTGGTCAATTTTCAGGTTTTGGAAGTGCTGAGCCAGGAGCACCTCAAACTGAATGAGCGACAGGTGGAGGAGATCACCAACCTGCTGAAACATGAGGCCTTGCTGGAGGATGAAGAGAGAAGGGAAGAGAAAGAAAAGAAGGAAGAGGAAAACCGCTTGAAAGAGCAAAAGGAACAGCAGCAAAACTAATGGCTCTAACTGACCACATCCAGGTTATTGCTGGAGTTTTGGGAGGGGCAGTGCTGATTTAATTTCGAAGTTTCTTCCGTTTTTAATAGAATTTTGTTCCCATTTCTCAGAGACCTCAATGTGATTCTTGTGGAGAAAAATTTCATGTTGCGTCTCATGCTGAGTTGGAGGAAGTTTCTTTCTGCACGCATTTTACAACATTTTATTGTATAGAAGAAAGTTCCTTTTTTTCCCCTTGTGTTGTATGAAAAAAATAAGTATGTTTAGAACAAATTGTTAAAATCCATTCTTGCTGTTCTGTTGTGGTGACATGTGATGTTGCTCTTCCTGCTTTTTATTTGTAACAGTATTTACTTCTTGAGTCTGAGTTTGAAGTATTTCCTTAATGAAAGGACAAAAACTACTCGAAATTTTCCCCTGATTTATATATAATATCTGTTTCCATACATTGTTTTTCCTGCATGTAAACATCATTAATGTTTGTGATGATGAAGTCCATAGTATCTCGCCACACGTATGGCTTTTATTTTTTTTTTTGTACTGATGTATTTGCTTTCACTATAGGCAAATGTGGCTACGGGTTTTTAAAAAATATGGTATGTTTATTCAGAATCACATTTTCCTGCTCCCCAAATACTTTTTACCTTCCTTGAATTCCTGGGGTCCTTCTCTTCTACTGACCTTGCTTTTTGATCCTGAGATGCTGCAATTGGTAGAAACTTGACACTGTTCGACCGTTAGTCTTAAGCTTTCTGACTGAGTTCCTGTGCACAGTAAATATGGCTGTGGTTTTTTACTCGTGTCCCCTGTTTGATTTAGTGCTATGTACTAATGAGAGTCTACACAAGGATTTTTGGATAGATTTGATTTTTCCTTTTATTGTGTTTCCTTCTTGAATCTGTCTTTCATCCTTCACTGTTTCAACCTCTGTGTTTTATGCCTTAACTGCACTATTATCTGTCTGCTGAGCATAAATATGTGTGGCAGTTTGCTGTTTTTAATTTTCCATTAGAATACCAAGGTGTTTAGTTTTCCTTGGGCTACTAATAATTGTATTCTCTTTGAGCAGACATCTGATACTAAAAGATCTGTGGTCATTTGCCGTGTGCAATTATTATCTCATAGCAAACCCACTTTGAAGTTTCATGACATGTAATGTTGTCTTTAAACAGGTCTGAATCACTTTCTCTTCAGATTTAGTTTGGTTGACCTGTTTCACTCTTGAGGTCATCATAGAGTAGAGACTAGAGTCTAGATGTTTACCCTTCAGTGCCATCCATGATCTTGTTTGTATTCGTCTTTAAGTACATAATTGCCTGATAGTTTTCAAGAGAGAGTTGTTATGTGTTGCTATTTTCTTGGCATTAGACTCTAAGATATTCTCTTCCTCTGAACTATTTCCAACTTTTTGGAAAAGGAGTGGAAATTGAAATCTCGCCCTGAAATTTATTATCGAACTCTTTTTGAATAGGCTCGTATTTCTCAGGTAAAGAAAGCATTTGTTTTGTGTGAACAATGGGCTTGTTTTGATTTAATTTTGTTGATGAGTTCAGGTAGCTTTGATTTTGATCTTTGGCCTATGTTCTGGTGAGAATTGAGCCCTGGGGGATGAAATGGTGCATTGAGCAACGCTGTGCAGTCCGACATGTATACATTTGGAGAAAAGTTCCAGACACATCCCGGTAACCACACCTTACATGGAAAGATGTAACATTGTGATTTGTTTTTATTATTTGATGACTGATTTATACACGTGCTTCTGTATCTGCAAGTCATTCTGGTTGGACGCTTATATATTATTTTTCACAGTGAACTGCGTGAATGTATCATTGGATCTGATGAAACTGATGTAAGTGTGTGGAAAGAGATTGAGACTGCTGTTTTGTTTTTGTGCAAGGTGATTTTTATCATGTCAATTCAGTCACAGTCATTGCAAAGTAGAAGAGTTCATTTGGACTGCTCAGTGTAAGACCGCGTCAAACATCACTATTTAAGGTGGCTTTTAGCAGAGACTAACACTAATCAGTCGATTTAATTGTGTCCCCGTTGGCGAGGTATTGTTATTTGTGGCTTCATCAATAAGAAAAGTTTCTGAAGGTGTTGCTTCAGCTCATTTGTTCAGGACTTTACTGTCAGTTGTTTTTTTTAAAGGAAGCTTGTGTTTAGATTGTGGCTGTACTTGTGTCTTTTTCCATCCTGCTTTTTTAAATGAGGGATTGTATACAATGTACATCTGTTAGAATAAATGGAGTCTGCAGCATTTCCCATCCATAAGACAAACGTCTCAAAGATTTTCTCTAATGTGACAAGTCTGGTATTTGACATAATGCTTTCTAATTGTTACTAGTGTCATTTTTTTTTTTACTGTTACTGCTGTTTCAAGCACTTCACTGAATGATATAATCAGAAATTCCTTGATATTCGAGACAGTTGCTGCAGTGCAGTGTTGTTGCCGTTCTCTGTATTATGCCATTTGATCCTGGGTGTAAAAATGAAACAGAAAAAAGCTGTTTAAGTTTGGCATTGAACTGATGTTCTCAGTTGCATTTTTGTTATCCACAAAGTTTGGTAGTTGTTAGAAGTACTTCCACTTTTCAGCTTAAGGAGAAAACAGAAAGATTTTATTTAGGGACTTAACATTCTTAGCTGTAAATTGAAATAGCGACGGAGACAAAATACTGCTGAGGTCAGGTAGATAAAATAGACTTCAGGAGAATGCTCAGACTTCTCTGAGATGTGAGAGAGATCACAACGAAGATGCTTCTTCCTTAGTTCTCTTGCTGCCTCGTCACCTGGCCAGTTTTTACTCATCACTACACTGTCTAAGGCAGTTGATAGCATTTTCGATAGTAATGAGGATTCCATAACGTACTATGAGTATGAGTTTTCCTGCTTGTATAGTACGATTATGTTGGTTTTTTGTCGTATGTCATAGAGCAAGAAGATTGCTGCTTAAAAGAGGTTTGACCTTTGAATGATCTTGATGTCTTTTGTGTTTCGATTAAGTCATTCCTTGCACGAATCTTCTTTTTATGACACCTCTGGGAGCAAGGCGTTTTCAGGGGGGACTTGCATGATGATAAGTTGGAAAAAAGCTGAGTTTTCTATCATGGGAGACATGGATGGGATTATCACTTTTACTTTCACTTTGAATAAAGTATGAAGAGGTTTTTGCTGCTTGATGTCAGGCTTAAAAATTAAGATGCGATTGTGATGTAATCAAAATGTTTCAACCCTTCACACCAGTATTGGTATAAGACCACAGTAAGCTGTGCGCAAATGGGTGTTTTTCTGCTGTACTTTAAATTTGAGACAGTACTTTTATTAGTGTGATCTAAATTGTAAAAACAGTTTTTTTATCTGTACATAGCAGTTCCCACTTTTTTAAAGATTTAAATAGTCGTGAACGAGTATGTACTGAATTGCATTCTGAAAATCCTTTTTGATATTGAAAATCAAGGAAATGAAGTTCTTAACCTGTGGACTTGCTTTGTGGGAAATGATGAATTTTCCTGTTGTACATGTATATATTTATGTTGAGAAATACTGTCTTGGGTATGTTTGTAGCTTTGAATTTTGTTTTTCTTTTCCGTTTTGCTGCCTATTCTCCTTTTTTTTTCTTCCTGATTTTAAGACTGTATTGCTCCTCCTTATGAAAAAATCCACATGAGGTAGCCCTATATACTTCAAATATTGTTCCCTTTCTTGACTGAAATTTCCAAAAGTCCAAGAAAATTAAACACACATTGAATGTGTAAACTGGGCATTTTAGCATTGTTAACATTATATAGATATCTTTGATAATATTCAGCACAATTTTGTTATGATAAAGGGCTTGATTGAAGGAGGAACAGGGTTTTTTTCTTCTCACATGTTGATTTTAGCATTTAAAATTTGCCAATCTTTGCCTCATCAAACACCAGGTGCGAACATTGTTCTTGCAACAGTGGTACTACCCTTGTCATGCAGCTTGACCTGTAGTGGTAGGGTGTAACATCTTCTGGCAGTGCAAGTTAACTCAGTTTATGCATACACACTGATAACTTTTGTTGTTTATTCCCAGCTGTGGGTTCCGTGATTTTAGTTTTTGCTTGTGTTGCATGATGTCAGTTCAAGTTGCCATAGACTAAATTTATACACGTGTGTTCTCATTTTTTAAATTCCGAGATATAAAAGCTTGTACCTATAACTAAGACAGTGACTTATCAGACAGACTGCTCCACTGTTTTGTAGGATGCTATGATCTAGCAGGTAACAATAATTAACAGACCATAATAATATGTAATTTACATAGTGCAGTTTCAGTACATGTATATGTTTGCATACCCATTTATCAGTGGCCATATGGAATGTATACAAATAAATATACATTCTCTCATGAACTCTCAGCTCTTTTACTCACATGTTGCCCACCTTCACACGCAGATATAGACATACAAGTGTTTCTAGAGGTACTAATGAAGGTATGTAATCCTGACTGTAACATCGCACAAAGCAACAAAGTTTTCCAGAGAGTCGGGATCATATCACATTTTCCTGTGGAATTGCACATAATCAACAGAATAGGATGTCTTATAGTCCACAGTGGCTGACAACAGACCCCACACTACTGTGTGTGTACCCGAAGGCCGGTGTCCATGCCATATGCTGTGATTGGCATAAATTTTGGAGTCCACGTGTCCGTTGTCAAGTATCATTGATTTATGTGTCAGCATGCCACACCTCACTTATTACACAGGACTTTTAGAAATTAAAAAAATAATAATAAAACAGTGAGCCTACAAAATATTGAACCTTCTCATTTTGTTTCTTTGAGACTTTCTGTATTTCGGTTGAAGTAGTTGAGTGACCTGAGATGTGTTTTAAATTGGACTTGAGCACCTGTATTTCCTTTTCATTCGTGTATATCTACCCTCTTTCTCTTTCCCCATCTTTAATCACATTATCTTTCTAAATATACCATAGCTGTTATAGCCTTTTCCATAGGACGTTAACTAAATGATTCTCTTGTGGGAAAGTGTCTTGCAAGAGTATCTGGTAGACTGGTGTCTGTGGTGTAGAGGTTAAGTTCTTCACTGTTGCACACAGAAGAGATGAGTTTGATTCTCAAATAGGAAAGTTTTTATCGAGTATCTCCATCGTGCTGGGATGTTGTATCCCATTCCAACTCAACCCGGATTCGCCCTGACAAATAAGGTTGAATCAGCTCACCTCCCTAATGATCTAAAGCGTATGAATTGGAGAGCGTAAAACACATACAACCAGTACTGGCAACACCTCGAATCTTCAGCATAAACCTACCTATTTCCGTTGCTTGTCCTGTAAAAGTTTTTAAAACAAAAAAATTAGTATGGTGTCCAGCTTTGCTCTACAGAGTTTCCAGTCACTTATCTCTTCAGTTCTCAAACTGGTTTAGTTCTGTTGTGTTGCAACAAGAGGGGGAACCCAATAGTCCTTAGTAAATATAGTCCTCAGTGATATAAGGTCACATCTTTGCATGTTGCTAAATCAATGGACTGCAAAGATTCATGTACTGTTCCTGTGGCTGATTCTTGCCCAGCATCAGTATTGTAGCAATTAGGCTCTTCACCATTGCAAGCTGAAGATGCCAGTTTGATTTCTGAGTGAAAAAGTTTTCTTATCAAGTGTCTCTATCTGCTGGGATTTTATATATCTCTTTCAACCCTGTTTGCCCTGACAACCAGGCAGGGTCGAAACAGCCCACCTCAGAACAATCTAAATTGTGGGAGCATAAAACCTTCAAGATTATAAGTACAATTTCCTGCCCAAGCACTGTACCGACCACCATAATATTATATAAAAGTACAATAATACAACTACCACATCACCTAGTTGGTTCAAAGAGCACTTTTTAATTTCTTCTCATAGAGAAAACAAAACTTCTTTGCCATTCATAAAACTAAAGACGCAGGTGCACATTCATAACATTTCAGTGTGTGCGCTGTAAAGTCACAAAGCCAGACACACAGATAGATCACATCTCAACATATGCATACATAAAAACAATCCTCAGATGCATTCATGAATGGCAAACACCCATTCTAAGCATACAAACAAAAAATTTCAGGCAATGTGCAGTGAAAGAACAAATGAAAACTGAATCCTGAGAAAACAACATTTTGAGACAAAAACACTAAATGCACTTCTAAGTATAGCTAGAAAAAAATTGTGAAAATTTATCACTGAAAGACATTTTTCATTTTGACTCCTATGTTTACATATCATGAAAACAGACAGTAACTAAGTAACTACAGTCCAATTTTATTATTAATTTATTTACTACCACTTACAGTACAAATGAAATGAGTGAAAGTGAATCAAGGGTTCTTCTTTCTTCTCTTCTCCCCCCCCCCCCCCCCCAAAAAAAATGTTGGCCGTCTAAGAGTTTCATAGGTATGATGTATTTCATCTCCTCTCAGACTTAACAGCTAAAACAAACCAAACATCATTATCAATAGTGACTAAATTGTCAAGAAGCTTGGTTTAGTTTGGGTCTTATACAGCAAAGAGGAAGTAAATTTCCACACAAAGGCAAACATTTCTCTACTTCCATTTCATTCATACAGTAAGTCTGAAAAATCTTTAAAGCAATGAAATCTTTCAGTCTTTTACATTTACACCCTTCTGAACACAACAAAAGGAATTCTGGAGACAACATGCCTCAAGTACAGTGACAAGCCTTAAAAACTTTCCAAAGGAACTTTTCTAAGACTCAAACCTGAGAAACAAGTAATGTAGACAAACATGACAAACAGAGCAACTGATACAACCTCAGTATCTCACAAAGAAAGAAAAAAACCCACCAGGAATTTCACACCTTTCAAGCTTAGGTTTAGTCAGAGGAAAAGACTGCAAAAAAAGTTGCACCAGTTCATAAGCACTCACCTTAAAAGACTTTTACAAGAACTCACCCAAATAGGAAAACAACATTTTTTTTCACAATTTTGAGATATTCAAGTAAGAAATCTTTGTCAGTCGTTTAAAACTTACACAACACATTTACATCATATTCTTTTGGCAAAGAGACACACCATTCCCTTATCATTTTGCCTGAGAACAGATTTATTTTCAAAAAAGGACAGAGGAGAGGGGATAAAATAGGGAAAAAAACACTGATGCGACCATAGTTGACCCCATCACAGATCATTAATTAGCATTCTCTAAATGAAAAGAATTAATTTCATGATGTCGTTACATATATACACATGTTAGAATAAAGCCTCACAGTCGGGGAAAACGCCCCCATCAAGTTATTTTTAAAACCCAAACAACAGAAGTATAAAGTTATTTATCCACACGAAAAGTGCAAACAAATAAAGCAATTGCAGGGCAAATCCTGTATGCAATGGTAGATCACACCAAACAAAATAACATAGCACTTGATTATGTTTTTCCGGACCATGATAAAAAGTACAGTATACGGCAATTAACCTTAAGCATTACCAACTTACTTCAGTAGTATCAGTTCCCATCACAAAACATTCAGAATTTAGTACCAAAATGTATGCTGACCAGATGCCATATTGAGGTGTTTTTTAAATCCACTGACCAGATAAAAATATTGTCCTGGCTGTGAAGAACAAATAAATGCTTGCTACAATGCTGTCATGTGACAGGCTGAACACACTCCACTTTGGCGCTACCACATACTACTTCGTCACTCACGAAAACAGACCACTCACACTCACTTAAACCATGTAACTTTTGTCATGCATAATTTTAGTTTCGCTCTCAGTATTGACAGCCGTGATAAAAGCCAACCCGGACAACGAACACGCTGTTCCTTTAGTGGTCACGATGAGGAGCTGTCAGAGTCCTCATATTCTCCATACACTGGCAGTCTCTCGTGGACAAAACTGTTCTTTCCGCTGGAAAAGTCCGACGCGGCTTGACCGGACCCAGAAAGAACCCACTTGTGAGTGAGAAGACCTTCTAGTCCCACAGGGCCACGAGCATGGATGCGGGCGGTGCTCACACCAACTTCAGCTCCTGAAGAGTAAAAATGACACATCATAAATGAACCACTCAGACTGCATGAGCTAAGAACTGAAATAACCCGAGGCAGGTTATTTTATGCACCATATTAATAAGACTTTTCTTTTTAACAAAATGAAGGTAGGGCACATCTCAGATAGATTCAACAGTTTTTCTCGTCTCTTGGCTACGTATACGTAACACTATATCACAGATATTTGGGTGTCAGTCTGCTTTTCTGAGCTCGTACTTATAAATAAAATTTTATATGGAAAACCTTGCCGAAAGATAATTACACTCTGATCACCCTGGGGCTGGCCATACGACACAGCGTTTGAGCCCAACTCTTCTTTTTTCTCTCATAGCTTGCAGGAGGCACTGGCCACTTTCTGTGCCTTTCTCTAACTTTGGAGAGTACTTTCCACAGCAAAACTTTTGAACGAGATGAGTCTTCCACCACACTGTTTCCTTACTAAGACTGACATTGTTTGCATTATGTCCAAGAAATAGTGGCCTAAAAATAGTTTATCTGGCACCAAGAGGGCATTTTATGTAAGATAACCCTTCCAGCCTGACAGTTTGCTCATACTAGGATAAGTATTTAAAAAACCACTTTCATCTTACGTACCTAATCCAAACCGATAGCCATCAGCAAATCGGGTGCTAGCATTCCTGAAGACACAAGCACTGTCAACCATCTTGAGGAACTGAGCTCCATTTTCATCTGAAACATCGGACAAAGCAAAACTTGTTAAATGCACCACAAAAAACTGATGAGTACATATCTGCATGTCTTGAGTCACATCTCAACAATATTTTTAGAAATCCCCACCTTCATCTGGTTAGTGGATGGAAACAGAAACAAAGGCAATGATGAAATAGCTCTTTCAGAATCAGAGGCTGCACTAATTGCTGCATATAAAAAAAGATAATGGACATAAAATTGCACAGGCAATTCTCTAAAATGAATCTGTGCACAAGCAGAACTAAGTATATTCTTTAACCATCTTGTCCTGGGGTGTGGCGATAGCTCAGTAGCTATTGTATGAGACTAAAGCATGAATGAATCTGATTCAAATCCCCAGCAAGGCATTTCTAATCTTTGAATTGTGTGGGAGGTATTCTTTATCCACATGGCTCAGTCCTATGAGAGAACAACAATAATTTTAAACGGCATGCCTTTTAAATGCCCTGGACATACTTTGTTTTGTTTTAGTAAGAGTTTTACGGCACTCGCAACTGAATAATGTCATATGAGCGCGCGGACATACTCTATACCAGTGGTTCTAAACCTGGATTCATCAAACCCCAGGGTTCCACGAGTCAGTCTCGGGGGTATGGTTGAGGTCAAGACACACACACTTCCCATGTGTGTGTCCATTCTGTTCTCTGAAAGTTTGGTGAATGAATGTACAGAACTTGCAGGGCTTAGTAACTCCAAAAAGGTTAAGAACGCCTGCTCTGAAAAATAAAGCTCATTCAGTGTAATTTTGAGCAAAGGTTAGAGGGTTTCTGTGATAGATCATTATTCTTCACTATCCTTCTGTTGTCTCTGTCTGTCTGTTTTATTGCTTCCTGACAATGTAAAATACAGTCGAAATTGTTCAAGAAGGCCACCCACTGACGAGGAGAAAAGTGGTAGTCTTAGAAAGTCGGATGTCTTGGACAGGGTCATTGAGATATTTTTAAAATGCACTGGAGTGGTCCTTTGTATAGGCCATTTGTCTTGAAGAGGTGGCTGTAAGAGCAGATTTGACGGTACTGTGCAAATCAAACCCTATTCCAAAGACAGTGCATACATCTTGGTTAGCATAAACCAAAACTCAGATCCTGATAAGTCTCTATACTTAGTAGAATATAGACAGAATCACAAGGATTCTTCATATTATTATCTTCTCCTGTGAAGAGATATAAAGTTTGGGGGGGGGGGGAAAACATCTGACGTTCCTCACCATTGTTTGTGACGATGGAATCTGTGTGAGAGCTGCCGTACTTGTTGATGTGAGCGATTGCATCATCTAAGTCATCAACAATCTCCACAGCACACTCAAGGTTGCCATACTCTGTCCTCATTGAGGCAGCTAAAGATGGGCCAAACCTGAGAACCTGGCCTAGTCTGGGACCCGCATGGATTTTCACCTGTAATGACAAACCAAAGTGGCACAGAGGTGATGTATTTGACAAAAATTTGGATAACAGTTTGAAAAAAAATATCAAAGACAGAAATAAGAACTTCCATTATATTTTGCTCGTCTTCAAGTCTGTAGGTTGATCTTTGAAAACCATCTGTTCTTTAGTCTGTCTTGACATTTTTATTCCCCAGCACTAACTGACCATCATTGTATTAATATGTTCTTTTTTAAATCTAAAAAGCAAATTAATCTTTTAACTTCGAGCCTGGCAAAGACGAACAAACAAACATATAATTTTAGAAATGACAGGTGTATTTAAGGACAACAAAGAACAGCATCTACCTCATCAGCTTTGAAATCCCATGTTTCTTAAACAGAAGGGGGGGAAAAAACGGAACAGACGAGAAATACGTGTGATAAACATAATGGTGCAACAAAACACAGCTCTTTACAAAGTAGTTGCAAGGAAAAAAGATCGTTAGAACTTTTTTAAAAACAGTAATTTTCTCCCAACACTTGACAACAGATTTTAAAGCTTATAATAATTCGAAACATTAGCGGCTTTCAATAGCAAACAGTTGGTCCTAATTCAGTTATGCTCATCAGTCACAGATAGTCTGTTCACTCACCCCTTGAAGTCTCAGCATTTCACAGGTCTTGTCAAACAAGGTTCCATTTCGGTGGGACTTGTGTATGAGCAGGGTTTCCATACTGTTACAAGCTGCTGGGTAGTCACACTTGGAATCTTTCACTGCAATGTTATATATACATATTATATTTCAATCCTCTGCATTGATATGAAGATCAGATTTTTTTCAAAATACATTTCTATTGACTCTTTCTATACCTTGAGCCAGAATAACTGCCCCATTTCTGACTCTTTGTGAAAAAAAATGCGTTTTTTTATGCCCCCATCGATTCAATTTAGATAGCTGGCTTTCACTCTGCCTGTAAAGGTCAACTTGCACTGAGAAGGATGAAATGCCACAGCAGAAAAACTGAAATAACCATGAAAAATTCTCTACACATGGGAACTGAATTCAGGTCTCCAGCCTGAGAGGATGTGGTCACCAGAATGTGTCCTTGAGCAAGACGTGATAAGCCAAACTAAACAATACAAGGCCCTGCACAGTGGCAGCCAGGAATGGCGTGTTTGTAGTATTATATCTGTGTGTACAAGTATGTATGTATCTACTTATGTATAATATATTTACATCATTGTAAACCAAATATCCCCAGAGTGGTCAATAAAGTGGACTTTATTTATTATCTTTATACCATTTTAAGATATGATTGTATAATGATTTACTATTTGCTTATACCTTGAGCGAGTACAACTGCTCCACATCGACACACTATTGGTCATTTAGTGCTGGGAAACAGTAAGACAGAAACAACAGAGGAAAAGTAAAGAAGTGGGACCTAGCAGTAGCTCCCTCCCATTAAAAAGTGCACATAAAACTTACCAATATGTAATGCCATTTCTGGGTCAACATCCTCATCAATGTACACATGGCAGATGCCCTCGCTGTGGCCCAGCACCGGGATGCCCTGACTGAGCTCCTGAATGCGAGAGACCAGCTGCTCCGAGCCTCTGGGCACGATCAGGTCGATGTACTGGTTCAGATGCAGCAAGTCTGCGATGTCCTCCCGGCGGCTCACCTTAGGACATTTTTGTTTGTTTGAGTGAGTATAGAGAAGCGCATCGACACACTAATGGTCATTTAGTGCTGGGAAACAGTAAGACAGACCAAAACAACAGAGGAAAAGTGAAGAAGAGGGGCCTACCAGTAGCGCCCACCAACCGTCCCCCACCTTAGGACAGAAATAACAATAAATTGTTAAGGATTCTAAAAATGTTACTGGTATTGGTATTCCTACTAGGCTTGTTGCACATCTATCAACAAAGAGTTTTCTTTAGTTTTAGTACGAGTTTTATGATACATGCAACAAAAATAGGTCATACAAGGACAAGGATTAGAGGTATTACTAGAGAGTAATGTACAAATAAAAAGAAAAGAAAAACGATGATAGATGTTGGATAGGAAAGAAGGAGCAAACCACACCAGAACACCTACTAACAAAGAGGGTACACATTAGTGTCATTCCAGAAAAGTATAAAAGGCAAGCATTTGACCAAAACCTTTTCATTTTAAAAAAAAATGTCATCAGGAATACATTGCAACAGAAATGTTTGCATGTCAAAGACAGACATCAAATCAGATTTGTATTTCAACTATACAGAATAGATTCATTACCATGTACAGAAAGTCCCCAAAAGACATAACATTCCATAAAATAAAGAAAAATAACACCCAATGCACTTAGTGTCAAAACCGTTACCCATGAGATCAAAAAGTCAGTTTACACTGACAATCTGACAAGGAAATGTTCAGAAAAAAAAAAAAGAAAACCAAACTCACTAGGGCCACTGTATCAGCAGGAGCATATGGTTCAAGGGCCTCTTGCACTAATGAAAAGAGAATCTTATTGCTGTGTGTTGCCTCAGACCCTCCCTTCAGCAGAAGTCCATTTCCACTGCATATAGACAGAGCAGCCACCTGTGAAAATAGTTTGATAGACTTAACACATTCAGCATTGTTTTGTTTTTCTCATCACTGATCACAATCTATGTTTCTATAATGCGTTCTTTATAGAATCTTTCAATTTTCAATCAAGAATATCAACATGACAAACGTACAGAAACGGAAAACCAATTTGTTCACAATAAATGCAGGTGCTAAAATTAAAAACATTTGATTTTGAGTCATAATAATAATAATAATAGATAGCATTTGTATAGCGCATATCCCCACTCATCAGCAGGCTCTATGCGCTTTACACTATATCATTACCCCAGCAGACCATAGAACACTCCGAAACATTCTCAGCTTCCCGGGAAGCATACAGTGCAAGCAGCCGATTAAGCGCTCAAACACTTACAAACTGACAAGACCTTTCGCTGTCTATAGCCGGGTACCCATTCCCACCTGGGTGTAGTGAGGAAAATTCGTGTAAAGTGCCTTTCCCAAGGACACAACGTCGGGCCCCTGACGGGATTCGAACCCACGACCTTACGGTTGCGAGTCCGAGAGACTAACCACTAGGCCACCGACGCCACATGTGTGAAGGATGACAGATTTGACTCTAAATAATGACTATGGAAAGATGAGCATTATTGTGACAGACTTTCCACCTCATTTTCTTCATTCTTCTTGGCTGAAATAAGTAAGAGTTGTATATTCTTTAAAAACAATTCTCCCTCTTCACATCAATAAAAACTTTTAACAAAGGCATGAAAGGGGCACTGTACTTTACGCTTATCTGAGTCAACAACACTTAAAGATTCATGGTTAACTGGCTATATAGGAACAGATTTTCAAACCTGTGGCAGAGCATCTGGCCTTGACTCAAAGATGACCAGCAGCACTCCAATGGGAACTGTCTTCTTGTCCAGAACCATTCCGTCAGCCAGACGTGTTCGCTGGACCACACGACCCACAGCATCTACGGAGTCCTTGCCAATCTGCCGCAAGCCAGTGGCCAGAGTTTCCAATTTCTGATCACTCAAGTACAGGCGAGCCATCTCGGATTGCTGCATTCCTGTGTTTGAGAAAAAAGCATGGCTCTCAAACTGAAGTTTACAGTTGGCATGAGAAGTCAGTCTCAATATTCAACCTAAAATGAATCATTCACTCAAACGGAAAACAACAACACTGTGCCTTATTTTCCCTTTATCAAAAACCATTTCACCTGGTAAATTGAAAAAAAAAAATTCACTCCTCTAAAGTTGATTTTGCAAAAACTGGAAGAAAAAGCAGCAGCACACAACTTCCACTTCAGACATCTGACAGAAATTTAGTGTTTGTTATTTTTTCAATTAAATAAAACTTACATTACTTTTTCAAACATACTGGTACCAAGTCAAAGTTAATTAGATATTTACTAACTCTTTTAAGCCTGAATATTCCAAGATTAAAGCTTTCTTTAAAAGCTTCCTACTCTCTCTATCCTTGTTCTTTCAAAACTCTATGTTACTCGTCACTTTTTGCTTTAAAAAGAACATAGAGTAGGACATTGAGCCTTGTAATTGACTGCAGCCTGCAAAGTGGAGACCAACAACCAAACATTTTTTTGTAATTAATTAAAATTAAACTTTCTTCAATAGCTACCCATACCTCTTGAACTGAGAAGACTAAAGGCACTATATGGTATCCAAGTAGGAAAAAAAGCAACCTCCTGCAGGTACCCTTTTTCTTTATAGTAAACTTGTATCTACAGCATCAGCAATGACAATTGGATTAGTAGATGATTGTGCAGCAGACACAGCAAATATCTTAGGCTAAGAGTGGGTACACACTGTAATTTGACTTTTCCATTCCAACATGTGACAGCTTTTCACTTTCACACTCAGTACAAAAAAAAAAAAAGAATTCAACTCCCTTAAACCACAGCAAAACGAAAGAAACCTCAGATAGAAGTCAGGAGTGCAAACATGTTTTGTGAGAGATGCTTCATCTTGTATTGCTCTTGTCAACTACTCTTCCATTAGAACTCTTTTAGGGCTTTTGTGATAATTAAAACAAATATATTGTTTCAGCACTTGAAAGCCTAAAAGCTTTGTGGATCCTCAAATATGAGAGAAACACTTATCTGACAATAAATGTTCAAAATTACAAGGAGGCCACAGCTAAAGAAATAACATTAAAAGGTACTGCCACATCTTTAAGTTAAACAAAGAAAGTGTTCAGTACAGTATCTTGAAGAAAAACATAGCACAATTTATCACACAAAAATTCTGCTTCTGGACTGTGAATGTGTCAAATAAGAACTATGACAAAAACTTCACAACGCAAACCAATTAACTCATTTAATGCTGGACAAACACTAACCAGACTATAAGTCTCATTTCATCCAAACCAAAGACAGTACATTTTTGCAAACTGTTTACCCGATTTTATCAAACACTCTGCATTAACATACACTGAGATTGGAATACCTTTTCCTAAAGATTCTGCTATTGAAAGAGAATTTTTTTGCATTCTAAATAATAAAAATAGTAGTCCCATGTCTCATCAAAATATAAACCGATTCCAAACACTAGCCCAGATCCTGAATAACATATTCTGGCACTGACAGACAGTACATAGCTTTCTTTTGTGTCAGAACAATCAAAGAAACCCCCTCCCCAATTTTAAAAAACAACAAATAAGTGGTCAAACCAAGTACTAAAGTGGACCTAGTACTCACTTGTGGAAAAAGGTTAAATCACAAAATGATGCTTTTTGTTCGTAATCATTTTTCACACAAAAGTGATGGAGAACTCTGATAAGAAAGCAAATTTTGACGTGAAAGATCAACTTTTTCAAGACATTGTGGCGGTTATAAGATAAGAAAATGTTCCCTCTTCATACCATGTTCAAGATCACTGAGAGAGGCTGGGAAGTCAAAACACATCACGTTACATAAATTTGCAAACAAAACATGATACTGTCTCCCAGATTACAGCAGTTTCAAAATTAGAGTTCAACAAAAGAACAAAATCCTGCAAGCATCAAAAACAAAAAGAATGAGTTGTGCTTTGCCCCTAAATGTATTCTCAAGCCATTCACCTTTCAACCTCAAACAATCTTTTCGGCCATATTCTACTATCCAGTTGGCACACTCTAAGCTTTCCTGAGATTTTAGTCACCTCTTTAATTTTACAAATTAGCTCCCACTGTTTTCCTCCCTTGTTGTTGTTGTTAGGTTGTTTACAAAGACAGTGAAACTCCTTTACCTCAACTCTGCTAGAAGAAAACTGAGGGTAAACTAAGTATTAATTTTAGTTCCTGCTTGGACACAACTTGAGGGAAAAACCTGATCCTGAATCATCTGAACACATCTTGAATGCAGTCAGTACTCAGCTCTGAAAATTTGTTCACAGAGCAACTCGGACAGACCAGCTCTCTAGCAGTTTTGTAATTCTTACCGCGTTTGCACAATCACTATTCAGTGGCTAATAAAGCCCTCTCATTTTTCTAGAACTAAGCCAACCAGAATTACTTTATCTGAGCAACAATAATCAATTTTCATTATCTAAAAATCCAACTTTTAAAATCTAAAAGAAACAGAACACCCACTCGTCTTTTCTTAAAAGCCTTACAAATACAACGCACTGAAAAGGCTAAAGAAAAATAGTATTAAATGGTGGAGTAATGGTGAAAACACAAACATAATGAATAACCTTTGTTCGTAGCTGACTGTGAGCAAATATTAAGCCATCTTCAACAACAAAATGGAAGACTAAATGGGCAATAGATTTTTTCCTTTAAAAAAAAAGAAAAAAAAGGAAATTAATGTATACTGGAAAAAATACAATACACATTTAATACAATAAAAGATCTGTTTAAAAAAAGTTGTACTCATTCATTTCCTCCCTCAGCAATTAAACTACAAACTGATGTATTATTACCTGCAGCAAAAGCTTGTTGCACATCCTGTTGGTTAGCCTGAAGGATTTCAGACTTCCTCTCCAATAAGAGGTCAGCCAGTCTGTTCACAATGGCTGTCCGGTGCACTCCTGTCAAAGCTTGAAGGCACCTGCCCCCTTCTCTCGCTATGGATACAGAGACATGATAAATATACACATCCCTCCCGATGTCTTTTTTTTTTAGTAAGTGTTTTACGGCACTTGCAACATTATAAGTTCATATAAGTGCCGATGATTAGAGACGTTACAAGAGAGTAACAAACACAAAAAAGAAGGAGGAGAGATAAGGACAATAGATGTTTGATAGAAAAGAAGAAGCAAACCACACCAGAGCACCCACCAACCACCCACCCCAAAGTCTACATAACAGAGTACTGAAAAAGACCAAACATGAAACTAGTATATTATGAAGAAAAAAAGTTGATCCGAACATCCTTTACAAATTTTTACAAAATTTCCATCGAATTTCAAGCTTCTAAAAAAATTCCTTCCAGAGCCATAGCTGGAGTTTCAAGCACAAAGAAAGTCATTCCAAAGGCAGAGCACATGGTTCTGCCCATCAGGACATTGCTCTGAGAGTGAGTACTCAAGAAAAAACATGAAAAAACTGACACCAACTTAAATTGGACATAAAACTTTTCAATGACAGACCTAATCAGTATCCTGCATTGCCACAGTCACAGTATATGCACAAAGATAAAGAATGTCATATCTATCTATAAATTCTATTGAAACAAAGTTTTGTTACATCTGACACACCAACATTACTGAACAATTTTGAAACTTGAATCAAACGTATGAACAGTTGAATTTGACAAATGGTATATTAAAGCAGAGCAATAAAAAAAAATCTACAGTTTAACTCCGTCAGCTTCTAGAGGATGTCATGCATTACCATACATGACTATCAATGACTATCAAGCTCTACGATTAAGTAAAAGCACCAAGCTAGCCTCTTAACAAAAAAATGGACAGCAGCAAATAATATCCATAACAACACCTGCTGATTACATAAAATGCATACCATTCTTTGCTTGCAATTCCACCGGAGTCCCACGAGCTTGAGCCTTGGTGAAAAAAGTGCCAACCTTCTTGCCTTTAATGATATTCACTATAGCATTTTCCTCACAGCCATTACAAATCACAACCGAACAGTTCCTAGCCAAGGCATAGGTGGCAGCCTTCACCTGGAGAGCAGCAAAAGAGGTATTCCCCAACTTGAGACAAACAAGCAAAGAAATTACCCATTGGGAGGGTCATGGTTTTAATGACATCAGTCAACCCATTGTGGGAGGTGGTCAGAGAAAACAAGATACATATCCACGGTCCCAATTTTGCAATCATGTCCGGAAAAGGAAAGGGGAAAAAATATGAGTTATTAGATAGTCAAGTTTGATACCATTAATTGTTTACCCACCACTTGGAAAATGCAATAGAAATAATGATTCAATTAAAAAATGTATTCTTTCATTTCCAAATTTAGTGAGACTTGTTTTAAAAATATACTTCATCCAGAAAAAGAAAAGAAAACTATTCTGAGTTTTATAAAGTGCATTGAAAAATGATACTGGACATAACAACTCAAGATCTTAACATTTTCACCATGGGAAGGGTTTTCTCAGGCCACCACACAATGATCAACAAGGATGATGGAAGAGGTGAATATGACACACTCACACAAGGTCTGATCACTGGGACTCATGCAGCCTTACATATACAAACAGACAGCACAGCTCATATTTACATGGAGACATAAACTCAGGCACTCATGCACCACAACACAGAGACACAGATGTTCATGTGTGTATGCATTCACAAAGACAAACATACACACAAACACATGCGCGTGTACACGCACACACACACTAACACACTCCTGTGCAACATAATTTATTAATTGTTAATGACCATTATGTACAAATCCAAGTTTTATAACAGCAAGCAATGCTCTTGTCTTTAAAAAAAAACAAAAAACCCAGCAGTTTAAGCATTTTAAAGTGAAATTTTCATTAAAAGCGAAAATGGGTCATTTCGATATCTCATTTACATTCAGTTTCTTCAATAGCATATAAAAAATACAATAAGCTAAATATATATTCTTTTTTTACAACCATAAGATGAACTCTTAGTTGTGTTTGCATGTGCTATAACTTATGATGTAACCATAAAAGCATCTGGCTCTCCATAAACATAAAGCCTTTGCATACTGGGAGCGTATAGATTGTATTCCATACCTGGCATAAACAAACAGACTGCTAATATATCAATTCACTCAATGTGGTTAATATGTTTTCCGTTTGTACTCCATCCCTGATTCTATTTCACATTTGCAAGATTTTAAAAAAATAAAAGCACTCTGAAAAATGAAATTACAAAGAAGTGCAAGTTTTCACAGCATGTTAGAGTTCTTGATATAAGTAAGTTAATGTGTTTCAATGCTTATTCCTTGAGTTTAAAACTTAAATATGTTGCACATAAATCCCAATACCTTTTCTAAAAATTGAACTATCCCAACAATTCCAACTTTGAAACTTTAATTAAAGATATGCTTTCTCTCCTCACAGAATATTGAGAAAGCAGCTAAAACAAATACCAGCATATTTTTATGAAAATAACAATTTTTTTTTTTACTTCTCTCTTTCCATGACTGTCTTCTAGATCTTACTAATTTTTCAAGATATAAAAGTGATTTATTTATATTATAATAATAGTCCTATCATTTTTGTTTCCCATGACATCCAAATCAAGACTTTCATTAAGTTGTTTTTGAAGTTATGAAAATGAGTTTTTTTTAAGTCTCCATAGGGAATGTTTTTTACTAATCAGCAAAGACTCAGCTGACAAAGAGTTAGTTAATTTCATGGACATAACTTTTTTTTAGCTTAAGACCAAGCTGACATTAATTTCAGCACTGAATATACAATGACCTATGTTCAGAAAAGCTTGATCAGCACTTTTTTTCTAGAGATGACATCCTTGTAATCTAATTTTAGCTTTGAATCCAAAGAATAAAGATACATAAAAAAAATAAAACATTGAACAATCGCTCCGACAGATTCGCTTTACCTTTGAGTCCATGCCACCTGTTCCAACACGAGATTTGCCAGCAATGATTACTTGATCTCTCTCTGGGCTGTAGGTATGCAGAAGTCTTGAGTCAGGCATACCGGGCGGAGCGGTGTACAAGCCGTTCACATCACTCATGATCACCAAAAGCTCCGCTTTCATCTCTGATGCCAGGCGAGCAGCAAGACTGTCATTGTCCTTTACGCTGATCACCTGATTTCAGGGTTAAAAATAAAAACCACAAGTTTTTAAAAAAAGACTAATTCTGCTTTTCTGCAACTACATTCAGCTTATGGAAACAAAAAAGAGTTTCTGTTTCTTCCTCAACATAGTCTTCCATATTTCAGGTCTGGAAACTAAAACAAAAGATATCAAAGTTCATTACAAGGTTGACTTGTTCCATTTAACGTTGAAAACTTATTGCAGTTTGAATCTTATTTACCTAAACAACAATACTCCTCAACTTTTCCACATGTGGGAAGGGGGGGGGGGTGTAGGTGTGCGCCATTGGAATCAGTCCCAGGGCCAGGTCCGCCCTTTAATCCAGCTAACAACAGTTTCAAACTAGCAATGAAAGGACTGAGCTTAGCACTAATCACATTTAGGAATATATAATATCATTATATGTATCACGACACGGTGGAAACAAGCACTCGTTAATTTTTGGTCATGTGCAGTTATTGGTATTCTTTTTAACATTTGGTCATTTATCTTGCTTTTGAATAGGAAAATACCCATCTACCTTGAAAAGAAGTTCATATATTTGCAACTGAAGGAGGTGGGAGTTGCCTGGTTGCAGAGGTAAAATTAACGAGGAAATGGCTATCAAAGTTTGGTGACTTCCAAGTTGAGTCTCCTTGTGGAAACTAAATTTACATTTTTTGTGCGGTAGATCAACATTTTTCAGTAAACCCACACAGAAGTAAGTTTTTAAATGGACATAAAAGGTGCTGACAGAAGAACAGACTTACCCCAGCCAAGTCCATGTCAGGTTCAGGTGGAGGTGCAACAGCATCATTCGCATTCACAATGGGGATTATGTTCAACTTCAACAGTTCAGACAGGGTTTCTCTCAAATTTTCTCGACTGCTCTCATCTTGAAAATCTGGCTTTGTCAATAAGATCTGAAAAAAATCAGAAACTATGCACAATCTTGTTCACCCTACATAATAATTTTCCCCCTCACTCAAGCAACATGCGTCTGTGGGGACATACTAAAAACAAGATAACCACATTTGTTAATCTTAATGCCAAATTCATTCAGCTACGTTACGAGAACGTGGGACAAAAAGCAAAGAAGCTACCCATACTCACGAATGAAAGTAGCCTTAGAGTTATTTTAAATTAGAAACAAGAGGGGAAAAGCTTTTAAAAACAAAATCAAAACCCAAATATACTCAGTATGCCTTCCCTTATATTATAAGCTAATGAATTCCCGTGGAAGAATTGTTCTTATTCTTTGAGCAAGTCAAAACCAGTGTTACCTGCGCCGTCTTCACGCCATACTGAAGGAACATGGCATCGTACAGGCTCATTAGCCCACTCTGACCGGCAGCAGCACATGCTCGGGGCTCCAGTGAAGGTGGACGACTCTACACAGCGCAACAGAAACACAAATAAATACAAGTAAATATCATTCAGTAAAAATAAAATCAAGTTCAGTCAGCTAAAACTATGCCACATCTCTCACCAGTGTCAAAAGATACCATCCTTGCTACATTTCGAGTTGAAGAAGGCACTATTCGAGCCTGGTCCACAAACAGATAAAAATAATAGTCAACTGGGTCAGCTGACAATTAAAACTATCAGGCAAAGGCAAATGATGACCTTCATCCCTCTCCAAAACTTCTTCATAGCAAAAGTAATGAACATTAATATGATTATGCCAACTCCAAGTTATTCATTAAATAAAAAATATAGCAAGGATGGGTCACCTCGACAAAGAGAAGAGTGAATCATACAATGCATAGCCTTGAGAGATACATCTGACAAGACGGTGTAATAAAGTTAGATCTTAATTACAGAAGTACATGGTAAAGTTCTTCAAAAGTGTGTAGCACCTCTGAGTGAACATTTGAATGCAAAAAGGAAAAGCTTATAAAAGACTAAGATGCAGGGTGGGGTATAGCAAAAATATGCAAAGATGCAATACATGTGTTTTTGTAAATACTACCTCAATTCAAAAACAGAAGTCATGAAACTATCATCCATGATTTTTTAAAAAGGCAGAATCAATAAATAACCTGAACACTCATTTGAATTATCTAAAAAATCAATAATATTTGTATCTACCCCTCAAGTCACCTGCTTTAACAAAAACCTGCAAAGGCTACAAAAAGCAGATATTTTAGACTAGCTACATGGTATTGGCATATGTGAAGAGCCACTCTATCAATGTGGTAAACAATGCTACTAACAAACAACAGCAATTTGGAATGAAAAATCAGCTGTTTTGTTACTCTTAACAATTGTCAATGCACTTTCAATTTTTCAACAAAAGGTTTCAAGATTACAGGAGCTTGAAGATTACAGACACCGCAAAAAAATGCATGATAGAAATAAGCGACTTTTGAAGGAGTGTCTGACTCTTAAATACTTTTAAGTAATAGATTGAATAGTCCAAACAAATACACAGCATCCATTCTATCAAGCCTATTTTTTTCCATTCCAAAGGACAATTTCACCTATTTTCGTATAGTTTTCTTGAAATTCATGAAGCCATACATTATGCTAGTCTGTAGGATGGAAATGTTAACTCTCAAGGCCTACAAGAACAGGATAAATTCTACACCCTCATATTTTGAAATTTGCACAAATATTTCGTCATGCTCAGGAAAGTTTGGTAAGCCTGTAACATATCCTCCAATTAAGAAACGCCCAGCTCAGCTGCTTTTCTTCATATAGCGTACATTTACAGCCTGAACCAAAAATTTGGGACAAACACCATGTTGACTTTACATTTGAAGTCAACCAAATGGCTCTATTGTAACTATATGTGAAAAAGTTTACACTGACCAATCACTAATAAACTTTCAAACTTAAACCATTGATGCATTCAACTTAAATTTCACATTGATTTCTAAGTAAGTGTGATAAAAAAAAAAAAGGCCTCAGCATTAAAAGCTTTCTCTATATCAAACGCCTCCGTCTCCACTGGTCAATAAGATTAACATTTACGCATGCAAACGTCACAGGCAATATTGACTTGATATCCAAAATAACATCTGTCACCATCTGGAGTAGGCAAATGTAAAAGTTGTACTCTAATATTCAGGAAACTTAAATCAAAACCGAATACTTCTGTTCATTCAAAACAGGGAAAAACCATACTACATGAGAGCAGCCCACACATACAAAAGGATACTTCGAAACTATATAGCAATGTGCGAGCAGTGTCTAGAAAAACTGGAACATCTAAGAACTACACATCCTTATCATAATAAACTCAATAATTAAAAGATAATAAGGTCTGATTTCTAAACATGCTGCTTATTACATGGAATTTAAGAAAATAAAATGCACTTCAGGATGTGAGTGTTATAGCAACGATTTTTATTTGGCAACTGCGCTTGAAACTAGAAGCCTATACAGTATATACATATGTTTTTTTGGTAGATCAAATTCTATCAACTACAATCTGAGTAATGTTAATTGGAACACAAAGGAAGTGAGAAAAAACAGAAAATCTCCTTTAAACAGCTGCTACAACTCTCAGCAATATGAACATAAGTAAACTGCTTTAAGTAAAATGAACATCAGGATTGTCAAATGTTTCAGATCTTTCCTTGCCTTTGGTGTAAAAACTGTTGATTTAATTCAGATCTGGTAACAAATAAATGATGCAACATAAATTTAATGATCAGTAAATCGACGCATCATCTGCAATTTCAGTAAAATGATTACGTTGTTTGCACTTCACTCAAAAAGATGTGAGTTCAATTCATACATAAAGTCACGACAATCTAATTCTTCCTGCCAGCCTGACGTATCCTGCCCATCCTGGACAGGCCTTTATAAGACAGATCAAAGAGACAGTTTCCTAAATCCTAAATGACCTGAATTGTATCGATGTGAAAGCAATCATTTGATAATACTTTAATAATATTTTTAGGAGCATCTGGAGATTGTTTGACTGGTAGGATTTTTTTAAATTATACAAATAATAAACATTAAATTCAAATAATGTTTCTTTCACTGGATGGGTATGATGAGGGGGGCATGGAACAGATGAAGAAAGGATTTATCCTGCTACTTTAAAACAGCATAAAGTTCAAAAACTGAATATGAAGGTTAGAAACTAATAAGCAGGTGCTGGAACTTTTAATCCTGATGTCAATGTCACACATATTGGTCAATCAAGTAACACAAAGACCATACCATAGACCTCGTGTGTGTGTGTGTGTGTGTGTGTGTGTGTGTGTGTGTTTGGGTGTGTGTATGTGTGAGTGTGTGAGTGCATTTTTAGCTTTAGTAAGTTTTTTACGGCACTTGCTACAAAATAAGGTATTATAAGTGCCGAAGATTAGAGGTGTTATAAGAGAGTAACAAACACAAAAAAAGAAAGAGGAGAGATAAGGACGATAGATGTTTGATAGGAAAGAAGAAGCAAACCACACCAGAGCACCCGCCAACCACCCACTTGTGTGTGTGTGTGTGTGTGTGTGTGTGAGTGTGTGTGTGTGCGTGTGTGTGTGTGTGTGTGTGTGTGTGTGTGAGTGAGTGTGTGTGTGTGAGAGAGAGAGAAAGAGAACAATCTCTCTCACAAACACACATGCAAAGACACTCTGTCATATGTCATTTTTTTAAAAGAACGTATGGTGGAACCTTACACTAAACAGTCGATACGGTTCATTCTCAAAACGTAAAGACAGTTTGAGTGACTTTTTGCCTCTATCCATGACAAACAGCTCAAACGGAGGAGTTCTATGAAACCAAGTCTTTTACGATTAAGATATGACTTCACAGATATTTTTTAATTTGATTAAGAATTTGTCAAAGTGCACAACTTTCATTAAATAAATTTCAGTTATTTTGGAAAGTGCAGTGATTATTGGGTTGACTTTGTTGCATCATAATGTGGGCGTGTTCCACAAGGCTGGGATAAGACTAAAAAACTCTTCTGATACTCCAAAGGAAACAAAAATTAAATGAAAAAAATAAAATGCTAGTGCTAAAAGAACACATTCTGTTTGAAATTTAGATACACTGCCATTCAGTAGACGAGCAAAATGTGTACTCTACTTGCATCACGATGTATTTCAATACACATTGCTTATTAGACTGAGTATTTAGAATGCGTTCATGTTGAATAAAAGAATGACAATCCTATAGTGCTCACGAGTAACAAAATATGCTTATCTCAACATAAATCATGCACACACACACAAAAAAATCCATGTTACCCATTATAAGTGTGGTACTCCCGGTAGAAAGAAGTTAAAGAGGATTTTTTTTTAATTGATGAAAATATTTTTACGTGCAAGTGTTGTATCTAATTATCTTATCAACTTGGATAATAAAAAAAACAACCCATCCAATATAATGCATTAAAATAAAAACAAAATATACAAAACAAAGTATACAAACTGACTGTTGGAAAAAATAGGTTATTGCACAATTCTTAAGCCGACAATATGAGAACGGTTCAAAAGGAATAAATCTCATAGTACGTAACAACCAAGAAAAAGAAGTTTGTTGGTACACAAAATATCAACACATTAGCTATTAGCAATAGGTGACAATCAAAGGAGGTCAAGGAAGCACTCAGTTAATAAGCTTTCAATATAATTGATAACACTCAGATGTGAAAACAAACAATAAGAGAGCTGTTCAGAAAGAGTGAATCAGCAATCTGAATCAACATAAACTCACAAACAATTAGGGAAAACAAGAGTATATCAACTGCAAAGTATAGGAAGCTTATTTCAAGCATTAAGAACGCCTGACCAAACATTGCCGAAACCACTGTCAAACTCCTTAGACAAAGCTCTCTGTAAAGCATCAGGAATGCCTCACACCGTCGCAGCAAGCTACACTAGGAGGAGATCACTATGCAGGAAGCACCTTTGCAGATACACCAAAGCTAGAAGACACTTGGTTAGGGCTGCCAATTTTAACTAATGTTGGGTTTTTTAGAGTTGTCGAATGAGAGGTAAAGGTCAAAACGTACATGACCCTGAAGCAATTTACTAATGTCCTAGCTCCCTAAACAATCAATTTCAAAACAGCATCAGCATCATTCCACTATTGCTCAAATCAATTTCTGGAGGTTTTGAGATAACGCCCATATTAGAATAAAAACATCAACGGGTATTGTACCATACAGTTTCGTTATTTCCTTCTATTCTTAGCTTTTAATTTTTTAAAATACAGGATCCAAAGTCATGGATTTTATTTGCTCTCTTTGTCTTTAATTTTCTAAAAACTATTTTAAAATGACATAGGTGCTTGTGGAAAGAGGCTGATGACAATCTTTCAGTTCTTTTACCAGACATTGAGTAGGTAATTTCAAAGATGGAGCACCTGGTCCTAGTCTCCCCATAAGACACGCAGCTGATGAGAGCAATATTCCAAGTAAAGTGAGGAAAATCCAGACCCTTCTCAGATTCGATCCCATTACTTCCGCAAGCTGGCCATATATTTATTGTTTCAACAAAGAGGAATAAGAAATTCTTGCCTACAGCATACCAAAAGCAGAGTTTAATTCACTCTTCCTTGCTTGTGGCGTAAAGAAAACTCAAAGCTTCAGTTCCCGTCTGGACTTCCTTTGAAATCTAATTATTAAAGTCATATAGAGCTTCTCGGGAGCAAATATTGAGTAGCATGTTGACAGTCCCATCTCAAAATCAAACCTAAATGTACAGGTACTATTAGTACTATCACGAGGCATGACACACCTGGCAGAGTGAATGCATCAAAAACACATGGTTTGTGCAAAAGGACAAGAGCGCCTTCTCGTCTTTCTACCAGAACTAAAGAACAGCACTCAAAACAACAGCAAGTAGATGATACCTTTGGATAATACAATCTCGGCCTAGAATCCCTATCCATGGAGGGGAAATTCTTCCCTTCAAACCGAATGTCTGAGGTAGAGGAAGAGCTCTCACCCTATAATTACGAATCAAAAACACCAATTTTTTAGCTCATATATACTAGATCAAAAAGACTGCAGCATTAATCCATAAGCACCTTCCAAAATAATGAGCAAGATGCGTTAGAAATAGAAAAAATGTTCCAAAACAAGTGACAGGTCACAACATATATATAAGGCAGTAAAATGACAAGCCAAGAAAATAACACCTTGCCCTTGTAAATTACACCCACTCAACAAGTCTATTCAGAGAAGCCAGGGATACTGAGGATCACATTCACATTGTTAGGACTGAGCATTACCCATTATGAGTACAACAATAAAGGGAAAAGGGTTACTGGAAGACCGAAAGAACAATAAACATTTCTTTAAAGGTTGAATAAGAAATTCAAGGGAACGTGCAGTATGATGTGAATGTTTCATACCTTGATCCACGCACCCTGTTGATACGGGATAAAGAAGGAAAAAAGTGGGATGGATAAGTAACCTGATTGTGGATACATTAGAAACAAGTAAACATTCTTTTCCACGGCAAACATAAAACCCCTTCCTATTTAGTTTGCTCTAATCCTTCCTTTTCTTAGCATCTGAAAAGATTGCAAAACAAAAATGAGAGTCAGGAAAGATTTGATTTTAATTATTTTTTAGATTTCACTGAACGAGAAAAATCCAACAAACACTTATGTGTTGCTTTATTTGTCCTCAATCCAAAAAAAATAATTTTGTAGCTAAATCACTGAAATTTCAAGCTGAAATGAGTCTCTTTCGGACACATTTCTTGGTCTTCATATTTATCTTACTAAAGTAAAAATGTTCTTCTTCAGTCCGTTTTGTAGTCACATTTGTTCCCATGAACAAAGCAGACAGATAATGAGAATACGAGGCAACCAAAAGAAACACAAAAACCTGGAAAGCATTGAAGTGTCAAACAGTTAAACAGTCAAAGAAATAGTTACATTGAGCTCAAAGAAACAGACAAAAGCTCTCAACAAATAAAATCAAGCAAAGAAGCACACTAGCCAAAACAGAGGGTAGCATTTGTGTTTGAAGTGTTTATCAGCACTTTCTGCAATACCCTCTAATGAATTAAAGCAATTGCATTCACTGTCCACATACAGAAAACATTTCGATTTGTTAAGAAAAGTGAACATTCTTTTCATGAGGCAGGTTATCAAATTATACTCAAGGATTATTTATTTGAATATTCAACGAGTTGCTTTGTACTACAACATGTCTTTAGTAACGAGGAATGGCTTTCCAGAAGCTTTGAAACAGTCCTCAAATCTTTTACCATAAATTATGATTTTGTACAGAAAAGAAGAAAACAATTTTAAAAACAAGAACTAAGCCAAACAGTAAAAACGTATATAACACAATTTGCAGAACTTTAAATTGAAAATGAAATTAAAGAAATTTAAAAAGACAATATATGTTACCTAGGTGAAGGGTTGGGGGTATTTACAAAGATGACTAACCAATCAAGCCCTGAGGGGAGCAAAAAAAAATGGCAAAGAAATTATACAAAGCAAGAGAACACGATATGTGCAACCTTTTAATCCCAAGACTTTATGAGAACATTGAGATAATTATCCCAAACGCAGAAGATATACAGGAATTCAATTCTTGAATTAAAATGCATTGTTTTCCTTATGTATTCCATCAGAGAGGGGGAGGGTTGGGGGAAACAGGGGGTCAAAAACAAATGTGGTTCCTCCTGATGTACAGAGGGACGAGTTACAAAATGACAATCCAGATATCTAAGGAGGAGACAGGTATAAAACTGTGTAAGAAACGTACCCCGTTTTCAATACTGCTGAGATTTTGACGCATACTCATTGACAAAACAACTTCCTGTCTCAACTTTTGTTTTCCAAAAGCAACTGCTCCGCTTGTGACAATCACCATTTCCCTGCCCTGATTCTGTAATTCAGCAACCTGAGATACGAAACAACGATGAATTCATTTTTTTCTGTTCAAGTACCTGTGGAACAAGCAGTCAAATTTTTACCGAAAGACATTCTATTTTATGCTAACTACAATATAACAAAGAATTTAGACATAATGTTGATGAAATGAACCTTACTCGAGACTGAGGTATGGACGCTGGTTTGTAAAAGACCAGATAAATGAACAAAGCTCAGAATCAACTGAAGTTTCAACATACAGTGTAATGTTCAGCAAAGATAACACAAAAGGCATATCTTTCATTTTGATAGATTTGATCTGAGCTGTTCATATTATTTTCCACTATTTCTCAGACAATATGAAAGAATCAACATCTTTTGCTGGAGCTTTCATAATTTTTTTTAATACCAGAAAGTATAAAGGCTCAGCACATAAAACCATGCTTCTTAAACAAAATCAACCATGCGTCCATGAGGAATAACTGTTCCTTCTATGACCCAATTCAAGTGCGCATAGAACAAGTATAGCTCATGTCATGCTGTCTGGTGATACTTTTAAAATCTTTACATGGTTTAGGTAAAAGGAGAGAATGATACAGCACCCTAGTTACCAAAATATAAGCTGGGGACCCTTACAAAAATTCCCCCACCCCCACCCATTTCACACACAAACATAGGAGCCACGGTGTACGCCCACACAGGTTTACGACCCAATTACCTGTTCAACGATTGAGCCCAGTCTTCCCAGTGCCAAACCACATTCATCTTCTCGAGTGATGACAGCACTGCCAAGCTTGATGACAATGCGTTTCACCTAGAGGAGACATCAAGTTATGGATCACTCACTTGTACAAAGTGCACCTCTTTCTCTCATTCACTTTTCTGTTTGCACCCGTATAGAATAAAAATATAAGTTGATTATTTCATAATTTCATTACGTTGACTATTCCCATATAAGCAGAAGACAAGACATGTTTTCTGTTCATTTTGCATGTTTTAGAAAATAATTTTTAAAACACAGGAAAGAAAGGAAATGGGAATTTGAGGTGAGAGTGACATACAAAATAAACACACAACAAAAACTGAGAGGAGAGTCTGTTTACTGTTTTAAGAAAATAACTGCAAGATGTGATTAAACAAACGCACTCAAAAAGAGATGACTGCTCACAAATGCATACAGGCAGTCTACAAGTAACATATAACGTACACATGATGCAATTCAGAAATGATGAAATTCAGAAGTGATGAAATTCACAAATGATGCAATAACATGAAACATTCTGCAAAAGCATGGTTTATTTATTTACAAAACAAGCAAAGCAGGCAAAGAGATTTTTCTGCCACTTTCATTCTTGGTTGCCTCTATCAGCAACCAATTATTGACAAAGTTGTGAAACATCTGTTCCTAAGCTGATTAACCCCTGGGTATAAAAAATTGACTTATGCATTCACATGGGACAAATCAAAGATCAAAGGGTGAGAGAAAAAACAAACAAACATTGAACACTGAAAAGGCTACTTTAAACAACTTCTTGAATTTCACATTAACCCTTCCAGCCCAAAGCGGGTATATTTTCAGCGGCTCTTGTATATTCTCAGTTTCGGGGGGTACCAAATTTGCCCATTTTTCGAAATTAGCGAACCTAATTAAATATTAACTTTCATATTTGTTCATTTTGTTATTACCTAAACCTCAATACAAAGATATTACATCATTTTTCAGAATGCATGCCTCTTTTTCTGAAATATTGCTGTATTGGCTGGGACTGAGGTTAGGGAGTGCACAAAAATGGCTGGGGCTGGAAAGGCTACTAAAGATTGCACAGTTGCTTACAACTTTCACTGCCTGAGGTCATAAAAAAAATTTCCATATCAAATCTTCACAAGGCCAGAATCAAATATGTGTTTCACGAGAAAGCAAAATTCACTTATTCATTAACAATTTATGATAAATACAACTAAGTACAACTAAAATTTCTAAAAGACCAGGATTACCTTGTTCAGATCACTACGCAGCAAAGCAGCACTGCTTTGTGAGAGATCCAACTCCACAATTTCTGTGGAGCTGTACGCTCGAGAGCTTGAGATTCGTAATGTGCTGTTAACACACTTCAAGTTTTGAAATCCCCGGAGGAATGATGCAGTTGTATGCCTCAGCATTTTGACACCCAAAAGGTATAAGCCTAACTACAAATCACAACATCGACCTGAAAAACAAAAAATAAAGACTCTTGTGAAAATTAGAAGATTCCACACACCAGTAAGCATATGAATGTTCGAGTAACAGAAAGAGTAAGAGAAAGAGCAAGAGAAAGAAGGAACACAAATTCAGTAAGTTTTATATCTAAACACTGTATGTACAAACTAAAATTACAAATTCATTTGTGCGTGTCTGCACGTTAACATTTACATGAATATTCAAAAATAGTAAAAATTCATTGCATAAACCATATTGACCTTTGACTGTATAATCAACCAAGTCATGTGAACAGGAATACTTACAGTAGTACACAAAAAGCAATTCAGTTCAGCAATAAATACAATTTCTAAAATCACATCACTGACACATATCTACTTCACACACAAGGAACACATGACAACACCTCCTAGCAGTACGTTACTAGAATGAATGCATTCGTCTTTTCCCATTACATCACTGTGTCACATAAGAACCAAAAAAAAAAACAATTATCGCACCGTGCAGAAAAACAGGTCTAGTGAAAGGATTTCATCTGGTTCACTTTGATGCTCGAAAGAAAATGTTGCTATTGTCATACATTATCCAAAAAACTAAGTTGAAAGGTGAAAATGATCACACAGAATAAATTTTTTTGCAAACTTTGGCTTCAGCAACTTGTGAGAACTCCAGTAAAAAGTACATCTATTTATACTGATGAACAGAATCACAAAAAATTCCCTTAACTTGCAAATAACAAGGAGGAGGCACTTCACATCTATCGAAAAAAAAGCACTCATGCACTGACTTGCAACAATGAAAATTTAACTTCTTTTAACCTAGATATAACATATATATATATATATACATACATATATATATATACACATATCTGACCTAGTCATGTGAAACTATGGCTTACTAAGCCTACTACGTCTCTTACTCATATCTTGTTCACACGATCTATCTTTCTTCAGCTCACGCTGGTTGGCCAAAGTATTTGTCATCCACCTCCTCACAATATCAACAGATGGCTATTGCTCATGAACATTTCGAGGTGGGGGGGGGGGGTTCTTTTTAATTTGAGCAGCTGATCCATCTGACTGCTGGGCTGTGTTGGGAGTAATATCACCTGCCAGCTGGCCCTTTTAACTCACATCAGTGAGGTTCAAAGTACGCATATCATGAAAGTTCAATAGGGCAGATTCTACAGAAACAACCTCAAAATCGTATAGATTATGAAAACTTCCTTTTCTGACAGGGGGTTCATCATTTGAAACTGTTATTTGTGAATTGCTAGCTGAGAAGGCAACAAAGAAGCATTGACACTGACTAAAAAAAAATAATTAATAATTTCATATGGGCAAAGTGTGACTTTGGTGAAAAAAAAAAAATTGAACATTGTTGATCTATGAATCAGTACGAAAGGACAAGATTAAACTGTTAAATATATTTATAATGCAGAAAAAGAACTTGCACTGAAGACTAAGCAAAACCATAATTTTGATTAAGTCTTTTGTATAAAAATAATACAGTGATAGCAAAAAAAATAAGGATGACTTATCAGTAGTCCTCTCCAACCATCAAGTCATGAAAGAGACTCAGATCTGATAAAGTCTCTTCTACCACAGCTGTACAGAGCATTCACAATATATAATTAAGTAACAGCTTACACTGAGGTAGTTCAATAAAGGCTGTGATTCACAGGGAACAGGCAAGGCCGATAGGCTGATAGTAATACTGAAGAGAAGTTGAAGTGGACAAGACAAGATCGCCCACTTGTACTGTCAGAAACAAAATTTACCTCTTGTCCGTTCTTCAGATAAATTCAGATAAAGGCAGATATATTTTACAAAGACACAGTTTCCTGTATAAACTAACTGTTTGAATTGAAATTCACATTCCCTTACAGGGAGATAAGACACATTTTTATTGGAGCTGAAACCTTTGAGGGTATGCATGACAAAAGCAAATAAACTGACTCAGTGTACATTTATGATTCTCATATCAAGACTGATAGTAAGTCCACAGGACGACCACGGAGGCAAGGAATGAAAAGTCCAAGGGTCTTTGTAGAAATCTGGACTTTCAACTCCAAGTGATATCTATAATATACGGTGTTTTTATCTCATGAGGCAATTTCGAACAGACAACTGACAATCTCAAACAGAGCTCTTTGGGTCATAGACCTTTAACTTCCAATAATAGACATAATTGATAGCAAGATAAACTCACTATCTGACATCCAAAATCCTGTCAAAAGTGGGTCTTTATTACATAACAGTCTTAAAGATTTAACTCTTCTTTTATTTTTCTATATCAGATAGTTGAAAATATGTTTTTTCTTTCTTTCTTTCTTTTTTGATAGAGTTGAAAGGAAGAACATTGACATAATGAGGAGTAACATAGTTAGCAAGATAGTATAGAAATAGTCATAAACAGAGAAAGGCCTACCCCTCTCTGTACCCTCAAACTCTCTGTTTGATGTTCTAAAAGACAATGGCAAGGCAGCCTGCACATAGACTGGAAAAAAAGCAATATCTCACAAGATGTCATACACCCGTTGGGCAGCAGTTCACAACAGTCTTTCCAATTTAGAGTACAAAAGGGTCACCGAACTGCTTCTACTTCTAAAATGTAACAAAGTCTTCTGCAACGGTATTTTCAACTGCCACACACTATATATAACTGAGGAATTGAAAAACAGTGCTTTTGCCATCTTCTTCTCAACCATGGCAGATTTGGAAAGTGTTTTACAGCGCATTTGGCATTTTCAGTTCGGTAGGAATTAATTTTTGAATTTTGCCCAGGTGGCGGCCGAAGCTTACTCTAATCAATCTTAAGACAACCAAGGGATCTTTAATGTGTACAACTTGCACACAGGACCCTCAAGAGTTTTTCACCCTTACCCAAGAAGGCTAGGTGTTAGATCTAGATTTTACCTACTCTAAGATCAGGGGTGTGGCAGAAAGACAGCAGTAAGAAGAAGCCAGGAGTAGCAGTAGAAAGAATCAGGATCCAAGAGATAGGGAGAAAGGGGGGGGGCAGAAATTGGAGATGAAAGCAAGTGAGAGAACATGATTAGAGAGCAGGAACGGAGGTGAAAGAATTAAGTTTTAGAGAAGAAAATTTTCCCCGTCACAATCAGGATTCGAATCCTGGACCTACTGAATGAGAGGCAAATACCACAAACTCTAGACCACAAGAGCCCAGATTTGATGCCAATTTTAAAAAAAAAATTTTTGTAAAGATTTTATTTGAATGCTTTATGCAAACAAGAGTACACCACTCCATCACCTTATTCTTGATAGCAATTTATTTTTTACAATGTACAAAATGGGCGATTTTATTCCCCTGTCGATAGTTTCGATCATTTAGAAGGTAGACATCAACCCTGCTTACAAAGGCCAACCAGGCGAATACAACATCCTATCAAAAAAACAGAGACACTTGAGAATCGAACTCAGGTCTCCTGCATGCGACAGTAAAACTCTTTATCGCAATATCACAAACACTGGTCTTGACAGCCATGTGCTCAAGACACTGCAACATGTCTGTTTCATCTCAACAATTGAGAGCACAAGATGTGATATCTGGTAACACTGTTCAATGTTACAGTGACCTCATTAATTTGATAACAAGAAGGCACGACATGACATTCTCACAAACATCCATATTACTAAACCTTAAAACTTTCGTTTTCTATCGAAAAAAAAAATACCCTCATATACCCTCATATCTTTTATTTAAGATAAATAACTAGAACACCTGATAACCCATCTTGAAAATAGGTGAAGGAAATCCACTGTGTCAGCAAAAAGTATTGAGCACGAACGAACAAATCCAGATGACCTTTAGTTTCTGTTTTTTTCCATCAGCCCCATAGACAGATCAAATCCCAATTTCTACTGAGTGTCATAAACGTCAGTACTTAACAGACAACTTCAGAACGCTCCCTACACAACTTGAGCATACCCAGTTTTTTACTCTGCTGACACTTCTAAGAGTACATTACAGCATGACATCTGAGAGACTTATAAAAAAATAAAAAGTCAAATTACAAAATCAAACCAAACAAAAATTACTATTTACAGCACTGCTGCCGATATATATTGGCTTTAAAGGACAAGCGGGCTAACCTAGATTTCTAGGGTTTCCAGAAATCTTGACCTACACCAAAAGTGGGCATTGCCCTACCTATAGGAGAAGTTTGGTTTCAGTGGTGTGTACATTGTACAAGTTGTATGATCACGCAGCAGCAGATACGTATGTACCTCCAAAAACAAAGAAAAAAGATATAAAAGAAGTTTTTTACCACCTAGCATAAGGCTATTGTCAGAATGAGCATAGACGTGGGTTGCTCTTTAGAGTATGTATCTATATAATTCCAAAGGTCTTGTAATTAAATTACTGCATGAGGTTGAATGATGCATCTGGTGTGAATGTACATTTTGTCAGCTTTACTTCTCTTTTCATATTGAATTTTAAGTAGAGTAATAATAGTAATATATAATTTTAATTTTTTTATGTATACCTTCATGTGTTTTTACGGTCCTGTACAGTAAAGAAAATTTTCCCTCTGGGATAGTGAAATCTTATCTTATCTTATCTTATATTAGTTTGGTTAAAGAGAAAACTCTCCTTCCTCTCTTAAAGAAACTGCACAAAGGGCAAAAACTTTACCTTCGATTTTCTCAAAACAGCATTTTTCGGGATAACCCTCTTGTGCATAAAAGCGACCATATCACCCAGGTACAGTCAAAGCTGCTCTAACATTCACCTGTCCGAGACAAACATCTGTACAAATAGTCACTTCGCACTTACCCCCTTATTTTTTTTAAAGACTAAATTCAAGATGTCCACCTGTCCAAGATTAACCACTTTTCTTCTCACAATGGGTGGCCATCTTGGACAATTTCATCTGCATTATATATAGCATATCATATTATTTCCCAACAATAAAAAATGCAAGTTTCAATCCAAATTTGACAAAAAGGGGTGAGCATGATTTGACTTTACATGCAATGAAAA